AATCTTCTCTATAGGGGGGGAAGCTATCGTTTTCAGCATGCAATTTTATTTTAATTTCAACTTTGTTTTAAATCTTTAAGAGAGAAACAAATTTTAAAAACGGAAGAGAATAAACCTGCAGACTTGAGATATTTTTTCTAAAAAATACATCTCCAATAAACTTTGGACAAACCACAGTGATCCAAAGGTTGCAAGCGCTCAAGTAAAAATTCATTAGCATTTTGTAAATTACTACAAGAAAGTATAAGTAAGTTAGTGAGATAAGATCAAAGACCAAGGCGTTGTGACACATTAAAATGACCCAGTCTAGAAAGTTGATGAAACTTTTCATTAGTCTGGGTCTAAGTGAAATTTGAAAGCACAATTCAAAATTTTAACTTCAGCCCTTGACAAAAATATTTAACAGTAGAAAGATTGGACAACATATTTCTCCCTCAAAACAATTTGAACCTGTTTGATAAACGTGAAGAAGGTTTAGATTAAAATTAAACTAAAAACTAGAGGATTGAAGTCGAGGTTGCGTGAATATAATACTGATTTAAATATTAGTCTGCACCTTGATGAAAGGAAGACATCTTTTAGGATTCGTTTTTAACCATTTTATTTTGGATTTAGTACAGATATCTATCATCTTCCCGTTAACTTTTTTTATTTGTGGTTTCTCCATAAAGTGACTTGCGCATTTCTTCTTCAAAACGATAGAAGAAATGTTCAGAATTAACAAGATAAAAAAGATAATCAGATAATGTATTATAAGGTACCGTTGTGAATTGGAAATGCCCCTCGTTTTAAATGCATGCATAATAAGTTCGTGTTCATTACAATCTGAAAGTAAATGTTTATGTAATATCAATTATCTATTAGTGAAACATTTGATTTTCTCTTGGAGCTTTTATTCTAAAACGAGGGGAAAACTTTAGAATCCGGGTCCGATACTGATTCTCAACCCATAGGGCTGAGGTGTAATTAAATACTAAAACTTTTAGACTAATTATTTAGACCTTAGTTTAGGAATTTAACAAAGAATTGATTGGATTTATACTTTATATACATTTCATTATTCTATATTTATATCTCTTCATTATTCTTTAAAGGAATTGAGTTTTTTCCACAAACCACCTAGTTAGAAGTTTAAAATACAGGCTACACAGTGCACAATGGATGTGCACTGTGCAGTGGGATTTTGGAAATACAAATAAAATTGTGTATTAAATATTTCTGCAGCATACTATGCAAAACTCAATGAGAATTTTTCCGATTAACAAAGTCGAAAGCTAAAAGAAAACGATTTTTAAAGTTCTAAAATATCTTGGATTGTAGAAAGGTGTGAGTTATCAAGGTAAAATCAAAAGCGTTGCGACACTGTAAATTCGACCAAGTCTAAAAAAATTATGACTCAGTCCAGATCTATGTGATTTATCTCCATATATGTTGCATATCTAAATCTACAGAAATAAATCGTTAGATAGATGATTAAATCAAGTATTTTGTATGAAGTAATTATGATGTAATAAAAACGCTACAGTACCATATCTTTATGAGATAAAAAATCTCTTTAAATTGAATTTGATTTTAATTGTTTCTAGGATGAATAAGATAAGAAGTAAGAAAAAAATAAGTCTTAATAATTCTAATTAGCTTGTTATTTTATCTGTAAAATATTATCAATCGATGCCCCTTAATAAAACCGTAATTTCTTCTCGATTCCTCTTCTTAATTTTAATGGCAATTTAATTTTGAATCTTAATCCTTTTAACAAAATTGTATTTTATATATTACTAGCTTGGGTACGCAGCTTTGCCTGGAGTCTTCCCGAAAAAAGTCCACCCATTCAACTTAGATTTTTTCCCGTGGTTCTCCCGAGTTCCCCCAATCAAATTTGAGACAAATCGGTCATGTGGTTCATGAGTTATGATCGGAAAACCAAAGATCTAAACAGAGAGATTAAAACATCATATATAGAGATACAGTATATCATACAAAATGGCATGATATTCTAGATGTTAAAACGATAAACCATTTATTTTATTATTAAGGAAATGTTCTAATTTCTATGCAATGATTCTTTGTAGAGTATTTGATGTAACCTTTCTTGAACGGGTCCCAAATATTCTCTGCTCTGCCTTTACTGCACTGAACACTAGTGTTAAGTAAACACTGACAGTGAGAAACCTGGTTTTCCTCGACATTTTTGAGATCTTTGTATAGGATAGTTTATTCCAATGTCCCGCTACAGAAACATCAGGTAGAAATAAAACTAAAAACAATTGATTGTATTCAATTCAATCTTCTCTATAGGATAGTTACAAAAGTCACTCTACAGAAACATCAGGTAGATATAAAAGTACAACCAATAGATTAATTATTTTTTATTTTGAAATTCTACACCAATTTTATTTTTTGAGAACACTCTCTTTAACGAAGAGGTTAATGGTTAATTATAGTCCTAGATAGAATAATAATTCGTGTTTCATCCCCCCCCCCCATATTGCACTGAGGACTAAGGGGGGGGGGATGAGTTTGGCCAGCCTGAAGTAAGAAAAGATGTGGTAATATTGCAGCATGAAACATGCAGGATATATGGCATAAATCAGTAAAGCATGCAGTAAGCATTATCCATGCTCTAGCATCTAGTGTTTACAGGCTGAATTTCATAAACCTGGAATCATGCTGCAGCTCAATAGAGTCGGATAAAACAATCTTATAATTTAATAACTTTGCACAGCTTTATATTCTTTAGTCTCTAATTATATATTCAGCAAATATGGTAATGCAGGGTTAAGGGGCTCGGCTGTTTGGCGGGTTTAATTTTTAAAAATCCGTGACAGAATAAAATAATATTTAGATATTGTTAATTATGGCCTAAAATTACGTTTTCTTCCTTGAATGCATGGTTTGGGGTTAACAAAAATTCATGTTATATTATTAGAAAGGAATTGAGTCTTTGCCACAACTCTGGTTTTTAAATCCCTATATCTTAATAAACCAATGTTGTTGACCTTAGATATTTCAAACTATGACTTCTGTAATATCAAACAATCAAAGTTTGAAATATCTTATTATTATTAATATTATTGATGTTATTAAATATAAAGCTGAGGAAGAAAATCTACCAAACAACCAATTAATAATGTAGAAATAGATAATCTTTGAAGAGGAAATAAGAAACAGAAAAGTTAAAATGTGGAAGACAAGTTTTAATAAATCATGAAAAATCAAAAATTGGCAGAATTTTTAAATCTCCCATAAAAGTGGGGTGTGGGACTGATATACTTGACTGCATTCTCTCTGTTTCTCTCCTCGGTAGAAGGATGAGGACTAAACGTATCTTTGCTCCTCTCAACCCTGCCTTAACTGTTCTCATGTTAAGGATTGATTTTACAAAACAATTAAATTGTGTCTCAGACCTTAAAGGGATTGTGGGCGTAATTTTCAGTGAGCATCCATTGAACATGTCAGATTAACATCGGTATCCTTGAAACCTTTATCTGATATATAATGTGGAAGATTACGTTGCCTTTTAGCTTGAAAAGTGTTTGATTCTGCTTGATTATCCATAGGTTTCCTGCAGTGGAAATGCGCAAATCCCTTTTGTACAGAAACCACAAGTGAAAATAATCAGTTTTCTAAATGATAAACATGATTTTTTTATTCCTACTTGATCAGACAAAGCTAAATAAGGAACCATTTTTAATGCAGGGTTATTTGAAATTACGGTGACAGTCCCTTTAAATCAATTAAATATGATAATTTTCCTTAAAAATAACAGACATTTTGTATCTTTCCACTTGTTCTTAAACTTTAAACTACGATCCGAATTAAATTTATGAAGCTTATAATCTCAAGTTATATTTACTGTTATTTGATTAAAACAAAGCAACAATGGGTTGTAAACATTGAGAGAGATCTTTCTCTAATTTTCCTAGTTTATTGGAGGGTGGTGGAGCTGTAAACTTTAATTCTAATGCACAACTATTCTCGGTTGAGAAACGTCTTCAAAGATCTAATCTCTGCTCTACTCTAGACCAATCTCCAGGTGAGATATAATCTCTGCTTAACTCTAGACTACTCTTCAGGTGAGATATAAATCTCTGCTCTGCTCTAGATCAATCTCCAGGTGAGACATAATCTTTGCTCTTCTCTAGACCAATCTTCAGGTGAGATATAATCTCTGCTCTACTCTAGACCAATCTCCAGGTTATATTTAATCTCTGCTCTACTGTAGAGAATCTCCAGGTAATTTATCATCTCTGCTCTACTCTAGACCAATTCTCAGTTGAGATCTAATCTCTGCTCTACTCTAGACCAATCTCCAGGTGATATATAATCTCTGCTCTACTCTAGACCAATCTCCAGGTGAGACATAATCTCTGCTCTACTCTAGACCAATCTCCAAGTGGTATTTAATCTCTGCTCTACTGTAGAGAATCTCCAGGTAATTTATTATCTATGCTCTACTCTAGACCAATCTTCAGGTGTTATCTAATCTCTGCTCTACTCTAGACCAATCTTCAGGTGAGATCTAATCTCTGCTCTACTCTAGACCAATCTCCAGGAAAGATCCAAAATCTGCTCTACTCTAGACCAATCTTCAGGTGAGAACTAATCTCTGCTCTACTCTAGATCAATCTTGAGGTAAGATCCAAAATCTGCTCTACTCTAGACAAAACTCCAGGTGAGATCTAATCTCTGCTCTACTCTAGAAATGTTTACAGGATAAATCAAATATCTGAGCTAGATTAATCTGCTACTGATCAACACTTCCTAGAATATTTTAATCTAGAAATTATGAAGTTTGGTGATGATAAATTTGAATCTTATCCCATTTATTTTAATTCTATCTAATCCCAAATATCCTTGATTAGTACTCCCTTGTTCTTTGCTTAAAGGGACTGATTGAGTAATTTCAAGTGACCGTCCATATATTTAGGTGTTTGCTTGGCAGAACAAGATTGCCCTGAAGTAACAGAAGGACTTTATTTTCCTTCATTTTGTGAAAAGGTTTTCATATCTTTTTACAATTGATGTGTTACGAGATTTTTTATCAGTTGAATCACCATTTCCAGTTTGATCAAATATCACTCATTTTTCGACAATATGTAAAATTATAATTCTATTTTTAAATTTCCAATGTGGACACTTTAAAATTTGAGTATCAATCCTTGATCCCTCATTAAAGTTATGACTAACACAGGATATCGAAGAAGATTTAATAAATCCGTAGGTCTACATAGGATGGAGATCAATGCTTAATGTTGAGATTCACACCAAAAAACGTCTGATCTCAGGATTCTCATTTCTAGGATGATAATGAAGTCGGGGTGTGCTGTAAGCTTCCAGATCAAGGTTTAAATTCATATTCCTAAAACTAGACGAATTCAATTAAAGGACCTAGAAGAATTATTGGTTTAGTTCATGGTATACCCTAGCCCTACCAACACAATGCTGTAGAGTAAACCTACCAATCCTGCTGGGTTGGTGCATTTTGTAGATCACAGTGTCCTTGGAGACTATAAACCATTCTAAAAAAATCTAAAAATCTTATTTTGCCATTTTTTCGCCTTGTTCTCTAGTTTTCAAAAGAATACATTTTATTGTAATCCAAGATTTTCAGAATTTCGAGTTCTATATTGAAATGAGATTTGCTAAAAAATACTCCAAGAGATTTTTAAAATGCATAAAAACTAGGAACAAGACGGAAGATTGGCAAAGCAAGATTTTTGGGACTTTTTCAAAAAGGTTGATCTTCTTCCAGGGACACTGTGAAGTGATCTGAGGGTATTATAAAGATAAATAAATCATCGTTTGGTATTTCTCTGCAGTGTAATTTTTTGTAAATTTTAAAGAGACATCAACAGTACAAGTAAACGTAACAACAACATCATTGTCAACAACAACAACAGCAACAACACTAGATGATCCAGCAATAACATCAACATCAAAAACAATCCTCGATTTTGGGGAGACCAGAGAAGAAGATCCTTTCTTGAAACCTGAGGATGCAGAGTCCAGAAAAGAAAAATGTGGAAGAATAGCTTTCTATTTTCCAGACTCTGAATCTCAGGTGAACTTTTTTAGATCGAAAAGATAAAGAATGAATATTCTTATTTCCTCTCCCAGGTTCAGGTTGGAAGTATGGATTGGTCCGAGGTGCTCCAACCTAGATTGAGAACTATTGTCGGAGGTGATATTGCAGCAGAGCAATCCCTTCCCTGGACGGTTGCTCTGGGTACAACAGATACTGGAGCTGAGAACTATTTCTGCGGTGGGACTCTTATATCCAGCAGGTTGGAATAGCTTACAGTGGTCGGCGTTTATACCAACACAATGATGAAGACTTTCCAAATAAGCTTTTATTTCTTACAAGCTTTTATTTCACAAAATTGAATAGGCTTTTAGAGAAAGAGAAGCAGTCGATAAATAGAAAAATACTTTTTTTTAAAAATAATTCGGGTATTTATGGTAATGCATCTTTGGGTATTATTTCATTCAGAGCTGCTCGGGATATGAGGTACGTCTTATTATATCTGCTATATATTTTCAGGGTTTGATAACCCAAACAACAAATAGACCTAAATATTTCTTTGTATTCAACATTATTCAATTTAATTAGAGATTTCAGTAATATTTTAATCATAAACAATATTTTCCCTTTTAATCAACATTAAAACTGGAATAGAAAGTCAATGAATCGTTCAATCATTTTCATGTTTTAGGTTTGTACTGACTGCAGCACACTGTATAGAGGCCCTTGGAGCAAACCCTGTTCTCCTTCTAGGAACAACAAATCTTTCAGACAGCTTAGGAATCAGGTATCTTTCAGAACCTTTTCTAGGTACAGTGTAATAACAAACTGATCAGGAAACCGGTATCTTACAGAACCTTCTCCAGGAATGGATATCAACAGAAAGCGTAGGAATAAGATATCTTATGAAACCTACCCCAGGCATAGATATCGACAGTCAGCTCAGGAATAAGACATCTTACAGAGCATTCTTTAATTATGGATATCTTAAATCTTGACAGATCAGGTATAAAATAGCTTACTGAACCTTCTCCAAGTATATCAACAGAAAGCTCAGAAATCTGGCCTCTCATGCAGAGCCATCTTCGAGTATCTAGTTGATACTTTAGATATCAGATATCTTACAGCAGAACCTTCTCGACAGATCTAACACGGATCTAACTGATAATGTAGGAATCGGGTATCTTGCATAACCTTCTTCAAGTGTTTATATCTTACAGGAATAAAATAGTTTACAGAATCTCTTCTTTTAGAGATCTACCAGATATTGAGGGAATCAAGTATCTTTCATAACGTTCTCCAGAAACACGGATTTCATAGATAATTCGAGAACCAGCTTAGGAATCAGATATCTGAAATTAGCTTCTCCGGGGAAGCAGATAAACAGCTTACAACAGGAATATCAGATATGGAGACTAAAGGATAGAATTGTTTAATCTCCAATTGTTAGATCTTTGGTACTTCATTTTAGTCTAAAGTTCCAGAAAATGCTCAAGATCAAACGCAAACTTTGACCTGGATATCTAATTAGTGAACCAAAACAAAAGCAAACTTTTCTTCGGATATGGAAATTAACGATTCCTGAATCTTAGTAAAACATTTTATTGTCTTCAATTGTCAAAACTTAGGCATTTAATTTCAGATTAAAGTTTTAGAAGCTTGAAGTTTTAAAGATATAACGCGTGGTATTTAAGATTTAAAAGACGATTTAGTATTATTGTAAATTAACCCTTTTCTTTTGTATAAAAGTTATAATATATAGATTGTAATGCAATAAAAAACAATAATGTTCAATGAGCAATTTTAGATAATTTTGATTTCATAAAAGCTCGATTTCAAATTTTAGAATAATGTTGACTTATTTTTTTTAACCGGAAGGAGAAAGATGAGAAGAAGTATTCTACATCCGGCTTGGTCCAACATACCTGGTGTTCCTCAGGTAGGTCAAATATACCTGGTGTTCCTCAGGTAGTTCAAATATACCTGGTTTTCCTCAGGTACTTCAAATATACCTGGTGTTCCTCAGGTAGGACAAATATACCTGGTGTTCCTCAGGTAGGACAAATATACCTGGTGTTCCTCAGTTAGGTCAAATATACCTGGTTTTCCTCAGGTAGTTCACATATACCTGGTGTTCCTCAAGTGTCGAATATACCTGGTTTTCCTCAGGTAGTTCACATATACCTGGTGTATTGATTTCCCTTGGAATGACCGGTTTCAAACTACTCTCCATATATAAACTGTGTTTTCTTTAATTCTTTATTCAGATGATGTTAAACTTGGTAGAAGAGTTTGGATGTTTAACTGAAATAGATTGAAGTATTATAGCAACAATATAACATTTTATCCGTAATTTCAAGGATAGAATAAAATATTGTGGTTTATCAAAAATATCAAATATTTCTGACATGTCAAATCATATGTATCCCAGTTTTTCTTGTATTAGGACGACCTTGCTCTGGTGGAGTTAGATTCTCCTGTTGATCCAAACTCTGGAGCAGGTAACTACAGTCCGAGAATCACTCTCGGAGTTAAATCATCGAATTATAATTGGCCATTTTTTTACGATTCCGAACATGGCTAAAATAATTTAGCTAAAATTAAATTACGGTAAGAATTTAAAACATTTAAATCTAATTTCTGTATAAAAAGACTTCATAAGGAATTATTATTGTTTATTATGTTAACTTTTATATTTCAATGTTTTCACTTTTCTGTCTTTTGTAGAACCTATCTGTTTACCTTCACCTAAGATAGATATAGTTAACAGGTAATTTTAAACTAAAACAAGTTCACAGTGCTTTGATTCTAACGTGAGGGAGGGGTCTTAGGTTTGCACCGTCCGTCACAGTGCATTCAGTTATATCAAGAAACTTTCTGGACTAATTGTTTCATTTAAAAGGCAGTCAATAAGTTGTTGGGTTCTCTTTAAATTAGACTTAAATCTACTGAGGAACTGGTCATGGTTATATTCTAGTTTTAAAACATTAACTGGTCATGGTCATGGTTATATCTAGTTAGTTAGTTATATCATATTCTAGTTTAAAATCCTTAGATTTGTTCAAGGTTTGAAATATCTAAAGTCTTCACCAAGTTGCAAAGCTAAGACATTTAGAATTGAGACAGATAATCAATTACTTTGTCCCAATAGCATTAACGATAAATGCTGCGTGGTGAAAACTGGCAAGGAGCTAACATCGTAATTCAGATTGTTTTTATAATTCAACAACTGTATAGGATTTATTTTTTAAATCATATTTTTGATAAGCTCCTCTCTGATTGTTTAAGGACTGGATTAGTATCAGGTTGGGGTAGACTGGTGAGCAATGGTCCTACTTCAACCCTGCTCCGGGTAGCAGAAGTAACAGTATTGGATCCTCAATCTTGTCTTCAGGTTCAGTCCTCATTTATTTTTATTATTCCTTCTTCTAGTTTTCTTTATTGTCATTCCTTTCATCTTTACAGTGTTTATTTTAGTAACATTTTGTAAAAAATAAATTAAATGTTTATTGACGATATTTTTTAGACATTAAAGTTTTTGTTTAAACATATTTACTATTATTTAAAGAGATATAAAGTGGAAATTTCGTTCTTGACAATAAGTGTTATTTTTTCGTATTATATAGAATATAAATGGGGTTAAAGTACATTTTCAGGGTAAAAATTTTTTTAAGGAGATTTTTTATATTATTTGTATATCGTATGAAGTACAATTTTTTTTGTCATCTTCCGTTAGGATATTTTTTCAAATTGCAGAGAGAAAAAATTGTCAAGTAAATGTCTCTATAAAAAGTTTATGATAAAAAACGAACTGAGGACTGAAACCTATAAAATATGAAGGTTTGGGGTTAAATTGAGTCTCATCCTTTGTGGGTAACCCTGTAATAGTATACACCGATGAAACCGGCTGGTTCTGTCTAATTTTTGGGTTAAAAGTATCTACGGATATTTGAAATTGGTAAAATAAGAATACTCGTAGCTGAAATCTTTAGAATTAATTCAAATTCAAATTAATATATAATCATTTGAGAAACTGTAACAGCCAATCAGAGAAAAGCGGGCAACCAATGAGAAAACAGAAATATTCTCATTGGAGAAAACAATTAACGGATATCCAAGGAGAGGGAAAAAGAGTGGATTAGGACTAAAATGAAAAGTTTCCACAGTGGATATTCGGATCAAGAAGTCAGGATTAAAGTTTATCCATTCTAAAGTTCCCAGCTCTGAGCTGAAAACTAATGGGATATCCTTAATCCCGATCAGTTCATTAATCTGAGCTGGGAACTTTTGAATGACGGATATCGAGATCAATGCTTGATCTTTTTTTTCTTAATCTCCAGATTAAATAATGCTTGTTCTCCTCTTGTAATTATCTCCAAATTAATTAACCGATCGGGATTAAGGATATCCCATTCTAAAGTTTTCAGCTCTGATCAAACATTTACACCTTCCTCACTTTTCAAATATCTAAATTATCTTTAAACTTTAATTATGTTTTTAAATGTATTTTTTTCAGGTTTACGGAGAAATATTTAGTGATGGGTCTGGACTAGTCTGTGCTAGGGATATTTTAAACCAAATATTCTACATTTAATGTTACACAAAAAAATATCTATAAAAATCCTCCATATAATTATACAACCTATTTCTGTGCATAGAGAAAATGTAAAAAAAAACTCCAATGAACCGTCCTTGTTATACTTTCTCCTTGACCCTCTCACAAACTGCAGTACACTTACTGTAAAAACAAAGTCTTCATGGTGATCCTCTGAAGACTCGGAGAATATTTCTTGAGAAACATATGATGAGACTTTACTAAGGACCAGATCAACTTTAAGGTTAAATTCGATCTTCGAAATTACACATAGAATTTTGCAAAGAGAAGTCGGAAAAAGACCTGTATTTTAAATCTTGCTCAAATCTGATTAATCTTCTCTAAAGTCTCATCATTTGGTTGGTCCCCTTGTTGCCAGGCGTTAGAAATGCGTCCTTGCAGTCGTATAGTGTTGTATAATTAATTCATCTAGATGACATTTCAACTGAGAATAAGTAATTGTATTATTGAAAGATTTACTACAAACTATATTTAAAATATTGCTAGAGGGAAACAGCTAGCTGCCGGTAAATAAATTAAATAATTATGAACACAAAATATAAAGATACTAGGCTTTTAGGGTGCTTCGCGCACCATCTTCTATTTCAACTTTTAATTGTGGCTTTATCTCTGAACATCTTCTCTTTGTACAGTATAAAACAAAAACAAAAAAAGTTTGCTGATTTCATAATATTTTTTTTGTGCATTTTCAAAATTTTTCAATAATAAAAAACTTTTAAACACAAGTTTTTAAAATTTTGATCATTCATAAACCTTCCCTGTGGCCACGTGATGTCCAACAAAAAATTTGGGCCCGATCGGTTCAGCTGTTTTGACGTTTATTGGATACAAACAAACAGACAAACAGACAAACAGACAGACAAGCCAAATTTATATATAGATTTAGCGAGTACTATGGCACGGTAAACTAGGGGTTTCATTGTCACACATCTTCACCCATTAAATGAATATTTTTGTATTTGATACTTTTTTGGTGTATATATTTTGAATATTAAAATATATTAATTAAGACCTCTACGCTATTTTGAATAATATAGATCTAAATAGGACTGGAAATATGCTGATAATAACAGGATATAATTCGTCGTATGTTAGTTTTAAGTGATAGGCAAAGCTTTTATTGTAGAGTGCGCGTGCGCCTTGCTTAACATGACGATCAAAAAAGTCCAATTATGAAAATAAATATCAGGGGCGTATGCAGTAATTTTCATGGTGGGGGGTCAATATTTTGGACGTTTGGGGCCCTTTTGAAAATCATATTTTTACTCTTCCAGGCGGGGGCTAGGGAGCTTAGAAAACGTTATACCCCCCCCCCCCTCCCCCTGTATTCACCTAAAGTTTTAATTTTGGCCATGAACAAAAACCTTTTTTTATATTCAGTCCCACATGGTCGTTATTTATTTATATTCTCATGTTACGCGGGACTCTAGAGATCTAAGGAAACACTTACACATCAAACTTTATTTATTTCAAATGTAATTAGCTTAGCAAACGATTTAAAGGTTTGTGTTAGAATGATGTTTTCTGTCAAAGTAAAATTTTTTAAATGATTTACAAAATATAAAATTTGGAATTCACAACTTTGCAATTAAACCCTGATGCCCAACTGCACACCGTCATACAGACCAACAAGATGTTTATCCAATTAGTTGTGAACTTTAGTTTCTGTTTAGGAGAAGATAAAGATGACCGTCAGGTTGTCAAGGCTGGATATGTTACTGACGCATGCCAAGGTATCGCTTGAAGCTATATCACTGATAAAAAAAGCTTTTTAGAAAATATTCAGGAAAACATTTCTTTTTTATTTTATTTCGACACAAATCAATTTTTTTAAAGTTTTAGAATCACAAGTCTCCCTTGCTTATCTTTTCTAACCTTTTGCCCTTTTTCAATTCTTTCCTTTTCTTTTTATCTATTTTTTCTTTTCATTTTCCATGTTCCTTTTTCTTTCATACATTTTTCGCCTAATTCTCCATAAAATCCTCTTTCTTTTTTCTTTTGCTTCTTTTCTCCATATTGACATATTAATCAACCTAGATCTGTGATATAAAAGAAGCATGTCTGATGCCAAAATCTGTCAGGATTTTGCCAATTACTCCTTATAACTGATGTTAAAAAGAAGCTCTGTTCATCTTTAAAATATGCATGTCAAGGGTTACAAAAGGAATAAATGGGGGTGGGTAAGATTAAACCGAGGGCCAATGCCTAGCGACATTTCAATCTCGGTTGGGTCTCGGTTGATCCACTACTTTGTTAGCTTTGTGGATCTGAACCAATATGAATGTATAGTACTCTGAATTGACAATAATGGGTTATCGGAACAAAACATATTTAGTTGATAAAACTAAAAACATTTAAACATTTCAATTCAAATTTCAATTTTCTAGGAGATAGTGGTGGAGGATTATTTTTGGAGGAGGAGGATCATACTTTACTCATTGGAGCAGTTTCAGGTTCATATTTATAGAGTAGTTCAGTCTCATATTCCTTATTTATGGAGTAGGTTCAGGTTCATATTTCATATTTTGGAGTAGGTTCAGGCTCATATTCCTTATTTATGGAGTAGGTTCAGGTTCATATTTCATATTTTGGAGTAGATTCAGGATCTTATTTTATATTTATGGAGTAGTTTTAGGTTCATACGACGTATTTATGGAGTAGATTCAGGATCTTATTTCATATTTTGGAGTAGTTTCAGGATGTTATTTTATATTTATGGAGTAGTTTTATGTTTATATACATGTTTATGGAGTAGTTTCAGGTTCATATTACTTATTTATGGAGTAGGTTCAGATTCATATTTCATATAATTTATGGATTAATTTCATATTCATATTTCAAGATTATGGAGTAGTTTCAGGTTCATATTCCAAATTTTTGGAGTAGGTTCAGGTTCATATTCACTATTTATGGAGTAGGTTCGGGTTTATATTTCATATTTATGGAGTAGTTTTATAGGTTAATATTCCAAATTTATGTTGTAGGTTCAGGTTCAGGTTCCTTATTTTTGGAGTAGGTTCAGGTTCATATTCATTATTTATGGAATAGGTTCAGGTTCATATTAATATTTATGGAGTAGGTTCAGGTTCATATTTCTTATTTATGGAGTAGGTTCAGGTTCATATTTCATATTTATGGAGTAGGTTCAGGTTCATATTCCTTATTTTTGGAGTAGGTTCAGGTTCATATTCACTGTTTATGGAGTAGTTTCAGGTTCATATTATCTATTTATGGAGAAAGTTCAGGTTCATATTTCATATTTATTGAGTAGTTTCAGGTTCATATTTCATATTTATGGAGTAGTTTTATGGGTCCATATTTAAGATCAGTTTAGTAGCTTAGCAGGTTCATATTTCGTAAATATCGTGTAGTTTTAGGTTCATATTTCTTACTTTCGAAGAAGATGTAATTTTTAGACAATCTAAATTTATTGAGTGGTATGTCCGTAGGTATGCCAGATTTACAATGGTAACCTTTATTTGTGACATTCAGTCGTCAACCTACTTTACACGAATGATTCTTGAAATTTCCATAATCATTATTAAATAAAATCAAAATTGTCGAAATCTGAACGAAACTCTTAGTATCTCCGGTAATATTGAAAGCACAACAAGGCAGATCACATTTTAGAATTGCCAAGACTAGAGGGATTTATTGATTATTAACTCTAGAATTTTACTTCGAAAATAAGGTTTACGAATAAATGCCACAAATTATTTCAAAGATGACTCTCAAGTCGTCTTGCTACAGTCATGTTTCATGAGACACCCTGTACCCTAGGTGGAGTAGGATGTGGACTGGAGAAGTATCCGGGTATATATGTTGATGTGAGAGCTTACGTAGGATGGATTCTGGAATACGTGACAGAGAGATGAAATACGTGACAGAGAGATGATTTGAAAATCTAATTGGAATTATTATTGAATAAAAATAGAGTTCTTTAAATAAGTAAATTAGTAATTAGGAAACCTGCATGCAGAAAATATCTGATTAAGAGAAAGATCATTTTCGTTTCCCAAGATTATCGGGAACATAAAAAGCATTTCGGTTTACCACCCTATACTCTACCAACTGCCGTCTCTATTTCGGTTTACCACCCTATACTCTACCAACTGCCGTCTCTATCTCCTTGTACGCTTCTGGTTGAGGCTCTCTTTTGAGAAGTTAGGAAGACGACGACACTGTGAACTAATATATGCTGACTGTCGCAAAATATGCTGACTGTCGCAAAATATGCAGACTTTCGCAAAATATGCAGACTGTCGCAAAATATGCAGACTGTCGCAAAATATGCAGACTGTCGCAAAATTCAATCAGGATTTTCCCAATTAATCCAAACTGAAACTAGAAACAAGCGCATACACCATACAGTTTTAAAATTGACACGTCCAGGGCTACATAAAAGTATAAGCGTGTTGTTCATAGAGTAATAAAACGAAGAGGTGAAGCCACAGAGAATAGAATATATATTAGAGGGGAATTTAAAGAATCTCTTGGTATGAATTTTTTCAGTCCCTTTCAGCCTGAAAGGGAGTTCAAAGTGTACAAATCATGTAAATGTTCACAAATTATATGCAGTAGAGAACATTAATACAGTATGTTCCCTAGACTATTCATTTCAATTTCGAAATTTTTAAACTGTTAAATAAACTTTATAATGAATTAGGGGAATAAAAGACATCATTTGATTTATAGTTATAACGGAAAATCAGCTTTTGTAAAGTGGAAGGCATAGAGTCTATGTGAAATGATCATTGGTCAATTATGAAACCAGCCTATTTCATAATTTGGTTTTCTTTTAACAATAATTTTAGATTTTCTATAAAATGATATTCCAGGGCCCAAAAGACGTTATATAGCATAAATATGTGAAGTACACCTGCAGTATGGAAACAGTACAACAAAATGGCCGTTTTACACTTTTTTCTAGTAAATTCCCCTCTAATATATATTCTATTCTCTATGGGTGAAGCTTAGCTCAGATATACACAACCGACCTCCCTATTAATTCATTTAAAGAGTGGTCGGTTGTATAAATCACGATATGTTTACGTATCTAACACTGTACACTTGTATATAGAGTGATCGTAAAGGGTGGTTTTATGTAGATATTTGAATATTAGTATCGATAATTAGATAGACACTTATATGGATTTAAATAAAGAAAGAAAATCTAAAAATTGGTCAATTCCATAAAATTCCTCTTAGAAATACGATCACTTTATACACAAGTGTACAGTGTTAGATACGTAAACACTAAACATATCGTGATGTTTACAACCGACCGCTCTATTAATTAATCAATAGGGAGGTTGGTTTTCAAAATTTGTTATCATTCTGTATACTGTATAGTGTATAATGTATATGCTATGTCTGAACACTTCTTTATTAAAGCTGTTCCCTCAGCTAGACCAACCAAAATAAACCTTCTTTATAAAAGAATATTTGTCCTGAGGTCAGATTTTCAGAGTGAATTGGTTCGTGTTTCTTTCGCATTTTCGATATATATTAGTGATACATGCAATGTAACAAATATGTTACAGTATGTATAAAAATCATTTCTTTAAATTTTTCAGAAACATTGCCTCAGTTTCAATATTTTGTACAGACAGTTCAAAATCAGTAAACGTGAGTAGTAAAATCAAAATTATCAACATTTGCTGTCTTCCAATATCGTAAAATATTAGCTCAAAACCGAATTATGAAAAATTTCCTTGAACCATACAAAACATCAAATTCAGGGAAAATCGAATTTTCACTGTAACATTAAGTTCAAGCTCAAATTACGAGTGTTGTTGACAAATTAGAAAATAACCGAAAAACATATAATTCAAGCTAAAATTACTCGTTTTCATATCTCAATTCTGAAAATGTTATATGCAAGGGGGCTCTGCCCCCCCCGCATTCACTATGTTTTACTCGGTTATCCTGGGCCAATACTACAACACCTTACTTTGCACCCCCTTGGGGGTAAAATCCTGGTTATGGGCCTGGGGAGAAGAGTAGGATATATAGAGGAAATAGGGGAGAGAAGGATAAGAGAAGAAAAGGAGAAGATAATAGAAGGTGTAGAGAAGAAAGGAGAAGAAAAGGAAAAGAGACGAGAAGAAAAGGAGAAGAGAAGAGGAATAATAAGAAGAGAACAGAAGGAGTAGAAAAGAAAGGAGCAGGGGCTTACGAGAGCATTTGTGTAGGGGGGGGNCCCTTATCAAGAGTCATATAACATTAACCCGCAACCGCATTATTTTCTCAATTATCGTCTTCTGGATTACGACCAAACCAAAGATATTATTCAAAACATTAAAACCGTAATTACTAATAGACCGTCAAAACAAGAAACACTTCTTTATATCTTTATTGTGTAAATTGAACACGCATTTAATAAGAATGCGTAGGTCTACAGGATTTATCGTTAGTTCTGATGAAATAGTAAATATAGAAGCCGTTCGTTCTCTAGGAATATACCCAATTTTTTAAAACTGTTTTTATTCAAACTAAAAATTACTGTTTATAACCATCGAAGATCATTTGTTTAATTGTTATCTAACCTTTAAATTCTTTATTAAATAATAATAATGTATTTAGACTTTATAAATTTATATAAAAAAAATATATTTATTTACAAATAGGATATCTGGTTGTGCATGAGAATGAGTGAAGAAGTAAAAATAATGTTTAAATCATCCAAGAAAAGACAAGTTAGGAGAAGAGAATCATCGTCCGATGAAGAAGTTGAATATAACAAGGAGGAATATGAAAAAACTAGAGAATTGCAGAAATTAAGGTCAATATTTTTAATCTTCACTTTAAAAAAATTCTTTCAATTTTTCTTCATTACAAGAAGGTTTGAAAACAATTCAGAACATTCCATAGAATGGTAAAATCTAAAAATATTTTATTTGGAAGGAAAAATTTTAATTTACATATTTTTCGTTACTTTCGCGTCGTAGATTTATTATTTATTGTTTAAAAGGGCTATGTGGACTTAAAAGAACGGTTTAGCACTTCCAGGGAAAAAATCTTGTATATATCCTTCAATCTTCATACTTGCAAGTATGTTTACATTTATTTGTTTAGAAAACGAACTGCTGGTACCAACGTGATCACCCTGGTATCTGGTAAAAAGATCTCAAAGATCGAAGAAGAAATCTGTGATGATCCATTTAAGATCAAATCTGGTGGTTTAGTGGATATGAAAAATATGAAAGGTACAAGTAATGCAGAAATTATCATTATTTTAATTTTATGAATTTTTAAGATAATTAATTTCAAGTTCATAAGTTTTTATTTAATAAATAATTATTTGTTTATAATTTTATTTGAATGTTAAGCCTCAAATGGGGATTGACAAAATTTGTAAGTGACTTAGATTTAAGATTGCCATTAACAGATCACAATAACGATAGAGAAATCTTCGTTTTTCTATCTTAAGTTAAGCAAATCTTGGCTCGATAGTAACTGTGCTTACTAAAGAATCTTTTGTAATTTGTAGCACGGGACGGGAACTTTCAATCAGGGGTGTATATTTTGTGGAAAGACTATTCCCCCTCCTTATCTAAAAAAATATATTTCCCTAAAGGGATATTTTTTTTTGGCTGATGAGGGAATAATAAGTTTGTTAGTAAGTGGGCGAAATTAACTTAAATATATGGTTGTAAAGTGTCAACAAGGGCGAAAAATGTTGCACACTTGTCCCTTAAATCTTTTAAAATTAGTAATTCTTCAAAATATATGCCCCTCTTTTTAAATTAAGGTTGATAAAAAACATGTTACCTACCATATCTTGAACGATTAAAAGATAAGGGACAGAAGTAACTAATTTACAAATATATATCATTTCCGAATTTAAAGATAATGTTGTCTGTTCAGGGTACAAACAGACGGAGGAGAGTGCTTACGAGGTTGGAACGCAGTTCTCCAAGGAAACCCATATCCGGGACGAGGATGACGAGATGAGGAAGTTCATCGAGATGGAGATGGAGAAGAGGAAAGGTGTGAGGGAGGAGGAGAATAATAAAGGACCTCAGTATCTCTCCCCGGAAGACGCCGCTCTTCTCTCACTACCAGAACATCTCAGGTAGCTAGACAGAAGACACTGCACAGTGCACACTGTGACAGAGTCGAGCAAAGAAGGGATAAATCAACTTTCAAAATTTAGAATTTGCTTTTTTGTGTTAAAGATTATATCAAAGCTAACAAGAAATTTGATTTTGACCTTTAAATGTTGTTTCACACATTCAAAGTGAAGACGTCTAGGACATCAAACAGCTAATAGAAAAGAGCACAATTAATCAAAGTTATAAGAAATATACCAAACTAGGCTTTCAGGGCAATTGTGAACATTTTCTCCTTGTATACATTGTAAAACAAAAACAAAAAAAAGTTTGCGGATTTTATAAAAAAAAAATTGAAATTTTGATCATTCAAAAACCTTCCCAGGGTTCACATAAGGTCCCACACAAGGCCCAATCGGTTCAGCTGATTTGACTTTTATTGGATAAAGACTGACAGACAAACAGACAAGCAAAGTATATATTTAGACAAGGTTTTTAGGGCGCTTCGCGTCCATCTTCTAGTTTAAATCTGAACATGTTCTCCTTGTAAATCTACATTGTAAAACAAAACAAAAAAATCGTGGATTTTCAACATTTTCAAAGATAAAATTTCGTTAGAAGCAAATTTTTTAGAATTCGATCATCCCCGGGGTCAAGCGAGGTACCACAAAAAATTTGGGCCCAATCGGTTCAGTCGTTTTGACGTTTATTGGATATAAACAAACAAACAGACACCCAGACAAGCAAAGTATATGTATAGATGACAATCCAAAGGTGAAATTAAGTCTTTTACCTTCTATAGTCTTTTAATAGCTTATTAAATGATTTGGCAAAGAAAAAAATAAGTTCTCAGTTGCAGGGAATCATAAATATATGGAAACGTACCAAAAATAAGATATGATTTTATCTATTTTAGGAAATCAACGTTTAAGAAAGACCAGCAAATGTTGTCTGCCCAAATGTTGAGTGGTATACCGGAAGTGGATCTGGGTATTGAATCTAAAATACAAAATATTGAGAGGACGGAGAAGGCAAAGCGGAAATTGATCGAGGACGCGAAGATGACCGGAGGAGTTTCAAAAGTTACAAAACCGGGTCCAAGCTTTGGACAGCATGACAGGTAGTTTTTTCTCAGCACTGGTAGTACTTTTCCGGATTTTAATGAGATTTAAAGATACTTAAAAGGAACTGAGTTTTTGCTCCTAACTCAAATTTATAAAATCCCCATATGTTTAAAACCTGTTGGGCGTTGTTGTAAACTTTTGATATTTCAAACTTCAAAATTATTAGATCTAACAGAATTATAATTAAGGTCTAAGACATTGGGGTTGCACAGAAATAGAATTTAGAAAATCTGTTTCTCTTCTACCTTTTTTAAAGATTTTTTTATGTTAATTGTTGTATGTTTTCGTTTGCATGTTTTTTACTCGGCAAATCATGAGCTAAAGGATTAAATAAAGAAAGATTAATTAAATCAGTTAAAAATGTCATAGATCAATCGATTTTGATTTTATTTTACATATGTGTAAACTTAATTGTTGAAATTTCAATATATTTTGTAAATTTAATTTTTAGATTTGAACGGGAAGAATCTACGACTAGAGGACGAGAGAAGGAAAGAGAACGTCCTGCAGTTAAACAAGGAGCTCGTCCTAACACTGTAGTTATGACTGAAAATGACGAACCTGCGCAGAAACTGCTGAAAGGGCGAGCACATGACGATGCTGCCGTAGACCGGTTCAAGGAACATGCTAAAAGATGATAAATGGAACAAAGCACTTTGTAATTCATATAAATAAAAATTCATTCGTATCCTATTAGATCAGAGTTTGGTGTCGAAAAGCTTACTTAAAATTAATAATGGGCCACGATCTGAAGGTTAGGTTAAGTTTTAAAACAAGATCAAATAAAAATCTCATGTTTTGTGGTAGCGCTTAAAATTAAATCAGCTTTTTGAGGCAAACTTAATTAGTTCCGTTTAAATTTAAATTTATAGTAGAAATTTTGATTAAATTGTGACTAGTTTATAAATATGTAAGAGCTTCAATTTTTCCATATACATGGTGTCCCACGAAACATGACAGTTGGTGAATAGCTTTTAATGTCTTCTTCCATACTGTATTGATTTATATAGACTTTTTGCAGTTTATTTTGTTAAAAAAATCTTTTACTAAAATCTAAATTTAAAATCATATTTACAATAATATGCCTGCTGTAAATAATATTTTTTGTTATTCTCTTATATCAAACAGCTTTATAACAAATTATGGAAGAAGACATTTTTTAATCTATTCACCAACTGTCATGTTTCGTGGGACACCCTGTAAGTACATAAAAAGGTCGTAATTATATAGACTGGTTTTTCTGAAAATATTTTGGTACTTTCGCTGAAACTTTGATATTTGAAAGGTCTAATTTCTGGGCCCCTTACCCCTATTCTGTGTAATATTTTCAGGTTCAGAAGGACAAGAACGAACAAGTGTGTTAATCCTGAACAGGTCGCTCCACGATGAAAAGAAAAAGTTTGGGTAATTAGTTGTGGCAAGAGGGTGGAACATCCTGCCCGCCATGAGCCTCCCAGAATTCCCAGACCCTGAGAGCCTCTTCAATACATTACCGTGCTTCCACTAAGCAGTAAACGATACTCCACAACAGAGAAAAATGAGCCTGGACGTTTTTTCACATATTTTTAAAGTTACAAAATTAAATGGTTAACTATAGTTTGTTGATGCAAGTACTGCATCCAGCAGATGCTTATTATTGCATACTGCAATTTTCAAAGGATTTTACTCTTGGCAAATACAGGTATAGAGTAGGCTCATGAAAATGTATGGAATTTCGAAAATTGAGAAACTAATTCAAAATAGTGAGTTTGGTTATAATCTTTCACTCTCCAAAATTGGAAAGTTAAGCAGTCGTTTATCACATGAAATTAATCACTGTCATAGCAAGTGAGAAATTTATAAATAATAATATTATCAACCCGCAACCGCAGGCTAAGTGTAAGATTTAACAAACTTGTCGGCATTGCGCAAAGTTAAAGAATGGCTGCGTAGCGTCTCCAAACAATGCGTAGAATCTTATTTTTTAAATAACTTTACCTGAAACAAAATTAAAATTTTTTGAGGTGAGGTTAATTTCAGTTTGATGTGACAATGCAATGACAAGTTTCGGATGGAAGAGAATCAATTTTATATTATGATATTAACGATTATCAATTTATTTAATCTAACGGTTTCCAACTCCCTAGAGAGTGCGTTTCATGAATCCGAGCAGATTTTAGAGCCTGAGTTGGATCCAGATTTTGACTGGATTGTCGAGGCAAAGAAGAGAAAAGTTGAGGCTCTGGAGGACAACAAGATCAGATTCGACAGGTAATTCAACTTTATTTATAGTCTTTTTAGAGACGGAGTTTATTTGAACAATTTGTCAAGGTTAAAGCAGGAAGGAAGTTTACTTGCTGAGCAGGGACGGTTCTGGGAAGCTATATCCAGGTTGGTTTAATACTAGCGGGACCACTGTGTTCGTACATAGATATAATAATACTTATAGCCTAATAAGGGACGGTATTCTTAGTTTCATGTGACCCTCCATGTAAAGATGGCAATTCCTCAAAAGCTTTGTCCGATCAAGTAAGAATTAATAATTCATGTTTTTTTAACTTTTACAGAAATTTACATAAGTGAGCACTTTATGAGTAAGATAAACGACATTATTATTTACATTTTTGATCAGATTAAAGTTTTAATAGTACCGATGTAAATCGTGCATTGCTATCTAATATCTATGCATGGAGGGTCATGCACTTATACGCTAGCTTTCAATTTTAGAGAAAATTTTCAGGTGGGACGAAGCGTTGCAGATTAATTCTGAAGATGCTCCGCTCCTGGAGATGAAAGCTCAAGCTTTAATACAGGTTTTATATATTTTTTGTCATTTATTTTTAGATTTAGTTTTCAATAGTGTACGAGTAATATTGAGCCATATTTCTGTGAAGGTTCATGAGTGGATTCCTGCAATAGAATTCGCGGAGAAAACTGTGGCTGCAGAGGTCAGTTTTTCATTGTTAAATTATTGGTGGAAACTATATAATCTTAAGAAAAATAATTTTTTTGTAAGTTAGAAATTTAGGTTAGAAAAAGAAAAGTTCGTTTTCACTGCCCAAAATTGATAATAAAACAAAAGTTATTAAAGTTGTTACGTTTTCATTGAATTCGTTTATTGTTTTAAGATGGATCTTGTGATATTCAGCTCAGTTTACATATTATGCAGATAGTATTTCTATTTTACTAAACAATTCAACTTCAAAGTCGTCCAAGGGTGTAAATTTTCAAGAATCCCCCGGTGGAAAAAAAAAATAAAAAATTTGACATCAAAAGCCAAATTTTTTCACCCGTTTGATACTTCCAAAATTAGTTTAGTTCCGAAATTCTGCGGAAAAAAACTCATTCCTTTTTAAAAATCTGGTTTTTTGTCATGCAACAATTTTTATTTAATCCCGCCCCTTTTAAAAATAATAATAAATAATAAAAATAATTTGTTATTTTTTTAAAAGGAATGTCATTTAATCATTAGAATCAATGGAAATTTGTCTGAGAGTAAATGATACTTGCATACCTAACATCTTTAGAAAATAAAGGTTTTCAAAAGGGGTGTGTGATGGGCGGGGCGATTTTATATCACTGCTGACTAAATATTGGAATTTGCAGTGCAATTTTGATTTGTAAATTGTTATCAGTTGACGATGCGATCAATTATCGATCACAATATTTGATTTATTGATAGATAATTTTTTTATTAACGTTATTTTAATCTTTGTTATGTTAGAGAACCTGGTGGGTTGGATACCAGACTCTAGGTAGAGCTCAACTAGGACTCGGAGAAGTTCGTCTAGCTCTCCGTAACTTCAAGATTGCTCTGCACTTGAACCCGGAGGAGACAGAGCTCTGGGAAGAGGATATAGCTTGGGCAAACCATCTCATTGCTAAGGTTTTTATATTTTTTTAAATAGTTTTTTGTTATCATTTAAAATACTAATCTTCAAAGAGTATAAACCGTCAAGTTTAGATTTCTGCCATTTTGGGTAAATTTTTGTCTCACATTTACTCACATCTATTTTTGAGCTCTAAGTCCCAAGCTACTTAATGGAATTTTTATCAAAATCTTTGCATATAAATGGATAAAATGATATTTTAAATCGATTCATATTCTCACTGAAAGGACCAACATATCAAAAATTCACGAACAAAAACTTAAAAATCTGCGAATTTTTTAACTAAACTCTTTACGGTCTTAGATCTTTCAGAGTATTATGGCTTGTTAAGTAAGGTTAATTGACAGAACATTTTATTTGACACTTAAAGCTTTTAAATAAATGAAGATTTTTGAGAAATTTTCAATATATATCTGATCATATTCCTTTTTCTTCCTAGTCCCTGGAGAAACGTGACCCTGAAGAGGAAACTCCGGAACGGATTAAACCTGACTCCGTACCCCGGGTTCAACTAAGAACAGCTCTACAACATGACGGATACTCTAGGTACATTCTAAACCGTGATTATTTTATCTCTTTGATTTTCATGCTAAAATAAGATATTAAAAAGTTGTCTGTTTTCAGCCCCTCGCGTGATTCCTCCTCAGAACATAGTACTGCGCCTGAACACTAGACAGCTGTACGGGTGCAGGTACAGGAGAAGGGAGATGAGTACGGGACGAGGATTTTATACAAATGTTTATCCCAACTTTACTCTGGTTAATGTGGAAAAACCTCCTTGCTTCCTCAGGAAATTTACTCCGGACGGAAAGAAGTTTATTGCATTCAGGTTTGTTTCTATATAAATACATTTAGGCTTGAGAATATAAAACTTTAAGTCAGGATAATACATTTAGAGTAAAATTTAATTAAACTCAAATAAGATCTCAGATAAAGCTTGATTAAATATTTATATATGTGTATACAGGAGGAACAAGTATAGAATTAGATAAGTAGATCTTCATGTGCTTCTTTAGATCACTGGTTTCTGGATTCAACCTGAACATCAAGATTTAAGAAAAGATCCGTAGATCTTACAAACGTCAACTTAGACAACTTAGAATTTTTTAAGCTAGACTAAAAACATTCTCGTGGTTTTCCTGAGTTCTCCAATCAAAATTTAAGACAAATCGGTCTAGGGGTTCAGGAATTACTTCGGACAGACAAACAGAGATTACTACGTTATATGAAGTAATCTCTGTTTGTTTTACTTAAGTGGAGTGGGTTGACTTTTAGGGAAAACTCCAAGGCAAAGCTGGGTTCCTAAGCTACAGGGTATCCCAGATCATATTAGATCGTTAATGGGTCTAAATTACAATTTTCGGGACTAATCAGAAAATTTAAGAAGAATGAATCATTTTGAAAAATTTAATAAGGCCCGTATAAAAATGTTCTTGAAGAAAATGCTAGGTTTTTTGAGTATGATGTGTTTATTAAAGCTTGAAGATAATCTAATGTGATATGGGACGCTCTGTAGTATAAGTTATTATACTCTTTATTTTCTTATAATCCCTCTGTTTTTTCTTTTATCATCTATAGTCCCTTTATTAACTCACGATTTGAGAAGTCCTTTTAGCTACTATTAATTAGATCAACATTTGTTGTTCAGTGCTGATCAGACCTCTTTGGAAGTTTATGCTTTCCAAGGACCTGGAGCTGCATCCGACCTTCTTCAAGGTCTAGACGGAGAATATTTAACTAATGAACAAACCACTCAGAATAACAGGTTTGACAAGTTCTAAAAATATTTGAACATTTGTTATAATTTTCTTAACATACTAGAATATACATGATAGCATTTTCTCCAGGATACGAAACTGTGTTTTCAACCGGTTTTTTAAACTGCTCTACACTGTATCTGTATCCCCCTGTAACGAACAGTTGAACCGGGAGTGTTCTCTCTTCTCCGAGGACGGACGGTTCGTGATCATAGGTTCCGCGGCCTTTATCCCAGAGGATCCTCATCCTCCATTCTTCTCTATGTATCAGGATCGTTAATATTCATCTCTTTTCTCATATTTTTCTTTTTAACTGACCCCAGGTTGTTTTAATTTCATAGCAAGAAATAGTATTGGAACTAGGTACAGGAGTGTATTTATTATATTTTTTAGTATTACCCCAGCTGGGGGGTGATTTTTGATATTTTGGGGGTAAATGAGAAATTGTACATCAAAAGACAATTTTGAAAATTCTTTTGATACTTTTTACCCGAAAATTAATTGATTTTGCTTAAAAATCATTTATTTTCTCCAATTCAGCGAATAAAACCATAAAAAGCATAAATAACTTCTGGGTTAAAAATAATTTTCAAAAACGGGGGAAGATAAATAATTTTTCGAGAAAATATACACCCCTGCTTGGTTAACTTAATGCCTTACTTTTGATAAGTAGTTCAGCTATTCATTATTTCCCATCTCGAGACCAAAAGTTGTTAAAATAATGCTTTAACAAAAATTTTTATTTTTTAACGAATAATAAACCGAAAAACCCCCTAAAGAACGCGATTATTACTGGCATGGCTGACCGTTAAAATAATTTAAATGTACTAATTTTAAATACATGTACTATTTAGCTGTATACTGTACAGTGTACAGTGTGTACAACGCTAATGTAAATATTTCTAGCACTTGATAAATATGAACGCATCTATAGAACAATGAATCTGTGAGTCCGAATCCTAGAAATCAACTAGAGGATTATACACTACACGTAGTGGATATAGAACAGGGGAGACTAGCAGATAAAACTACATTCAAAACTGATAAAATAGTGCTTTCTCACAATCAAGGTTAATAATTAATAATTATCATTTTGGATCAAAAGCTTTTGAGTGCTGGCTGTGACTTTATTTTTAAAAAGTATCTTAATTATTCTCATGCGGTTTGAATTCTTGCTATTTCAACGTTACCGACGATTTATAAAACAAATTTAATTGTCCCAAAAGTATTGCCTTGAGATTCAGACATTTTATTTTTTTTTGTTAAATCGGAATTCTAATTTTAATTAAGGAACATTATTTGTAGGAATCTATCTGTACAAGAAAACTCTGTCTGTGTTATCTATCCAGCATCAGACGATACATATCTTCCAACTGGAGCAGGACGGAACCCTCATCAAGGTTCGGGAGATAGGTCGACACTGCTACGACGATGATGAGATGATACTCGCAGGTTAGTTTTTTTCTCTATAAGAAAGGGCTTCTCTTGTGAAACTAAAATAAAATGTGCAGGTTTTCCGAAAACTTCATTTTTTTTACCTTTTATTTCTGGCAATTAAAGTGCAGCGGTTCTGATGAATTAGTAATAAAGTTTATGTATAAAAAGGTTGTGTAATATTTTAGAATTATTTTTGTATTAATAATCTTGCCCTGTCCTAGATCTTCTTTCATTTAAACAAGATTTCAATGGCTCACCATTATTTAATTATAATTAGTTCGTTGTACTGTGCAGGACAACTGACCGGAGATGTACAGTCCAGCCTGCCGGGCAGAGCAGTTTATCGACCCTTCAAGGAGACAACCATCAACTCCTTGAAGCATAGGATACTTGTATTCCTGTACAGGAGAGCTGCTTCTCTCTCAAACATTGATGAAAATCCATTCGAGATCAGAAACTTTTATAAATACTTTGAACAGGTCTCGTACAAATATTATTTTTTCAAACGGTGCTACAACATCTACTATTTATCCATTGGCTCTATGACTATTTGCTATTCGCTCTATCACCTCATTTCCTCTATGGACAATGGACATTTTGCACCAACAAGCGATTCGTTCGAATCTTATTTACGCTTAAACTAAAAACGTCATTTACTCATCATTCTTCGTGTTTTGATTGGCCTCCTGGGTTTGTAATCAAGTAAACACTTAAAAGAGTAAATGTAATCCATAATTGATATGCGGTCGAAATGGTTTTGGGATTTTTTAATTTTTTCTTCCTCAATTTTCTGTTTGTTCGGCAAGATTTAATTTTGAACCTGGACAGATTGAATGCGCCAAAGGGCCGTCTTTATATAGAATCTCTGGTATTCGGCTGATGTCCAAACCTGAATTCTGTTCAGATTCGTTGGTTGCGTATGTGGAAGATGCAGCTGCTGGACGAGGAACATCTTCTTATCAAATACGCAAGCGAGGACGTTGTGACGCTTAGGTAAACAGAGCCATGGACTGAACATTCTAATGCGTAAAGAACAGTTATTAACCTAAAAACGGGCTGATGAATAATTATATTTTTTTAGGAGTTATGAACCAAACTCTCAGCAATCCTTCTTCGTGGTGTACAACATCAACTCTACCGAGGTTCTCGCCGTCTACGAGAATACTTCGGAGAAACTTCTCGAAATCTTTGAAAAGTTTTGCGACGATTTTCGAAATTCAAGTTTAAACAGTGATTCCCGTTATACATCCAGTCCCAGTAATAATGTTTTTGCAAACCTTATTCAGCAGAGATTCAAGCAGACTATTATTAGTGCCAAGGTAGTTAAAAATCCTCCGTTAGAACATGTCTGATAATTTTTTTTAATGACATTTGTTAAGGTTTTCAATGTTTTTTTTATTGTAACAATTATATTGTTCTTGCAAGTTCTTTTCTAAACCTTGAATACGCAAAGAAAATATTTTGTTAAAATACTGCATCACTCAAACAACAGTTGAGGGGGTACATATTGTGTTCGGCATAAAAATTGGGATTTCAACAATGAAAGTAATGCAATGATATTTTTTTTTAATATTTTCAATCCTATTTTTATTTTTAAAAAAGCTTATATTAAAACTACTTCAATTCGCTCACCTTTCAGGTAGAGGGGTATCCTTTTTAAACCTTAGCTGAGTAAAACATATTAAGTTATCCTTCTTTTTCCATACTAAAACTGACTTACGCATTTATACAGTAGTAGAAAAAGAAGGAATTGTCAGACGTTTCCCTTTTGAAGGAGGGTCACTTGAAATTACGTCTACAGTCCCTTTAAGCCTTATCGGGTTATTCCTTATTAAGAACGGAGGACCAAGTGAAGCCCGTAAGCGTGTTCTTGCTCAACTACCGATCTCAGCTCAGAGTTACTCACCCTCGCCTCTTCTAGATCTCAGTCTATTCTCTTATGACGAGAAATGGGTTTCTGTAATGGAGAGACCCAAGGCTTGTGGAGAGCATCCTATTAGGTAGGATGATAACTACAAATATGGAACCCGGAGGGTTATTTGATTTTATATCTGGATTTTGATACATTTTAACAAGTTTCTTGTGTGTGTAGGTTCTATGGACGTGAGTCCGGTTTACTCAAGTTTAAAATCTATGCTGGAGTTCAAGGCAGAAACCCACCACCTCAGGTAATTTTTCATTTTTCTTTTTTTATTCAATTTGAGAAAAAATGCCATGCTTGATGGGACTATTCACGACAAATTATTAGAGTGCCACTTTTCAAAGATTTATCAGACAAGTATAAGTGTAGATTACTAAATGCCCCGCTTTGAACTCAATTTTAAGATAATGTTAACTGTATACAATACATGCGAGGGGGGGGGGGGGCATGAATATCACTTATCTTGTATTCCCCTACCCCCTATAAAATGTTATTGTTAAGGCTCGGCGACTTGTTGCCTTCACTTTCCATCCGACAGATCCTTTTGCAATCAGTGTTCAGAGAACCAACCTGGAGTACGTAGTCAACTTTCATGTTCCTCACATCTAGGGGTTCATGGAGATATTCAACATCATCCAGAACTTGATCTGAAGAAACTAGTTTTGGAACGTGATGTATGTGTATTCCTAGACACGCGGCTGTGTTTCAAACCCGTCCTATCTGGAAAAAACTCATTCTAGAAACACAACAGTTATCATAAATGTTTTGCACAAATATAATTGAAATAACTCTTAACTATCGTTTTGAAATAAAAGCTAATCTTTCTTATCTGATCTGCAGAGAGGAAGTAAAATTTTTGTTCTTCATGTACTGCTCCTCATCCCGTTTTAAGTGTTTATATTGCAGATCCAAGATGGATCTTGAGATATGTTTTATCTGTGGAGTAAAGTTGGGACGAGGGAACAGATCCGAGGTTGGATCCCAGGAGAAAATGGAGAAGCTTGTTTCAGTGAGTAACACTGTGGAACACTCAAGGTCGATTTTACTGAGGAAACTTACTTTGTAGATCATAAACTGATTACGTTATGTTTGGATTTTTATTAAACTAGAAATAAAAATCTTTTTTGAACATTTCTCTTGTTTCTGAGCACTTATCTCTTCTGGTTTCAGTACTAAAATCTCTCTTTTGGTGAAGTACACCAATCTCTCCTGGTTTCAGTACACTAATCTCTCTCCTGGTTTCAGTACTATAATCTCTCCTGGTTTCAGTACTATAAGTTCTCCTGGTTTCGGTACTATAATCTCTCCTGGTTTCGGTACTATAATCACTCTTCTGGTTTCATGCACTAATCTCTCTTCTGGTTTCGGTAAACTAATCTCTCTTCTGGTTTCGGTAAACTAATCTCTCTTCTGGTTTCGGTACACTAATCTCTTTCCTGGTTTCAATACACTAATCCCTCTCCTGGTTTCAGATTTCTTTTCTTATAGTTCTTATAGTTCTGTACACTAATCTCTCCTGGTTTCAGTACTCTAATCTCTCCTGGTTTCAGTACTCTAATCTCTTTCCTGGTTTCAGTACTCTAATCTCTTTCCTGGTTTCAGTACACTAATCTCTCTCCTGGTTACAGTAATATAATCTCTCTCCTGGTTTCAGTTCTATAATGTCTCTCTTGATTTCAGTACTATAATCTCCGATATACTGTCCCGGATTCTGAATGAAACCGTGATGAGAGAGGAGAGTGTTTGTAGAATTTGTTTCAATCTCCTCAACGATATAGATTATCATCTCAAGGTAGGATTTTCTGATAAAATAAATTTGACATATTTTATTAGACGGCTCATTTTGTAACAAGTTCTATGCTTTAATCCGTTCTTTAAAGGTTCTTAAATTGTTTACCATTTTGTTGATTATTTAGGAAGCTCAAGAGAAAACTGATGAGATCACTGCAAAGTTCCTGGACAAGGAAGCTAACTTTATTTATATTCAATACAGTTCCAAACAATGAGAATACAGTTCCAAACAATGAGAATACAGTTCCAAACAATGAGAATACAGTTCCAAACAATGAGAATACAGTTCCAATAAACATGATTTTTTTTAAAATAGCGCCTCAAGGGTCGGCTTGCGATATTTTCCAAGGAGAGGAAATAATCGAATTATTTTTGTTAAAACCAAGACAAGCTGACTGTTGGAGGGGGAAATTATGTTAAAAAATTGTATTTTCATATATATTTATACAAAATATTAATTTTTGTTAATTGGCGCTGCAGACAAAATTTTGTTTTAAATCTATTCTTGGAAATCAAAATTAAAAGGTTAGAAGTTGCCAGCTCTCCATTTTTCCGGGGGGGGGGACGTCCACAAATTTTCCAGGGGGCGTCCCCCCCCCCACATTAAGCCGCTACTGATTGCCTCCCAATCCTTATTGTTGTAATGGTCTAATAAAGTGTTGTGTGTGGTAGGAGAAAGATCCTCTACACTATAATCCCAGTAGCCTAGTGGATCCTAGGAACCAGGATACTAACAACCCAGTCACTAAGAAGAGAAGGATGTTTGGTAAACTCGTTACAACCTCCGGTGGGAGACCAGATGCTGCTATTAAGGGTACACAAGAGGATCTCGGAGATCCAAAGAATCTAGAATATATTAGCATAGGTAGTGTTTCATTCACAAATGATAAGAATAAAATGGGAAAAATCATCTTCTTAATTTTTATATTTTTAGGAACAGATCCAAATATCCCAGTGACTGGTAAACTTATTAACTACGCCCGATACAATCAAAGGTCGGAGAAAAAGCTTGAAACCAAGAATATTCAGATAGTTGGGATTCAGAACCCACGCAGATCAAACCTAGCTCAGAGTCCTGCACCGGACTCCGAGGTTGGAGCTAGCAGCGCGGACGAAATGACCGTAAATGAACTAGCGGAGAAGAAGAGAAGATTAATCTCAAGAGTTCTCGCTCCTAATAAACGGTCCAGGTATGAGGTACGGGATGACCCCGATGACATTGATTTTGATGCTGATGGGGCTCCGATCTATGAGGAAGAACTAACGATTGATACAGAGAAGGAACGTTATGAGAACGATGACGACCGGGAGGCGGAACGGGTTAAGAGAAAGAAGGAAAAGAAGAAAAAGAAGAAGGAGAAGGAGAGGGAGAGAAAACTCCGGTCTCTTCAGCAGGAGAGAGAGAAAAGAGAGAGGGAAGAGGTTCGGAGACAGGATATAGTTCTCCGTCTTACAGATGATGAATCTGAGGTGGAGGAAACTAAAGAAAATACTTCACCCAAGAAAACCAAAGGTATCCTACTAATGTACATTAAAATTTGATTTTTATTTTATAAATGGGAATTCCGTCAAACAATGCTAATTAGATAAGACATAAACGATTTTATTGAAACAATCTACATATAAAGTGAAATATTTTACCTGACTTCAAAGTTGCTTGTTAAGATATCCGAACAGTAGATTTGGCCCAGCTGGGTGATCTTTTCTCATCTAAATCTCCAGAAAAGGAGATAATTGTTAACCAACAGGTAAACATTTCTTTAAATATTATCTACTAGCTGAAATGACTGTGTTTATTTAGCCTATGATACCCCCAGCTTACGCCTGGGTTCCCTAAAAAAATTCAACTAATCGGTCCTTTCGTTTGCCAGCTATAGCTGACATATAAATATATATTATGAGTTAGATTAGAAAAATTAGTATCCCGGGTATCCTAGGGGTGACATAGGCTAAATAAATTTTGGAACTTTTTGAAACTCCGCGGACAATGCCCGAGAATTTAGCTAAAATCATGACCAAACGCGGGTAAAAGGCGGGATTAACTATGAAAAACCCGGGCAACGCCTGACACATCAGCTAGTTATTAATAAAAAGTTTAAGAATTATAAACAGTTTTGAAAGATATCTTGTAATTAGATTGTAGCAAAGAAGACTGTTCCTACTCCTGGAGCAAGAAAACAAATGGATTTCTCAGAGCAAACCTTCTACATAGTTCCTCAGATATACAATAGGAATAATTCTTCATTTAATTTGTTTAATCTTATCTAGTTCCTTAAATATCTATCTAATCTAACCATCACTCCACCATCATTAACATCATCATCTCAACCTCATGTATCCCATCTAATCCTCCACCTAACCTTAAATATCTCATTTAATCTTCCTCTCAACGTCATATATCCCCTCTAATCTTCCACTTAACCTTAAATATCTCATTTAATCTTCCTCTCAACCTCATATATCCCATCTAATCCTCCACTTAACCTTTAATATCTCATTTAATCTTCCTCTCAACCTCATATATCCCATCATCCTCCACTAAACCTTTAATATCACATTTAATCTTCCTCTCAACCTCATATATCCCATCTCATCCTCCACTAAACCTTTAATATCTCATTTAATCTTCCTCTCAACCTCATATATCCCATCTCATCCTCCACTAAACCTTTAATATCTCATTTAATCTTCCTCTCAACCTCATATATCCCATCTCATCCTCCACTTAACCTTAAATATCTCATTTAATCTTCCTCTCAACCTCATATATCCCATCTCAGCCTCCACTTAACCTTAAATATCTCATTTAATCTTCCTCTCAACCTCATATATCCCATCTCAGCCTCCACTTAACCTTAAATATCTCATTTAATCTTCCTCTCAACCTTGTATATCTCATCTAATCCTCCATTCAATCAATCGGTTTCATATAATTTTACTCTCAATCTTAATTAACTCATCTCTCCCTACACTCAACTTTATTGATCTCATATAACTCATATAGCATCTTAAACTTATCTGATCCTTCACTCAACCTCATACTTCTCATCTAACCCTTCACTCAACCTCATACTTCTCATCTAACCCTTCACTTAACCTCATACTTCTCATCTAACCCTTCACTCAATCTCGTATTTTTTTTAATTCCTTGATTCAACCTCGCATGTTTTTTCTAATCCTTCACTTAACCTCATGTCTCATCTAACTATTTACTCAACCTCGTTTACCTTTTTTAATCCTGGATTCAACCTGATATATCCTATACTAACCCTTAAACTAACCTTATATATCTCAGCTAATCCTCCACTTAAACCCATTTATCTCATCTAATTAATCCTCCTGCAGAGTGAACGTTCATTTTCAATCCTTGACATATTGATTCAATCTTTCTTAAAATCTTTTTTCTAAAATTGTTTTGAAAGGATAAGTTGACAGAAGTATTTATTTTATAGTGGTGAGGAACCTTGTATCGGGGAGATAATTGCTCAATCTGAACCAATCACAAACAATATTATTGTAAAGGAGAATGCTTCGCTTAATCTTCAGGTCAGATACATTACTGTCCGCATTATTTTTTTCTCAAACCAACTTCATGACTTTAAATTTTCAAAACACGCTTTTTTGTCACTGAAGACCACTTTATTGGCTTGTTTCAAAACATATTGATTTGGTCACAAAAAACATAAAGAAATTGACTATTTGCCGTAAACTCAAATGTTCTAATCCCTATATCTTTGCAACCGGATGCATTAAACCTTTTATATTTTAAACTTCGATTATTTGATCTAACAGAATTTATAGTTTCAAATATCTAAGGTCTACGGCTGGCAATGGGTTTCAAAGATAGAGAGATTAAAAGTCAGAGTTTTTTTTGCAAAAACTTGGTTCTTTGCAATGTATCTTTTCAAGGGCTGAGTAATATTATTTAGAGATCGACAAGCTCATTAAAAATTTACTGCTAGGGGACAAAACTAGGGTTAGATATTCTTACAAGAAGTTTTGCTGAGACAATGTGACAATCTAATTTTGTTTCCAGGATATATCTGATGAAAGTGATGCTGAGTACACGACACAGACCCAGTACACCCAGATAAAGACCTCGAATACCTCGATGGACTCCATGGTTGTTGTAAACTCCCCTCAGATCTACAGACAGCAGGGAGTATCCAGGGTTCCTACACACCAGGATCTAAACCAGTCTGTAGGATCTAAAACTGGAGCTGTTGCTTCTATATCTTGTCCTCATTGTGACAAGAAGTTCATGCGAGGATATAATATGAGAGTTCACATAGATAGAGTTCATAATAAGGTAATAGTTTTTTCCAAATTATTTCTTCTCGGTTCTTTTCATTTACATCGGAAAAAGTATCCCTGAAACCATTATCCAGTATTTAAACTCTTTAATCATCTCACAATTTATGCAGTCCACAGGAATGGCCTATAGCTTGGTTTGACAATTCTAAGTTGAGTAGAATGACTTTAAATTTCCATGCAAAGCTGGGTTCCCCAGCTAGTAAATCTCTACTACTTTAGATTTAAGTGTTTTTTTATTCCTATTTATCTTTGCCGACATAATAACCCTTCCGGCAGCGTCGATAAATATATAAATGATGAGACCAAGAATGGTTTTAAGATTATGTTTGTTCAGAGTAAACCGTGGCAGTGTCAGTTCTGTGAGAAATCATTCGCAACCACCTCAGATCTCAAGCAGCATATGTCCTCTCATGGGATGGGCAAAATTCATAAGGTTTAACTTCTTTTTCTATTATCTTTATAGAGTTAATAATGCCTTTTGTATCCCCTTCATTATTACATTGTTGTACTGTAGTGTGGTACACAAGATAGTGCGTAGTGCACACTGTACATTATACTCGCCTATACTATCATATCGTTTAAGTGTATTGTGGTACACAAGATAGTGTACAACTGTAGTACACTGTACAGTTTACCCGACTTAACTATGATATTGTTGTACTGTCGTTTGGTACACTAGATAGTTTACATTGTACAGTGTATACTATACCCGCATTTGCTATGATATTGTACTGTACTGTGGTACACCAGATAATGTACAGTAGGCTTCCCTTTCCTATGATATTTTACAGTAGTTTAGTACACTTAAAAGTGTAAAGTATACCTTCCTTTACTAAGATGTTGTACTGTAGTTTAGTACACTTGAAAGTGTACATAATGCTTTACTATAATATTGTACTGAATTATAATACACTATTCAGTGTACAGTTTACCTCCTTTACACTATTTACTGCACAGTATACCCCCTGTACACTAATTAGTGTACAGTATACCCCCTGTACACTATTTTCTGTACAGTATCCCCCCTGTAATCTATTTAGTTTACAGTATACCACCCCCTGTACACTATTTAGTGTACAGTATACTCACTGTACACTATTTAGTGTACAGTATACTCACTGTACACTATTTAGTGTACAGTATACTCACTGTACACTATTTAGTGTACAGTATACAGCTGTACTATTATATTGTACTATGTAGTGTGCTGACTGTGGACGTCAGTTTAACAACAGGGACTCAGCAATACTTCACAGAAAGCAGCATAACAACGAGAGAACTCATGTTTGCGTAGAATGCGGGAAGGGTTTCTTTAAATCTTCATGCTTAACGGTAAGTGGCATTTACATGGTATAGTTAATAAAATATGTGCTTAATTCTTTCGGTCTAAAACATGTTCAATTTATAGCTTGTACAAATGGAGTTACAGTACACGTTTTTGCGTGAAGGCATCATATATTTTTAATGGGTTCCGCCTGCACTAGTGTTAAAGCAAGAAATATTCCTGAATTAAGGGTGAGAAGAAACATTAAAGGATGCATAAACAATACATAAACAAATTTAACATCTGACGATTAAATTTTATTTACTGAAAATGTTTAAAGCCGAATTACAGAGTATGTTCAGGGATACTCACAAAGGTGGAGACTTTAGATACGACTGTAAAAAATCATTATGTCTTTCTATCTCGCTACTTTAAAGTTATTTCTTTTTATTGAAAATTTATTTGAGATATGATTACAGGACTATATTTAATACCAAATTTAACCTTCATATTGCTATATTGAAAGAGTTCCAGGTCGTCGTAAAAGTCTCATCCTTTGTGGGTTACCCTGTACTTGTAACTGCATCTTGTTTTTAAAATACGATATTTTGGATCAAGCTTGAAAGTTAGAGTAATTAATATAATAATTATTCTTTATCTAAATTATCTCAACAAAATTTAATAAAATTAGAATGTTTAAAAATCTTTAATTCTACAGAGACATATGAGATGTCATACAGGGGAGAAACCATTCAGCTGTCAGTTCTGCGATAGAAAGTTCTCCCAGGTAAATATAACAAAATACACAAAAATCAAATCAAATCAGGAGTTAAAGGGAAAGCTTGGCTCCATTCTTCAGCCTGGAGTTTCAAGTCTCGATTGTGAAATGGGTTTTCAGCCTGGATCTGAATTTATTTCGACATTTGTTATAAATCATGTTAATGATTAATTTTTAATGTTAAGCGTTATGATTCCGACAACACGACCAAGTTTGAGCTGTGCAACCATTTTTAGATTTCTTTCATTCATAGGGGCCAATTTTATGTTAAATATTAATGAAGGGCAGCTCCCTAATGGTTTTTTTCTGCTACACATTCCTAGGGAATATATATAGCAGAGAAGGAAAAATAATGAATGTTAAGAAAGGTATTCTAGAAATTAATTGGTTTTATATATAAGCTAGAATAATGATCGTGTTGTGGATAAAAATTAGTTGGCAAGAAATTAGCGCAGCTTGCTGAATTTGATTGAAATTCGATTACACACTAGAGTAGATTTAGTGAATTAGAATTAGATTTTGAAAATTTAATGTGAACTAGAATTCGATTACACACTAGAGTAGATTTGATAGAATTAGTGAATTAGAATTAGATTACACACTAGAGTAGATTTGATAGAATTAGTGAATTAGAATTCGATTACACACTAGAGTAGATTTGATAGAATTAGTGAATTAGAATTAGATTTTGAATATTTAATGTGAACTAGAATTTTAAATTTGAAGTTTCATAACTAAAATGAATCAGAATATTCCCTGGACGTGACAAGATAATTTAGAATTGATTAATTTATCTATTGGCGGGGTTGAGTGGTTCTACTGACCAGCCTTCAGACCACACTAGACCGTTCCAGGAAGAACTTGTCTAAAAGTATGTCTAAATCAAGCCTCTATCGACCAGATCCATCTTCGAACTGCTTGAAGTCTTGAAGTTCATCTTTCCCTTGGGCGCGTTGCTCTAAGAAGGACTGAATGGACTGTTCTGCCCTAATACTGATCCCTTGTCTGTGACGTTCCATTTGTTTGCACGTGATTAGCAAACGAAATTCATTATTGCAGTCTCCTATTTTAACTCTCCCACCATCTTGTGAGATTAAATCTGCTGTTTTGTAAGAATCTCTGTTGCCTAACCCTGCGTTCATACATCTAAACATCAGGGTTGTTGGCCATCTTGACTCTTCAACGTGGCACTGCAATTTCCATCAGATTTTTAAATAAACAGGAAAAATCTTTAATATCTAATACAGTATATGGAAGAAGACATTCAATACGATTCACCAACTGTCATGTTTCGTGGGACACTCTGTACCTAAATTAAACATCTTAAGAGTGTTTCCCTCGGAAACCAAGCTGATATTTACTTAAACTTAAATTCTGGATTTCATTTGAATAGTGATCTATGCCCAGGATTGATGACTAAGCCTTTGGGAGAAATTTATTTTAGTTTAATCTAAACTGAAATTTTAGATTTGATAACAATGTTTAGTTAACTGGGGTTTGTATATTTAACTAAGTTCTGTCCATCAAATCATCAATCCTTTCTAACTTTAGAAAATTTAAATCGATTAATTCAATTTTGGAGAGATTTGTGAATGTGGGTTGGTAAAATAACCTAATATTAGATAAATATCACTTTTGGTTTTGTATTTATATTATTTTAATCAGTTTATTTTAGAATTGTAAGCCTACAAAACATAAAAACTTAATGCCCTTTTAATGTTTGTGTTAAATTTTATAATTTTTAGTTTAAAAAGGGCTCNTAACTGTATTGCTAAATTTTTTTGGGGTGGGGGACAAAATGTGTTTTTTCAAGGGAAAAAGTAACTAAAAAACTAGAAGTTAAAGTTTTTTTTTTAAATTTCACCCAAAATTTCTTTTGAAATATACTCTGCATTCTATTTTTAAATGCAAAATAATGTTTCGTAATTTCTTTATTAATTGATTTAAACTCCAATTTTGCATAGTTAAATGAAAAACAGTTTTGAACCCTCTTCTTGCATTGTTGCATTGTCAGTAGGTTTCTATTATGTCTCCACCAGTACTATCGTCTCCCCGTTCAACCCTGTACAGTGAAGGGATTGTAAGCGTGATTTTGAGTGAGCAATTTATCGTTGTCTTATCTTTTCTAAAACCTATATTTAAAAGTCTCCCAACTGCTGGAATTGTGTTTAATAAAAAAGAGATCACAAGAATGCGTCGAAAAAAATCCGCGAACCCATTTATAAGTTTTGTTTTAAACCGCTACCTTTCTGAGATTTTAAGCATTACGTATTTTGAACTATCAGTACAAAGAACAGCTTTTGGACAACATTTTGTACGAGATTCATAAATATATTCAAAATTCTCATTTTTACTTGAGCCTCAAAATTGTCATTTTTTACCCAAATATATTCAAAATTCTCATTTTTTACCCAAATATATTCAAAATTCTCATTTTTTACCCAAATATATTCAAAATTGTCATTTTTACTTGAGCCTCAAATGATTCAGAAGACATCCGACATCCGAGCTATTTCGAACTGCGGGTACAATCCCTTTATTTTATACAACACCTTCCAATACTACGTAGTAGAGTCTATTCATATTTTGTTTACATTCAACAAGAAGAGGTTCTGGATATTTTGCAACGATTAATTTGCAAACTGACTTGCAAACATTTTCCTTGCACTGAGTTTATATTTCATGCTGAGCCATCATATCATAAACAAGGAGAAGCAGACAAACAGTTTGAATAATTCACCATTTATTTTCTTTAGGTTATTTATGAGCAGAAGATAGAAGTTAACCCTCACCGTAAACTTAATATTTCTTTGTAATTTGGTTTTAATTATCTAATTATTACTTAATTCGTGGCCGTGTTAAGAATATGGCCGATATATATGATACTTTTCTTGTGTCACACCAATAACCTGTTTCACCCAATAAATACTTATTTTAAAAAGAATTGAGTCTTTCCCACAAAATCTGATTTTTTCTTTATTTTTATCGTAGACCTTAGTAAATCAAACTGAGTTCTGTTAGATCAAATAATCTAAGTTTGAAATATCAATAGTTTACACAACCAGTTTGCACAAAGATATAGTTATTAGAAAATTTAACCTTTTGGCAAAGATTCAATTCCTTACTCATCTTGATAGAAATGATGAAAATCATGTATATTCTACAGTGAAACCCTTAATAACGAATACATCGAAAGAATTCATCAATTGTCGTATTCTTCACCTTCTGATAATGTAATGTTGCAGATATTTAGTTTTTTAATTAAATGATTATATGGAACTCTTTAAAACTGTTCCCGCATATTCATGGCTATTTATTTATTTTCGCAAATACTGAAATTTACGTAATATAGTATAAAACTCATTGAAAAATTGGCAAGACGACATTTGATAAATTCTGCCGATGTATTCGTTATTAAGGGTTTCACTGTATCTTGTTTGGTTTGCCACAAAGTTGTTGGACACTGGACATCTAAGTAAAAATTGTCTCTTCAAGTTAGAATATTAACAATTATTTTGTATTAAACTCTGAAAATGTTTTATCATTAATCGGGAAATATCCGATTATTAAAATATAAAAGATAAATATTTTGAATTATCTAGAATCTGAAATCTGTTATTATTCATGATTTATCTACACTCCAGCTGAATCTTGATAAGGAATGTTTAAAATAAATTTGTCAATACTTTCTTTCCCTTTGAATATTTCTAATGTTTCCCCCCCCCCTTCCCACTTATGTTAATCCCCCTCCTTCATTTTTACCATCTTACTGAATCTAGCGAACGCCTCCACCCCGCAGACCCGCATGCTTATCAAATTCTTGACACCTTCTTCTCTTCTTGGAAACCCCACCCCCCACCCTAATCTAATCTAACCCCACCCCTTTCCCAATACAATTTTAACAATCCCTTCTTCTCCAACCCATAGAACCTATTAGAAATGTGATATTAGAAATTTTTGTTGTTGAATATTTTTTATCTCATCGTCAAATTAACGATTAGTCCCTTTAAATAATTTGCATGTATTTGCACACTGCACTGGATACACAAGATGATAATGTAAATAATAATTAGTATTATATATATTATATACAAAAAATTAAATATTCGAAGATTTTCCTGTTCCTTTTTAATAACTGTAACGGCATTTAACAAAATAGCTGAGGCCATGTAAGGTCCCACAAAGTAATATGGCCCAATCAGTTCAATTTTAGCTATTTCCACGTTTACTTGAACCGGAAGGCAAGAACAAAGGAATTGAGTCTTTGCCTGCACAAACTCTGATTTTCTAATCCCTATATCTTTGCAACTCAATGTTGTAGATCTTAGATATTTCAAATTATGAATTGTTATAGATCAAATAATCTAAATTTGAAATACTAAGGTTTGCTCCAATAAGTTTCAAAAAATAAAAGAAAAAAAAAATAAGGGGGGTGGAAAAAAAAACTAAATTCCTTAACAGACAATAAATGACAATCCGTTTTTATCTCTTTCGATCAGATGATAATTGTTTTACATGTTTTTCTTAAATGCATTTATACCTATCATTGAGTTCAGGGTTAACTTGGAAAGATGAGACTTCAAATAATCTTCATCTCATTTCATGACTATATTAAACATGCCAGACAGAAAAGTCAATTCTGTAGTTGTATAAGAGCTAAAACTTTATGAAAGATGGGATTTAAGGGGTTTCTCTATTTTATCGTGTATGAAAGTGATTTAGACTTATACTTAATTCAAAAATTTGGAGATTCGTTTTTATCCATTATGTAAACAAACAACCATCAAATGATATGATAAACCTTGGAATGATAATAAAAAAAAATTCATTTATAAATCGGATATTTTAATTAAATGTTTATTATATTGATTGCACACAATTACATGCATATTCTCGGCTCAATGCAGTAATTGTGTTGCAGTTTGTTAAAAACTTTAATGCAATCCTCTTAAATTGTTTAAACAAGCACTTAAAATATTAAGTTACTGCATCACTGCTCAGCACCAGATGGATTATATTTGGTTTTTTTTATTTGTTTGTATTTATCACGAGATTTGGGGTTAAATTGACTTTTTAATTGTTTTTAAACTTGAACTTTGATCTCTATGATGTTTGATTGCATAAATCTTCAAGGTTTTTAACTTATCAAGAATTCAGAATGCAAAAACATCTAAAATTGATAAAAACAATAACATGGAGTTCGTGTTCGTACGTTCAAGTTATACCAACCCACAGAGAGCAATATATAAGAGAGGGTGATAGTGAGATATCTTTCTCTCTAATCGACCATATCTCGAAGGAGGAGATAAGAGAGAAAGATGATATGAGAGAGAGTAGGAGGATCGATATAGAAGAAAGAGAAGATAAGATAGAATGAGGATAAAAGAGAGAAGGAATTGAGGAGATAAGAGAGAAGTAGGAGATAAGAAAGAGAGAAGAGGAGATATAGAGAGTTGGTGGAGATTAAAGTTAGAGAAGTAAGGGTAAAGAGAAGGTGGAGATAAGAGATAAGGAGGAACTGGACGGGTAAAAGAGAGAATATGGGATAAGAAAGAAGGAGTTTAGAGAGAAGATATTAGATAAGAAAAGGAGGAGATAAAAGCTAGATAACTGGGAGGTAAAGAGAAGGAGGAGATAAGAAATAATGGAGGAACTGGAATAGTATAAGAGAAACATATAGAGGTTGAGATTAGAGTGATTATAATAGAAAAGAAATAATTAAGGAGGAGATAAAGATAAGGAGGAAGGGTAAGAGAGGAAGATGATCTGTTAAACAATTTTCTGTGATCCAACTGATCCAACGGGTTCCCCGCAAAATCATAATATTAAATTAGTACAATTTTTCAAGATAACAATTTGAACTTAATCACCCCGCAATTCCTGCACCATCTCAATCGTATAAATATTTTTTTTCGACTTTTTAACAATTAACCCCCCCCGGCCCCACATTAACATGCAATGTCATATCTTCCATGTTTGTAGTCGTTGCAGCTTAGTTATCTTTCTTTAAGTTTTCCCTTCCTTCTATATTTATCAGAATACAAATGTATCTTTATAAATGCGTACTGCAGGAACTGCAGACATCTGCTTGATGCAAGACGGCGTCCCTTGGGACGGTCTGCACTCCACGTAGGGTTGAATGGCGTCTGTTTCCGGTGACCTCCTATTGGTCGGAAGCCATGAAATAAATTATCGCTGCCTCTGATTGGACGAATCAGGACAGCCGGCAAAATCGATGAAAGCTGCCTTTCCTGACAGGGGTAATTATATATTTTTTTAAATAAAAAGCTTCTACAGTTTTAATCAAAGTATCTATTCTTTTACATTTTAAAATAAAAAATAGTTTATCCCTGTATATACTTCCTTAAAGTTTAGTATATACCAATCTATCTGTATCAATATTCACTTCTCCTTATATCGTTGATCAGTTCAGACCTCAACTTTATCTCAATTCACCATGGATGCCTTCAAGGGAAAATACGAGCGTGTTTCAGCTGAGAACTACGAGGAATTCCTTAAGGTACTGCTATTGGACTAAGTCATTTTTGCATAATTATTCATATTTATGAAACTATCGTATATCATTCTTTCTCACTTCATAATGAATTTCATAATGAACTTTGAAGTAATCATCGTTCTATATTGTTAAATTAGCTTTACGCACGTGCTATAAAGTTTTGATTGGTTCCCGGATTTTTTCACTTTCGTTCAATAGGACAGACCCATAAGACAAGTACACAAACGTTTCTTAAAATACCTATCTCTATTATTTTGGCACGACGTGTTATATAGTTTTTGTACTTATTTTCTCATCTAAGGTTCTCGCCTTTGAGATTATAGTTTGTCCCTTGCTAAAGCTCGGGACAAAATTAAACTTTAAAGTCTTAAACAAAAAGAGAATTTATATCCATAAACTTTTTAGCACTGCGAACCAAAATAACAGTTATAGTTTAAATGAATCTTGGGTTGGGGGTTGGGCCTGGGGTTAAGCTATTGTTAAAAATCTTGGCTTAGGAAACTTGTGGGTTATTACTGACCAGATATATTTGATATGTGGGGTTTAAGAATTAACGTTTTCAAGTTTTTTTTTAATTGGGCAAGAAAAGTACCCCGGTTACCTTTTGGTATTTTTTGCATTAATTATATCAGGGGTTTTGGATTTAGATTGTGGATGGGAATGAAGCGGTTTCTAGGTTGACAGAATCATGGGGAGGAGGGGGCGGTTGATTCAATTTGTTTTGTGGGAATATTCGGATAAACTTTAAATTTTGTAATTTTGGTTCAGATATTGTTTATTGATTCTCGGTTTGGGGTGACTGTGTTCGATAAAGAATCATATTCCGCGCGGTTCACTAAGATTTTTTAACATAGTTATTTCATTTTTCTTTATTAAAACGCGAATTAGGCCGGCGAGAAGCTATTTCTCGATTGAATTGCAATTTTTCAGCGGTCTTCCGAAGTTACCCCACATTTTTATGCAATTTTTTTCTCTTGCGCTTGTCTGCAATATTTAATCATTTTCTTCATATATATTTTCATAATTTTATATGTATAAAACAATTCTTGTATTCTAATAGTTTTATTTTGATCAAAATTATCTCTTAATATTCTTAGGAGCTGGATGTAAACTTCCTGCTGAGGAAGGCCGCTACTGTCTCCACCCCCGTGATGGAGGTGTCTGAAGAGGGAGGAGTCTGGACTATAAAGACCAGCACTACTCTTAAATCCATGGAGCTCAAGTTCAAGGTATATATACTAGTTGTATAAGCCTAAGCTCTTATGTTAAGTGTAACAGTTCAGTCCTTCTCTCAGCAAACTGACATTCGATCACAATTTTATTATCAAAGTGTTTTCTTTTTTATTTAAGTCTGCATATACGTTCTAAATAAAAAAATTGACAAATTCTAGACCTAAAACGCAATTGTAATAAAATGGAAAAACTGAATGTAATTCGCCCTGGTAGTCATGTGTGTTTATCTTCTCTTAATTTAAAGATTTTTTAATAATTTCCCATTTTTTTCTCAATTTTCGCTTTTTCCCTCCACGAAATTGAATTTTTCCCCTGCTATTTGTGCACCGGGGGGGGAGGGGGTTATATTCTTCTTGACGCTAGCTAACCCGCATGAGTTATGTTCAGTTGATATTTGAGAGTTTTAGTTTAGTTCGCTCTTTCTTGCTTGATGAAATTAACATATGTTTTGGTAATGTGCAAGGCTATATGTATATAAATTGCAGTTACGCCTGACTTACTCTTTATTTTTTCTTGAATTTGTGTCAGTGACGTAAGAACAATTTGCAATTGGCTGTCGGCCCAGTGCTGAGTTCGCATTTATCATGTATCAAACCCTTGCCTGCTCATATAGCCCCCTTCACAACAAGAATCTGCATTTATCCGGTAGCAACACTGGATCATATGATCAAGAGCTGAATTAAGTAAATTTTATAGGTTGGAGAGGAGTTTGAGGAGACTACCGCCGACGGAAGAGAAGTCACCGCCAAGGTTATCGTCGACGGTAACAAATTCGTTTCCGAACAGAAAGCCAAGAAAGATGGACAAAAGAGCACCAAGGTAAATATTTAAATATTATATTTTCATTTTTATGACTTTAAACTGAAGTGTTACACTTGTTTCTTAAGAAGTGTAAACTTAACAGTCTTGCTAGTCGCAGCGCTCGGTCCGGCGCACCTGTTCTAGCCGCAGCTCTCGGCCCCTAACTTATTCTAGTTTCATGTTTCTGGTTCCGTTACAGCCTACTGCGCCTTTTAAAGCCTTACTCAACCTTTGGAAAATTGTTACTTTGGATTAAAAAATTTTAATTATTTTTATTTCAGACTATCCGTGAATTTAACGGAGACGAGGTTGTCCAGACCATGACCGTTGACGGAAACGACAGCCTGGTCTGTGTACAGAAGTTTAAGAGGATCTGAGTTAATGATGTCAATGTAACGAGCTTGTGAAATATAATGCTTTTATTAAAACTTAGTTTTTATTGACCCATTTTTCCTCCCTTAACAATCGCGGCTTTTTGAGAACGATTGTTTTATTTTACTTGTGAAGGTTCTTATTGCTTCCTACCAGGCCCAATATTTTGAACGTTAAATTTCAAGCAAAGGCAATTAAACGTCGGCACTAAACAGTCTGAGCTTGTGAAATATAATGCTTTTATTTTATCTAAGTTTTTTTGATCCATTTTTTTCCCCTTAACAATCGCGGCTTCATATTTTTAAATCTCGACAATATTGGATTTAAGTGTCTAGCCAAAATTAACTTAAAGGTGTTCAGGTAAAATTGTAAGTTAATACGACTTAAGGAATGGCGGATATAGATGTGATCCTGTGAGCATTGCATAGTGCAACTGAAGAGAGACTTCTTATAATGCCTGTGAATAAAGTTGGCGAGGTTTAAACTTGATCGGCCTTTTTTTTGCGAGGTTTAAACTTCATCGGCCTTTTTGAGAACTATGTGTTTTTATCTTGCTTCTGAAGGTTCTTATTGCTTCCTACCAGGCCCAATATTTTGAAGCAAAGGAAATTAAATGTCGGCACTGCAGTCCTTTCATATATCCTATATATATCATAGTCTTAATTTTTGCTACTTTGAAGTGTATCTTGGAATAAAGAGTTATATTGGAGCACTCAGCTCCGTAACAAAAATTAAATGGATATCTAACAAGAGCGTAGTGGGGGGGGGGGCGGGGTTCCTGGAGTACTTCTCCGTAACAAAGATTAAAATGGATATCTAGCACGGGCGTGGGGGGGGGGCCTGGAGTACTCCTCCGTAACAAAGATTAAAATGGATATCTAACAAGGGCGAAGTGGGGTACTCTGGAGTACTCCTCCGTAACAAAGATTAAAATCTGGATGTCTGAGAAGGGCTAGGGGGGGCGGTACCCCTGTGCCTCCCTAGGCCCCCTTGGAGCCATTCTCTTCAAACCTTCATATAATCTATTATTATGATTTATTTGTCGAACACATAAATTTGGTTCAGATATTAGATTAGAACTATAATTCAATTTATACATAGGTTTTCAACTAACGACGTTAATTCTTCTCTAATGTCATCTTCTTCATGTATGTTGTCTTAAACCTTATTATAAACTACATTCTCTTTAAACCCTTGATAATCAACATTTTCTCTTCAAACTTTCTTATAAACTACTTCTTCTCTTAAAACCGTATAATCTACATATTCTCTTCATACCTTATAAACTACTTATGGCCAATTTCTTATTCATTTAACCATAGGTACAACTATGGGTCGTATCTATCTATCTACACCGCCCTGGTAAAGCGTAACCATAGTGTGATTAAAGTGTGAAATTGGCCAATATTCTTTTCAAACCTTCTTGTGAACAAACTACATATTCTCTTCAAACCTTCTTATAACCTGCATATTCTTTTCAACACCTTCTTATAAACTAGATATTTTCTTTTAACCTTTCGATATAACTCCATATTCTCTTCAAACCTTCTTATAAACTACATATTCTCTTGACACCTACTTAACAATTACATATTCTCTTCAACCCCTTCTTAAAAACTATATATTCTCTAAAAACCGTCTTATATAAACTAGATATTCTCTTCAAACCTTCTTAAAAATTACATATTCTCTTCAACCCCTTCTTATAATCTACATATTCTCTTCAAACCTTCTTAAAAACTACATATTCTCTTCAAACCTTCTTATAAACTACATATTTTTTCAAACCTTCTTGTGAACAAACTACATATTTCCATATTCTCTTCAAACCTTCTTAAAAACTCCGTATTCTCTTCAAACCTTCTTAAAAACTACATATTCTCTTCAAACCTTCTTAAAAACTACATATTCTCTTCAACCTCTTCTTATAATCTACATATTCTCTTCAAACCTTCTTATAAACTCCATATTCTCTTCAAACCTTCTTAAAAACTACATATTCTCTTAAAACCGTCTTATATAAACTACATATTCTCTTCAGACCTTCTTATAAACTCCATATTCTCTTGAAACTTTCTTATAAACTACTTATTCTCTTCAAATCTTCTTTAAAACTACATATTCTCTGCAAACCTTCTTACAAACTACATATTTTTTCAAACCTTCTTGTGAACAAACTACATATTCTCTTCAAACCTTCTTATAATCTACATATTCTCTTCAACACCTTCTTATAAACTAGATATTCTCTTAAAACCTTCTTATAAACTCCATATTCTCTTCAAACCTTCTTATAAATTATATATTCTCTTCAAACCTTCTTATAATCTACATATTCTCTTCAAATCTTCTTTAAAACTACATATTCTCTTCAAACCTTCTTACAAACTACATATTTTTTTCAAACCTTCTTGTGAACAAACTACATATTCTCTTCAAACCTTCTTATAATCTACATATTCTCTTCAACACCTTTTTATAAACTAGATATTCTCTTCAAACCTTCTTATAATCTACATATTCTCTTCAACCCCTTCTTATAATCTACATATTCTCTTAAACCTTATTATAAACTCCATATTCTCTTCAAACCCTTATTATAAACTATATTTCCCTTCAAACCTTCTAATAAACTTCATATTCTTTTGAAACCTTCCAATAAACTAAATATTCTCTTCAAACCTTTTATGAACTCCATATTCTCTTGAAACCTTCTAATAATTTACTTATTCTCTTCAAACCTTCTTGTAAACTCCATATCCTCTTCAAACCTTCTTATAATCTATCTATTCTCTTAAACCTTCTTAACTTATAAACTCCATATTCTCTTCAAACCTTCTTATAAATTCCATATTCTCTTCAAACCTTCTAATAAATTCCTTACTCTCTTCAAAACTTCTTATAAACTCCTTTTTCTCTTCATACTTTCTAATAAATTCCTTACTCTCTTCAAACCTTATAAACTCCATATTCTCTTCAAACCTTCTTAAAAACTACATATTCTCTTCAAACCTTCCTTAAAACTACATATTCTCTTCAACCTCTTCTTATAATCTACATATTGTCTTCAAACCTTCTTATAAACTCCGTATTCTCTTCAAACCTTCTTAAAAACTACCTATTCTCTTCAAACCTTCTTAAAAACTACATATTCTCTTCAACCTCTTCTTATAATCTACATATTCTCTTCAAACCTTCTTATAAACTCCATATTCTCTTCAAACCTTCTTAAAAACTACATATTCTCTTAAAACCGTCTTATATAAACTACATATTCTCTTCAGACCTTCTTATAAACTCCATATTCTCTTGAAACTTTCTTATAAACTCCTTATTCTCTTCAAATCTTCTTTAAAACTACATATTCTCTTCAAACCTTCTTACAAACTACATATTTTTTCAAACCTTCTTGTGAACAAACTACATATTTCCATATTCTCTTCAAACCTTCTTAAAAACTACATATTCTCTTCAAACCTTCTTAAAAACTACATATTCTCTTCAACCTCTTCTTATAATCTACATATTCTTTTCAAACCTTCTTGTGAACAAACTACATATTCTCTTCAAACCTTCTTATAAACTACATATTCTCTTCAAACCTTCTTAAAAACTACATATTCTCTTCAAACCCTCTTAAAAACTACATATTCTCTTCAACCTCTTCTTATAATCTACATATTCTCTTCAAACCTTCTTATAAACTCCATATCCTCTCCATACCTTCTAATAAATTCCTTACTCTCTACTAACCTTATAAACTTCATATTCTCTTCAAACCTTCTTATGAACTCCATATTCACTTCAAATCTTCTTATAAACTCCATACTCTCTTCAAACCTTATAAACTCCATATTCTTTTCAAACTTTTTTATAATCTATGTTCCTATTCTCTTAAACCTTCTTATAAACTCCGTATTCTCTTCAAACCTTCTTAATCTCAAATGTTTTAAATCATGTACAGAATAAACCAGTACCTTTAATGATTAAATAAATGCTAAGCTGATTATTGTACGTAGGAATAATCAAAAGTTGGGGATCAGATTAGGTTTACTTTTTTAATTTTTTAAATTATGATTGAATGGAAGGAAAACACTTTTCTGATTATTTTTCATTAAGAAAAACGAACTAGAATTTATATCAAGTACGCACACACTTTCAATTATTAATACCTGAGAGCCAGCAGATACATTTATTAAATAACTTGATTTGGACGGTGCAAAACCAAATGTTTGAATTCTGTATTGGAGTAGCTGTAAATGTTGCAATAATCATGATTGAATCAAGAGCGCCGCAAGAATTTAGTACAACTATTTGCTACAGGGTGTCCCACGAAGCATGACATTTAATAAATAGCTATTTTTAGTTAAACAAATCTTTTGCTTAATCATATTTTACTTTGAAATCATTTTTGATATAATATGACTCCCACATAATATTTTTATTGATCTTTCGTATCAAACAACTTAACAAATTATGGAAAAAGACATTCTAAAATATTAACCAACTGTCATGTTTCGTGGGACACCCTGTACCAGAAGTTTAGCGATTAGCAGTCTCAAAAAGGTCTATTTAATGATTTTGCAATCGACGTGAAGAATCGCAAATGTGGAAAAGAAAAAATTCAACAGAAACTGAGAGTCCTTTCTAAAGTCTTCTCACACTGTTTAGTGCACTGTCAAATCAAATCTTATTTCATTGGTTGACAGATCATTGTTTATTGGAACTTCCTGTGTACAGGGTTACACACCTAAGTGGAAAATCCTTTATAAAAGTATAGAAAAAAAGAGGATTGAACACAGGAAGAACTTGCAATATACTATATTTAACAGACTAGTCACATACAAACTAAAATAAGACAACGTAGGTAGTTTGGGGTCTTTTCTTAACAAGCTTACATCTGAAAATAAAATTAAAATTATAAAATCACCTTTTTGAATGAAATTAAAAACTTACTGGAGCAATGGATGAGCTGCGAGCACGGGTTTTAGCTTTTGCAAGAGCTTGCTCGTTAGCATCAGCAGCTTCAAGGGATTGAGCCAGGGCTTGCTGAGTCTGCTTGAACTTGGTCAGGTTCAGGGTTGCAATCTCTTCAGCTTCTTCGATCTGCTTCTTGTAGGACTTAATCTTTCCCTGGAGCTGATCAATCAAACCCTGCATCCTCTCGTGATTCTTCCTATCCTCGTCCTGCTGGTAGGTCAACTCCTTGATCTTGCGTTCAGACTTCCTCAGTCCCTTCTGGGCATCAGAAAGACGCCTATTCTCAGCATCAAGCTCGGACTCAAGTTCACGAATCCTCGTATCCATCTTACCCATGGCCTTCTTGCCTCCCTTCAATGCGTTCTGTTCAGCATCATCCAACCTGGATTGCATATCCTTGATCTGGGCTTCAAGAAGTTTGCGGTCGCGTTCAAGACTTTGAGCGTGCTCCTGTTCTGCACGGAGTTCGTCAGCTAGTCTAGCGGCATCAATCATTGCATTTTGAGCTTTCTCATCCGACATTCTGGCCTCAGAAGCCATTTCGCACAGATCAGCCTGAAGAAACACAAATTTTGTTTCTAAAATACAACCTGGGATCTAGTCTAAAATTAACCTTAAAAAAGATGCCATTGAATGTTTTAAACGAAAAAAAACTTTATCTTATCAAAAAGCCAAGATTTAAAAGCTTGTGTCTAATTTCTTTGACTCAATATCGCCATTCAAAGTTAGACCTGATTTATGTGAGGAATATTGAAAAGGCTTATTGGTTTAAAATTCAACACAAAACGCAAAAATTTCAGTCCAGACATATCAAAATGCTCAAGCCTTATTGGCAGTTTAATTGTGCAAATTATTTAAATCACCTCAGGCAAAAATATCCAAAACATAAAATGACAACTAAAAGTTTTGAAAGATAAAGTGTTGTTTACTCAGAATAAATAAATTCTTACCGAGAGAGTTTGTAATTCAGATTCAAGTTTCATCTTAGCACCCTGGATAGCTTGGTTAATGCAGGACTGATTTCCAAGAGTTTCATTAGTATCAGACAATTCCTGTTCAACTATTCTCCTAGCACGATCTGCCTGTTCCAACAGAGTACGAGCTTCCTCCAGAGCATTATTGTTAGCATGAGCTTTCCTATCTGCTGCCAGCAGATTATCATGAGCAATCTCTTTGGATCTGTTTGCTTCTTCAAGCCTACCCTGAGTCTCTCTCAGAGCAAGTTGATATTTCTTAATAGTTTTCTGGGTCTCTGAGTTGGCTGCATTGGCATGTTCAAGAGCAGTTTCAAGGTCGGAAACATCAGATTCAAGCTTTTTCTTCATTCGTGTGGCTTCAGCCTTGGCTTTAGACTCCATTTCAATAGCTGCTTGCATGTTCTCAATAGCTTTATTCATTGCCTTTCTAGTAGATTCAAATTCCTCTTCCTTTTCTCCCATACGACGCTCAATTTCCTGCCTGACCTGACCAAGCTCAATCTGTATACGGATAACTTTATTCTCCTCCTGCTCTAAAGCTCCTTCTGCCTCTGACAGCGCTGCTTCAAGTTCCATTTTTTCTGCATCAAGACGCTGGCGAATCTTTTCAATTTCATGAATGGATCTTCCTCCTTCGCTGATTTGATCCATTACATCTCTAATTTCATTAGAAAGGCTTTTATTCTCTCTTCGGACCTCTTCCAATTGAAGAAGAGCCTCTTCATAGGCTGACTTGATTCTAAATAGTTCAGAGGAAGCATTCCTTGTTTCCTTTTGACTGACATCTAAGTCCATACTGAGTCCATCAACCTTGGATTTCCATTCTCCAACAATTCTGTCGAATTGCTTGGCCTTTTTATCCATGGAAGCATTAAGGATTTGTGCCTGGTCCAGCTGGACAGCCAGGGAGTCTAGTTCTTCTTGCATTTTTTGCTTTGACTTTTCAATTTGAGCAAGCTTTGAGCTAAGTTGATCAATTGTAGAGTCAGCTTCAGTTAAGCGAGCTTGCATCTTCAGTTTCACCATTTCTAGTTCTTCAGCCTTTGCAACTCCTTCTCTTTCGTACTTGGTTCTCCACATATCAGACTCTCCTTGAGCCTTGTTGAGTTGTCTCACAAGATTTTCCTTGTTAGCTACTTCTTCATCATAATGCTCCTTCATTCCAGCAACTTCATGCTCAGCATTTCTGAATTTTCCAAGAAGAGATTGGCGCTCCTTGGCTTCTTCATCAGCAATACGCCTTTGATCATCAAGTTGAGAGGCAAGGGCACATTTAACCTTGGACAGCATATTAGCAGAATTTTCAAGTTCTTGTAGCTGGCGAAGCAGATCTGCATTTTCGGCAGAAAGCTTCCTTTTGTTACTCTCAAAGTCTGCCAAAGTCAGGTTGGCTTCTTCTGCCTTTTTACCTAACTCATTCAGTTGGGTCAAAAGATTTCTTTGAGATTTTTCTGCTGCGGCTGCGGAACGGTTGACCTCATCAGTTGCTGATCGAGTGTCAGCAATTTCATGCATGATATGCTGCTTATCTTTTTCTATCTTACCCTTCATCTTATTTAGTTGATCAATCTGCTCAGTCATTTCAGCAATAGCATCCTGGTGCTTCTTCTTGAGTGAGATTAGAGTAGCTTCTTGTTGAATAAAAGCTTCTTCAAGATCACGTCTCAACTTGCTAACTTCAGCCTCTCTCTTTTTATTCAACTCAATTTGAGCTGATGTAGCTCCTGATGCCTCTACCAATCTTTCTCCCAGATTTTCTAGCTCCCTAGATAAGTCAGATCTTTGTCTTTCTGCCTTTGCTCTGGCTTGCCTTTCTGCTTCAAGTTCTTCTTCCATCTCTTCAACACGGGATTGAAATTCTTTGATTTGCTTCTGAACCTTTGCAACCAGGGACTGCTCATCCTCCAGTTTGCTAAACAGAATTCCTGCATCTTTTTCCTTATGGGCTATTGAGTTCTCTAATTCCTTTTTGACTCGTTCAAGATCAGCGACCTGTTCTTGTGTTACTTTCAGGTCTCCTTCAACTTTTCTCCTTTCTTTTTCAATATTGGCTCTTCCTCTCTTTTCTTTGTCAAGAGCAGATTCTAACTCATCTAGAGTTTGCTCTAGTTTATTTTTAATCGCATTAAGATGACTAACCTTATCCTCTGCAACCTGAAGATCTTCACTGGCCTTTGCGGCATTCTCATTCAAATGTTTCTTCTCCTTATTCAATTTGTTAATGACTTCATCTTGATTTGCAACCTCATCATTAAGACTTTTAATGGTATGGTCTCGGTTGGTTTTTTCTTGTTCCAATTTTTGTATGGCCATGTCAACATCTTCAATGTCTTTCTTAACAGCAACAACTTCCTGTTCTAGAATTTTCTTTTCTGCTGTGGCTTCCTGTCGTTCAAGTTCCTTTTGAATCAGAGTTTCTTGAGCTTTAGATAACTGGGATTCAAGATCAGCTTTTTGGCTTGAAATCTTTGCTTGTCTCTCATGATACTCAGACATGTTACCCTGTTCCTTCTCAATTTGCTTCAAAAGAGCTTTAGTTTCCTCCTTAATGTCTTCATTTTCTCGAAGAAGTCTTTCCTTAGTTTTAAGTTGTTCATCATAAGCTCCATATTTAGCATTAGCCTGCTCTTCAAGAAGGCGAAGTTCCTCCTCAGGATTAGGCATTCCTATCATAGGACGAGTCTTTTGAATAATCACAAACCATCCCCAGTCTCTCAGAGCAATAAATTTTCTGAAGTTTCTTTGACAGACCTTAATCAGCTCTCTTTGATCAGCCTTCTTCTTGAATGTTTTAGATCTCATAAACCGGAGAGCCTCTCCTTGAATATAACGTACAAGCCTAATCACAATATCATCTCGCTTTTCTTCCATGAATGCAAGAGCACCAGCACGGAAAAATACAAGAGTATGTCCTAGACGATATCTATCTCTGGGGAACTCAATCTTGTCCATCAAAGCATAAACAGCAGTCTTGTTATCTCCTGAACTTGCGATTTCTTGAGCACCAAGAATGGCATACCTAGATTTGAAATCAGGGTACAACATTCTGTTGGGGAAACCTCTCATGCAGATCCTGATACCTTCAAGCACACCATTGCAAGTGAGCTGGTGCATAATTAGAGGAGGTTCGACCTCTCCAGGTTTCTTGTGAGTGTTAGGGACAAGGCAACGCACAAAGTGAGGTTCGCAGCTGTGGAGGGTATGCATCAATTCACCAAGTGATACAAGATAAACAGAGGACACAGTTTTACCACCGCCACCCTTTTTCTTCTTCTTTCCATCATCTTTTGGTGCAGAGGTTGGTTGACCAGGATGATCCAACCAAAGATGAACAAGTAACTCAACTGTAGAAGTTGATTTGAAAACTTCAACAACAGAGTCATTTACAGGGTCCTTGTTCTTTTCAAGCCAACCGGTAACATTGTAGGACACAATACCAGCATAGTGAGAAAGAGCAAAGTGAGCATTCTTGTCAGTCTTGGACTGGGGTTTCAGGAAAACTGGAAGTTTTCCAAGAGATGCCTTCAGCTTTTCTTCAAAAGATTTATCAGTTGCTTTGGGGAAAAGTGATTCCTCCTCAAGAATGGCCCAAATTCCCATGGGTTTTTCAAACATGATAATACAAGCAGCCAAATCCATACCAAAATCAACCATTTCCCAGTCAATACCTTCTTTGACATACTCCTCCTGCTCAACAACAAACATATGGTGGTTAAAGAATTGCTGAAGCTTCTCGTTGACAAAGTTGATGGAAATTTGTTCAAATCCATTGTACTCAAAGATTTCAAACCCAGCAATGTCAAGAACAGCACAGAAGTTATTTTTTTTCAGGGTTGGGTCAATTAGGGTATCATTACATTTTTCAATCAGCCATTTGAAGACACGGTCAAAGATAGCTCTTGCAATACCACCTACAGCATTTGTGGCTTGCACACATGATTGACCTTTAGTGACCCATTCAGTCCCTACCTTGATCCTTGGTTTACAGAAAGCTTTAATCATTGGTCCAGCTTCAACTCCCATAAGAGCTGCAGCTTTTCCTGGGAACGTGTCAGGTCCAATGGCCTCACACTCAGCTTGATCATCTCTACCCTTTGTTTTGAATTCAATACCTCCAAATGTCATGACTCCAGCAGTGAGCATGTAGCAATCAAACTTTTCCTGCTCCTTGAACCCAAGCACATTGAAGGCATCCTCAGTATACTCCAACTCTTCATTATCATCAATGGAGGCAACTGTGGTCTTACCCTGGGATACATATGTATAATCATAAATGTCAGAACTAAGATGGCACTTTGCTTTCAGCCCTCCTCCGATTCCATCTCCATAGGGTTGAAGAAGTTGGTAAAAGATATGGTAAGATCTCTCTACCTCCTGTTGCTCAGTAATACGAGATTTTTCAAGAAGATAGGACACAATATCACAACCAGCCAGTTTACCAGATGCAGTGAAATGGATTCTAATGAATTTACCAAAACGAGAAGAATTATCATTTCTTGAGGTTTTCGCATTTCCATAAGATTCCAGAATGGGATTAGTGGCCACAATCTGATCTTCAAGGGAAACCTTCTTGTCAGACTTCTTGCTGCTTGTTGCAACCATAGCAAGGTAGGTGATGACCTTCTTGGTGTTCTCAGTCTTTCCAGCCCCAGACTCACCGGTAATCAGCATAGCTTGATTTTTGCTGTTCAGCAACATACCACGGTAGGCAGTCTCAGCAATAGCCCAGAGATGGGGAGGGCATTCATTACGTCTCTTACCGAGATAGATCTTAGCAACCCTATGGGTGTAAAGAGGGTAACGCTTGTAGGGGTTGACAACAACCACAAAGAGACCGGAGTAGGTATGGATCATCTTGGCCTGGTAACGGGTCTTCAGGTTCCAGAAGACAGAAGCATCGTTGAGAAAAGTGAGGTTAACCATGTCCTCACATTTCTCAAACTTGGGAGGGTTAACCTTACCAACCTCAGAAGACTTGTGAGTAAACTTCTCATGACCAACAGCAACCACACACTTGCTGGCGGGATCATCAACATCTCCAGATTCAAGGAGTCCTTCTCTATACCCTCCTGATTTAGGATCAGGGATCCAAACAGACTTCTTAGGATCGTAAACTTTGGCTTGATCAGCGCGCTTCATATCCATGTTGGGAAGCAAGAACTCTGTCGGGTCAGGGTCCGGTTGCCCGGTTTTGGTTAGCTTGATGTGGCCAGGCATGGTGAATCTAAAATATTCATAATTTAAAAACCAAGTATGAATTTTAAAGTATGTAATGTGAGAATCAGAAAACTCTGGAAAATAAAGACAACTTTTATACTTAAGTTATGTTTTTAAATAGTCCAATGAACATGACACACAGGTATTTTGCAGTGTAGCAGACCCATTTAACTTAATAAATTATTCAATATGTTTATAGTAAAGCCAACACCAAAATCACTTAAATATTGCTACGATGTCTTCTTATTATTATACAGTTTTCTGGTTCTCACTGTATTTAATTACTTAACATTTTTGAGAATTGAATATTTTAAAAACATTTGTTGGATATAATCCAGTTTGAAATTGTGAATTTCTTCTAGACAGTGTCGAAAAATATCAAAAACTTCATTAAAAATCCCCAAAAATTCAGTATTTACAAATTGTTTTCAAATCTAATTACTACAAATAGCTAGACAATAATAAGACCCCAGTTTAAAATAATTTTGGTATAATAAAGGACTTCAAATTAATAAAATATTTCTTGAAATCTTTATATCAATAAAGGTCATTTCGACGAATTGTGAAATGTTAATACTTTTCATCATTGATAAACGAATTTTTTGAATTTTGCTAATGAATAAAATTGGAATTGTTCATCAAATTAAGCCATTATTATTATTTGGTTTTTATTTATTCCATGCAACAACTGTATACATGTCAATTTATTTTTCTAATTTTTATATTTAAGATTATTAGAAAAGATCATGAATAATTAATATTAAGAAACGTATGTTCATCAAAAAACAATAAAACTATAAAAACTATAAAACTATAATAAAGGAAAAAAAATAAAAATAAACCATATTCATCTAAGGAGCATTCCGAGGTTGGGGTTTTTTAGTTTGTTTTTTCTTTTTGCTACAAGAAACACAAAATATTTGTTTGCATAAGCGTGCTGCAATTTATGGTAAGAAATGTAAACAAACATAGCCAACAAAGCACTGAGTTGATTTAATTTCTTACAAATAGAAATCATTAAAGCTTAAAATTACATAAGACTAAGTTATCAGAATGAATTTTCTATTTTAACTCATCCTTGATTTTATCCTTACCTTTCTCCTGCGCTAAGTGTAAGAAAACGACTAAAGGTTCCAGAGTGGATTGTGTTCTTATATTCAACCCTGCTGACCTGCTCGCGACAGGACCCTTAACACAAGAAAAGTGACAAAATAGACAATTGTTTATATTAGGGGTGACTATTAATCGGGAAAATCTATTTTATTTTTTACAATGGCACATTAGGATAAAAACATGTCTGATTCTCAACGGTACTCTTTGAACCTTTAAGTTTGATCAAGGATGAAAATGTTAAAGATGAAAAATGTTTTGTTTTTTCAGGCGAATATGCAGGATTTTACCCCGGGCGGGAGTATGTTTTTTTACCCCCCTCTTTAATCTTTTTAAAAAAAATTACCCCCTCTATATTGCTAAAAAGATCAATTCACCCCACATGGCCCTAACTTTAAGTACAGTTTCTTATACCTTTAAGTACAGGGTAGGCAAATTTCTTAACCCTATAAAGACTGGGGGCCAAGAGGAATCTGAATCTAGAAAAAGCCCTCGTTGAAATTGAGTTTAAATGCATATTCACAGCCCAATTTTTCCAGTGTTTTAAGAGAAAATATTTGAAAACCTCCAATCATAAAAAACGGTAAAGAATGTAAATATAAGAAAAAGGAAAGTTACATATATTTGTTTACATTTATATTTAATATAAACTAGTGGTTGATTGTTAGTATTTTTTGAAGAGATATTAAAATGAGATTTATTTGTAATGTTTGAAATAAATAAAATAGACATTACGGGTTGTGGAAAAGGTGTAGGTTTTACGCAAAACTGGCATTATTCACCATCTTTTAATTAGCGCCAATTTTTACATCCTCTATGTTTGATTATATTTTTTACTCTTTTTAATCTATTTAGTCTTTTCTTAGTAAAATCATCTTTGCTTTCTTCGATTCTTTCGAAAACATAGCATGTGTTAGAATTAATACATTTGTTTTGCTGATAAAAATATCAATTAAATTCTGTTTAAAATTTGAAATAAGATTGATATTTAAAAGCTTAGAAAAGTGTCGTTTATTTTCATACCATATTTTAGGTAAAATTGCATGGAGGAAGCAGTCCAATTTTAATAGATTTTTGTGCTTTAAAGACAATAAAGGAGACTAAGAATTCGACACGTTTTTAGAGAAAAAGCGGCGATATCATACTTAATGTTACTTAGAAACAGGTTTAAAGGATTTCGTGTCGTTGTAAATCGGACATTCCACTTTCAACGTTTATTAAATTGAAACAAATAAAAAATACATATTTGTAAAGAAACTAGCTTGAGCACTCAGCTTTGCCAGGAACAAGTCAACCCTCTTAACTTAAAATTGTTAACCAAGCTAAGAACATTCCTGAGATTTCCAACCAACATTTGATGTAGATCGGTCAATGGGTTCATGACTCATGAGTTTTATGCTTAAAATTAATCCAGTTCATTGATGAGGCGACCAGTGCCAGAAAGTGTTCGTATCAGCCAGACATTTACCTTATACAGGGTGTCCCAATAATTCATAACAAAGACGATATCAAATTCGTCACTGAATTCCCATGTTTTTTTTGGGACACCCTGTAGTACACAGTACACACTTGATATTTGGACCCAAGACAATACTGAACGAAGAAAGGGAAAATGTCCGAAAATTAAATGACTAATAAATATTTTCAATGGTTGATCCTTCAATTACTTTTTAAGACAAGAAAAAAATTTTGAAGGGTCAAGGGATTATTTAGAATACAATAAAAAAATCTTATACATTTTTTTCCAAATTAACAAAAAAATTGAAAAAATTATTCCAAGGCCATAATTTAATGAAGTTGAACTGCCTATACCGCCAAAGTCAGAAATAACATTTTTAAAAATTTTTTTAAGTTAAAAAATAAAAAGTATTTTTTTTTATTTTAAGGATTTTTAAACTTAAACAAGTTTATATGGGCAGATATTCTTTTTTATCAAATTAAAAATCAATTGTTTAAAAAGTTCAAAATGATGTCCAAATTGTCGTTTGTTTGATGAATTAGTTGAGAGCCCGGAACCCAGGGAGAACTAAAGACTCCAAATAATTTCCTAATTATCTATACAGTCACACAAATATTCTAATTAATGAAAATTGAGGAAAATACATATCATTGTTTATATTTTGTTTAGATAAAACTGAAGAGGAGGAGAGAGGGGTGATTCAGAAACCATGGATAGAGTTAATCAGACATCAGTGAACTTTAGGCACGTTTAAAGGGACCATGGATAGAGTTAATCAGACATCATTGAACTTTAGGCACGTTTAAAGGGACAATGGATAGAGTTAATCAGACATCATTGAACTTTAGGCACGTTTAAAGGGACCATGGATAGAGTTAATCAGACATCATTGAACTTTAGGCACGTTTAAAGGGACCATGGATAGAGTTAATCAGACATCATTGAACTTTAGGCACGTTTAAAGGGACTAAAATTGTAATTTTAAGGTACCCTCCATGCAAAGAGGGGCAATGCCTGATTTACTACGGTGACCCCTTCGATGTTTATCGAGTAAAGAGAGCTCTGTGATTAAATATCTTAAAACCCACTTGAATTCTGTAAAACGCAGTGAATGCTGCGTACTAGAGATGTCAACGTTTTGATTTTTCTAGATTTTAGCTTTCGTTACGATAGTGTTCATCAAAAGTATTGTAAAAAAAACAAAAAATTGCCCCTTTGTCGCACTTTTTGACCCTTTGTCGTTTTACCCTTTGTAGCGCTTTTGACCCTTTGTCGTTTGACCCTTTGTCGTTTGACCCTCTGTCGTTTGACCCTTTGTCGGTGAACCGAAATTACGCTTACAGTCCCATAAAGTATAATGCTTTGTTCCCTTGCCTTGTCATCAATAAGTTTTTAAAATGAGTCCCAGTCCATGCCAGGGCCAAAAACATTTAATTAAAAACAATTATATTTTTGATTCTGACAGCTCTTCCTAAAAAATCTACTTTTCGTACAGACACGTCTCACCATGAAATATATACAATTCTGAAACTTAAGTCGTCAAAATCTTAGACAGGCTCGCAACGCCTTGGCCTTTGGTTTTACCAGACCATTGAACATGAAACAGAGCAAATGTGCATTGTAAACAGACCCATTTCTCTAATAAGTAATTTGATAACTTACTAGTAAATCTATTAGCTTTGGTAACAACATCAAATGCACTTCAGTATTACTTTAATGTCGTCTTCATATTCTCTGGTAATCACTGTAGTTTTTTGGACATAAAACATTTAGTAAGGCTATAGTAATAGCTTCCCTATGTGATGAAAGTACGAATTTGTTAATTTTTTTAATATTCTGAAAGCTTTAAGACTAGGTACTTATATTTAGCCTGCTTATAAATAGTCTCATTAATTTTTAAGACAGGGTCGACTTTGAAGTGTCGTAACGCGTTGGGCTTTGATTTTACTACTCTATCTTACTTATGCTTTTCTGTAGCCCTTTACATGTACATTTTAGCACTATGTAGCACTTGTTGTTAGCTTTGGTCTTAAAGTAGTTAATATTGGCAAAATTCTCATTTTTTTCTTTCTTAAGAGCTTGCGACCTTTAAATCACAGTGATAGGATTAGTGTGATTTTCCTGGCATGATTCGCAAAATAAGTCAAGCAAAGTAAGGTACGTGATGGTAATGCACCATGCAGGTATTAGTGCTCGAAACATGATTACTAGAAATACAGTTTCCAGAAAATTGACGGTCATAAAACGCAATTTTTTTTGAAGTGGAGTTAATTGAAATCTTAAGATTCACTAGGATCTCTATAGAAAGGGCTGCTTCATTTGGTGTACTGTCCCGTGTTGCTGTACTGAACAGCTTGCTCTATATAGCTGCTTAAACGTTGGTAATTGAAATAAACCTTAATCTACAGTAAAGTAAATAAACAAGTATTTCATTGGAAGGATTATTCATTCCAAAGAATGTATACTCAGAATTACTTCTGGATACACAAGTATTTCATTGGAAGGATTATTCATTCCAAAGAATGTATACTCAGAATTACTTCTGGATACATTTAAAGCTCCATCTTTCAGTCCATGTGTCTCAGACTTTGTCTTAGACAAGCCAACATTCTCAATCTCTCGCAAATTGCAAAAATTGCATTTTTTTTAAACCGTGCACTATCTCTTCTAATTTGAAACCTTTTATTTCAGGTTTTATATTTTTAGATTTCTTTGTTTCCGTCTTGATTTGAACTCGTATACCTTGAGTGTGGTGAGTTGTTTTAGAACTCGTTTCATTAAAATTAACATCAAAATTAACATATTATAGTGAATATTTGGTTTTCCTTGTGATGTATTCCATTCTTTGCCTACAAAATATTCGTTATTGAAGTACATAATGTAATGCGGTTTCAAAAATTTGTGATAACTCCTAAAGAAAAACCCTCCAAAACTTTAAAAAAAAACCTCAGAATATATATATATATTCTGAGGGTCGGACCAAATTCCCTTGTTGTTGTTAGACAATAAGAAGACAACTCAAGTTCAATAAAAATAATAATCTGAAGGTAGAGTTTGACTTTTTGTTTTAAAAAAAAACTTTGACGCACATAACAAACTCACGTTTTGGATTTTATTGAAACTACCCCCATACTTTACTGTTGGATATCTAACAGTTAATGATGAAATTTAGAAAGATAAATATTCCTTTCAGAATTAAAGAAAAATTTGGGGTCCATCTTTTTTTATTTCGCTGTAAATCTTAAAGAATAGATAATTATCACATTTTTGCAGGTTTTCCAGCTTGAAAAATAAGGGTGTATAGATGGGGGCAGTGCCCCCTCCCTCCAGGACCTGTAAAGAGGGGCGTAGCCCCTCCTAGAACTCAGAGCTTTCACACTTTTCAAATCTAAAACTCAAGATTGAAGAATATAATAGTTTGCTGTTCATTCAGTGCACTAAGAATATTGCATTAGTGGACCAGAGCCACCATGACAGAAGTCATCTTAATGTTTGGCTTGAGTTTGGAGGTATTAAAAGACCTTTTTTTTATTTGGATTTAATTTACTTTATTTATTGCACAGCTGTTTTGTAATCTTTCTTTTAATACAAACTAGCTGAAGTGCCAGGCGTTGCCCGTGGAATTTAAAAATAGAAATAAAACAAAAAACTTAAAATCTATTTTGCTTATGTCATCCCCAAGGGTATCCATGAGTTTCCTTACTAAAATTCAGCCGTTTAGCCAGCCATAGCAAACATTCAAATGAATGAAGAGCTTTATGACATAGAGTACATTTGTACTCCTACTTTATTTTAAAAACAGAAACTTTTACAAGTACGTCATAATTATCTTAGGTCCTTTTTTCATCTCATGGAATTTAAGTTTAAGTCGAGTTTTTCATTTTCAAAAATGTCTTTTACTATCTTTAGTTTAAATACTAATTATCACTACCATTACAGCATAATAAAGTCGATTTTTTAGAAACTTTTTTTTCTGCTAGTTTTGTTTGAAAGAGAGATTAAGTAGTGCATGCACTAGGTAATTGGACTGTATGTGTACCTTTAAAGTATCTTATACTTGCCTGATATCCAAGAAGCCAAATGTTTTCAATTTGCAGTTCAAAATTTGCCCCCCACTAGGAGCTCCCAGTGGGGGAAATTTTTTTTTGGCGTTTCGGGCAAATTTCGCCCCCAGAATTATTTCTGTGTACTCCCTTAAAAATGTTTTTTCTTGTTAACTACTCCAGTCTATCTAAACCAAACAAATGCGCAAGAGAAAACCAAATAGAAAATAATCAGTTATTACAAACATAGCTAGATGTCTAATTCATACTTTATATGTGAATCGGATTTGCTTATCTTTAAACCTGATTAAAACTCTGTATTTACCTAGAATTAGTGAGAACATTTTCACTCGGGGAAAAGAAATGGGGTTTACTTAAGATTTTTAGACAGACAGATTTTACAGAAATTAATAATCACGTAAAGGAATGTTGTCTGTACTCTGTACTAAATATTGTTTTAATAAAAGATAATTTAACATATGTTTTATTAACAGAGAGAATTTATTACATTCTTACGTCAAGTTATGAAAATATGTTTAAATACTGTTGAGTTGTTACATTTAACATGCAAAATAGGAACATGAGTCAAACTAAAAATTTTAACAACCAAGATTTCATCGTTAAAAATATCAAATTCATTAAAAGTTGCATAAATATGTAATATCTAGAATTTAATCCCAAGTTGTCTCTCTAAGGACTCTAATTTCTCCTGATAATCTTTGAGATCTGCGACTAACTCCGGATCCCTGATTGCTGAACCCTGCTCCTGAAACCCTAAACTTCTCCGAGGTTGATTATTAAGCGTATGATGGTCTCCTGCACTAGGTTCACTACTCCGCTGTCTCCTTGCTCCAATATCCCGGGTTGGCGGAGTCCGTCCTGTAACTACTGGAGGAGGGTGGATTGAACTTGAGCTTGAGATAGAGCTTGGACTCTCTAGACTTCTCCTTGGTTGCTCTCGTAGACTAGAAGTTCGTCTTACTCTACTCCTCTGCTCCAGCCTAGGACTGTATACAGGATGCAATCCAGAGTGCGCAGGAAATCTTATGTCCAATGATTCAGGTCTTCTCTGGGTTGGAGTCTTCATTTCAGGGACTGACGATGAACAAAGAGCGCTGCTCCAAGCTCTAGATCTGGACGGAGTTACTCCTGCTCTCTTCCCGCTGCTCCATCTTCTGATCAGAAATTTCATTCTCAGGATAGAGGTTACAGAGTAAACAGCAGCCCTGAACCTGTTAATCCCAGACAAGTTCTGTCGTCCTACCCTGAGCACTGGTTCCCTACTGAAATACCCCCCAGAGATGTGAACAAGAAGATATCGTTTCTGCCAGATTAATGCTTTCCTGTAGGACTCAGTTCTCAGATACCTGCTGTATAAATCCTGCCTATTTTCTCCAGGTCCTGAGCAGGAACATGTTTCCTGTCGATATTTGTGCTCCGCTAGTTTACTCTTCAACTCATGGCGTTCTTCTTGAAGTTTCGATATAGTGGCCAACATTTCTCCGTTCTCCTTCAGGTTATGTTCAAGGAATGAATTGACCTGTTTCATTCTCTCCAGCTGTTCTTTACTCAAACCTGAAACCACAGATGAAAATAACATAATAAAATGCAACTGGAAGGTATTTTAGTTGTAATAGAAAAAGGCATTTTAAAATAAATGATAAATAGTAAATATCTACCTGAATTATTCCGTTCTCGCTGACTAAGTTCCAACTTTAATTTATCCAGTTCAAGACCTTTTCTTTCGTTCTCTCTTTCAATCATCTCAGTTCTCAACTCAAGAGAAGCGACGAGACGTTCTAGCTCTAACTCTCGGGATCTCCAAGCTCGGTTCCAGGACTGATCTAGCTCAACTCCACGGTCAGATATTTGAACCGATTCTGCTCTTTGAAACCTAAACTGGCTTCCATCCTGGAGGTTTCTATTCATCTTCTCCAGTTCCAGGGAAACCTCGGAGTTCTTTTTTCTTTCAATTCTCAACTCATGGTTGAGTTGATCTATAATAAGTTTAGCAACCTCTCCTGATTTCCCTGTCTCTTGTCTGGATTCTAATTGATCTCTATAATTTCTCTCCGCTCTCAGCTGATTTCTCAGTTCTTCAATATCTTCCTCGTCTCTTCGCTCTTGGGAATATTCGGTCTTCAGTGCCCGCCTTCGCTCCACAGCCAACACATTCTGGAGCTGAGAAAAGTTCTCCTTCTCCATTCTCAAGCTCTCCTCCAGGCTCTCTATCTGCTGCTTCTGTGACTTGATAGTGTTGAGAAATTCCTCGTTGTCAGAATCAACAATCATCTGATGATTTCTAGATTTTTCCTTTAACAAGGTTCGTATCTGCCGCTGAGCTCCACTTAGTTCTTCTTCTAACCCGTTCTTTAACTTTCTTTCGGATGAGAGTTTTGAAAAAAGTTCGAGTCCATTTTTCTTCTCTAAGTCCAAAGATCTTCTTAAATCCTCACAAACCACGCGTTCTTGCTCAATTTCAAACTGCATCAGCTCAAGCTTTCGGGACACTTCTCTTAGTCGTCCATCCTCATTTGGGTTTTCATCTTGAGAGTGCTTGGTCAGAAACAGTTTCTCCGATAAGGTGAGAACTTTAACTCCGTCCTGCTGAACCTTGCGGAGTAGCCGCTCAACCTCTGAGATATCCTCCTGTGTTGTGTTTAACGTTGTATTACCGGAAACCAATTGCGTGAGCAGACTTCGATCCAATTCCGAAGATTTCTCCAGTTCTCGTTCAACTAGAGTCGTTAAATCATCTAGAGATCCATTGTCTACAGAGTTTAATTTTGCATCACATTTTTCACAGGATATAGCATAGGGTGCTTGTTCTAGTGCATTGAGAGATTCAGATTGTTTCTTTACAATTTCTTGATATTTTAAGTTCAATCTGGAAATCTCTTGATCTCTTGTCCCGACTTCTCGTTTAAACTGGGTCGTCATCTCTTTAACAACCCTCTCAATGGAAGACATTTCTTTAGTGACCTTGCTCAGCTCGGTTTCAAGTTTAAGCTTTTCTCTGGCCTCGTCCTCCAGATTATTTTGAGCTGATTCAAGATCTGATTTTAATCTCTCAGTAGCTCTGGAGGATTCAGTTAGGATCTGGATCTTTGTCTCAAGATCCTTGTTTAGTTCTGAACATTTTCTTTTTAGTTCGCTCTCAGCTTCAATCCTTCTTTGTAAATCTCTCTCATTCTTCTGTATTATTGAGTGAAGATTTTCCATCCCAGATACTCGGTCATTTAACTCCTCACGGAGTCTTTTAACCTCTTCTGCCAGGTTGGGTTCAATATCCTGTAACTGCTTATTCTCCAGGTCGCGGAGTTTATCCTGCCAGTCCTGTAACTTATCCTCATAAGAGGAGAGAACTTCATCCTTGTCAATAATATCTTGCTTCAGTCTAATACACTGAGATTCTTTCTCCTCAACCTCAGTTCTAAGTTTGTTAACTGCGTTTTCTAATGTTTCAACTTTCTCAGCTTTCTCGGACACAATTTGCTCTAAATTCTTGCAGAATTTATTTTTCTGTTCCAGAGTTTTATTAATTTCCGACAAATCCTTTTCCAAACTTTTTATTTTCTCCTCAGAATCCTGAACCTTGTCTTGGAGTTCATAGACATAAGAATCTTTTTCGTGAATTATAGAACTTAGAGTTTCAATTTCTTCTGCTTTCTGATTGAGTAGGGCGGAAACCTCTTCAGAACTAATCAACTCATTATCAATAATATCATTATGGTTAATACTCTCTTCAGTTCCGTCCTTGGCAGTATCTCTTGTCAGCTCAACCTCAGGGGTGGATAGATTCGTACTTCCTGATTTAGTTTCTCCCAATGGAATTCTTTGGATAGTTCTCTCGTGTGATGTTTCTCCGGTAGTTCCAGAATTTGACGTTTCATACGAACATTCCCGAACTGTTCCAGGAGTTGCGGAAGAATGAGATGGTTCCCTAAGAGTTAAAGAGGTTTCATGGATTGTATCCAGGTTGTGTACAGAAACCTTATTGGCCTGGGTTACTACATCTCGTCGGTTCACTACGAACGAAAGTTCAGAAAGATTTTGAATTCTTGGAGCTTCTCTAAGCTGTTCAACAGAACTTTTAGACATGTGATCTAGGGAGGAGGTCCAGGAGTTGGGTGTACTCTGCAACAAATTCTGAGATTTAACCTGGAGTTCAGAAAGTTGAAATCTCAGACGATCTATTTCACAATTCTTTTCCTTTAACAAGTCCTCGGCTAACTTTGGAATCTGAAGTTTGTGCGCGTTAAGCTCCGCGGCACGCGCCTGTCCCAGTTCTTTCAAAAGTTTAGCGTTCACTTCTTCAAGCTCAGATTTATCTCTTTCCAACTGAAGAAGTTTATCGCTTTCAGGTAAACTCAATCCTTGGGACTCTATCTCCCGCTCCAATCTTTCAATCTTAGCACTGAGTCCTGCACACCTCTGCTCAACTAGATCCTTCTCCGTCTCAATAATCTTGAGTTTGTCCAAGGTTTGCTCTAGATGCAGGCTAATCTTCTCTTTCTCCTGAAGGATAACTTCAGTTCCATCTCCTCGAACTGGGAATCTATGTTTACTGGCCTGTTTTTCTCCCTGAAATTATAAGATTGGATTGCAGAGAAAGATTCAAGAATATATATATATATACTAATAGGGTTAATTAATATTTAAAAAAAATTATTATTGATTATAAAATTCTTAAAAAATATTAAAACTATTGCAACTGATTCACGAGAAAAAAAAACAATTAAAAAATGTCTCATTCTCCCTGTTCTATTCCTTTACCTGAAGCGTGGACACTTGTACTTGGAGAGAAACAACTCTGGATTGAAGAAGAGCATTCTCAGCCTGAAAAATATTTTAAATAATAAAATAACAAGAAATGTCAATAATGTGTTACAAGAATAGAATCAGATATGAACAACCCTCTGTATAATTGTGCCTACTATCATTTATTTATTGTTTTAAGTTAGAAAACAAGAGAAAAAACAGGAATAACTTTGTTCAGTGGCTTGGGTAGAGATTGATTTCCTAGAAGCATAAGAAATTTGATTTTACGAAACAAGATTCAAGAATCCTGCTTCTTGCCTTTAACAAGAAAAGAAATAATGACTAGTTACATCGTTTTTCTCTTTCCCACCTTTGCAAGGTCTTCCAAATGCATGACTTTCAGACAAAAGGGCAAACCGATTGGGTAAAATTAGATATCACTGTTTGAATCCAATTTTTATATAAATGGAAAATAAAAATTTTTATAAAATGTTTTTGAAAGAAAAAATTATATTCAAACCCAGAAAAAATATAAAAACTCACCTGAAGGTCCTCAAAGTTATATCCTCTGAGCTCTTTCAGCTGTTTTTCAAGATTCATTTTATCCTTTTTCAGAGAACTGATAATTAGTTGAGCCTGAGCTCCAGCCCTGCCAACCTCCTCCAGCTGAGCAGATAAACTTGATTTATCTTCCAACAAACATTTTATCTCAGATTTTAGATTTAGGATTTCTGCATCCATTGATTTTACTTTATTCACAGCCATAGTTTCAGCTTTCTCCAATATCTTCAGTTTTTTCTCCAGTTTTGAAACCTCTTCAATCTCCAGTCCAGCTCCACCTATGCCTATGTCCTCAAAACTGCCTCCATTGTAAAGAAGAGGACTAGAACCTCTGCTGGAGTTGGTACTAATCCTACCGGAGACAGAGTTCTCCAGTTCCCTGGTCGACTGAACAACCCTCTCCTGTAAACCTCGCAGATGTGCCTGAATAAAAAAAATCAATGTTAAAAGTTGCTAATGCTAGTTAGGATAATAACCAGACAGGTTTATTACAATGTAGTCTGAGCATTGATCATTCATCTCTATTATGGCGTCGAAAGATTCAAGACATAATAATGTTATTTTCAGTATTAAATCCAATTTTTTAGTGTGAGATTGGATTCCATTTAAAGAATCCTTCTTTATATCTGCATGTGATTATACTCCGCCAACTATTTTTGAACTCCCGAGGTGAAAGTTTAAATTTACTAAAATTGGCCATGTTAGTTATCAAACCATAGGTTTTAGGTGTTCTTATTTCATTCTGAAACACCTTTCGGCCAAAGATGATTTTAATGGTCAATGACCTCAAGAGGTCAAAACCTAAAATAAAGAAAATGGCCATGTGACGTAGATATTAAATCATGATTTTGTGTATATTCTAAATCCATAATTGGTAGATGAGAACAATAGGAGGCTGCAAGCAAAATTTTAGTCTTCCATCTTAATTTTTAGGACTAAACGCAACCAGCACAAAATTGTCGCATAGACCCCCTCCCGCTTGAAAAAGGATCTTCAAGCGTTAAAAAATGAATAAAAAGATGAGACCAACCTTGACATCGTGAAGATGTTGATGAACAGCTCTGTGTTTCTGCAGCTCCTGAGTCTTGCTATTGAGCTGTTCCTTGAGCCCCTCGACTAGATCAATGAGCTCCTGGTCTGTGCTACTGCTTCTGATATTCTCCAGCTCCTGCTGCACGGCCTCCTGGCTTAACAAGGACTCCGTGAGAGCAGATCTTAACTCTAGAACCTCATCGGTTATCCTCCTCTCCTCCTCAACCTTATTCTCAAGATCTGTCTCAAGGGTTCGGATGATTTCTCTCAGTTGATAAATCTTCTCAACTGCTGCGGTCAACTCTTGTTTTTCTTCCTTTCCTGAACTTAGAATATCTTCTTCCTCTCCGACATCCGTTTCTTCGTCTCCCTGTTCCCGAATCTCAGATCTTCTAAAACAAGAACTTATTCTCAAAATCTAAATCTTCTAAAATTTCTCAAAAATCTTTTTGTAGTTACTCTTCAGAAATTGTCAAATCGTTACCTTCTGGATTGAAGTAAAGCTAGATTCAGTTTTCGTTCCCAATCCTCTCTCTCAGCTTCTCGTTCCTGAGCTTGTTCCTCCAGGAACCCACGGGTTGACCTCAGCTGTTTATCAGCTGCATCAAGTTGCTGACTTAGATCACTTACTTGCAGTTTTGCGGTACTTATAACCTAGAATAGGTCTATATTTTACCAAGAATGTTAACTTTACGTTAGGTTAAGCTGAAATAAAAGATTCAAGCATAACAATCTTTTAAATTACTTATTATTTGCAAAACTTAAGAAATAAAAAGCTAAAAAACTAATGAGTTATGACCGAATGAATAATTATGAAAAAAGATACGAGTGAGAAATGAAAATGGTCTGGATTACCTGATCTGTGTGCATAAGGAGTTCAGCTAGGAGTTCAACAGCTTCTCTACTCTGCTCAGGGCGCAAGGAACCCTCTGTATCACCGAGGAGACGCGCAGCTCTATCCTGAAGTTCTCGTAAGCTTTTTAAATCAAGGACTGATATATTGTGCTCAGGTTCTCCTGAAATAAATGTATGTTTCAAAAATGCTGAAACTCTAAAATAAAGTTTTGACTTTTGATCTTTGTATTTCAAAATAAAATGAGAAACTAATCTAACCTGAAATATCTCCTCCTAACCCACTTATAACTTCACTCTGATCCACACTACGGTTCCCACTTAGCTCCATCTCCTGCAGACGTTGTTTAGCTGCAGCCAACTCTAACTCCAACCTTGCCTTCTCCACCTCCAACCGTCCCGCTTCTCGACCAACGAAGTTCTCCGACTCCTGGGAGTCTGGGGGAGTAAGGAGACCAGATATCTTGGTGAGCAAGCTTCCAGGTTCTAGAGTTTTAAGAATCTCGTTAGATCTTTGAACCTGAGAGCGGAGCTCCTGGAAAACCTCCTCCGAGTTCTCCATCACTGACAGGAAGGACCCAGCTCCCATCAGTTCTGACAGCTCATCTTTACTGAAGAAAGATTGATTAGGAGTAACCAGTTGGTGTTCCTGGTCTCGGAGAACAGAAAACTGAGAACCAGACTGTAGAGAAGTATTCATACTTTCAGGAGCTGAAACTTCTCCGCCGAAATACTTGAAAGGTGTGTGCAGAGCGTTGGACTCTGTGGTTTCATTTGCATCTAAAGATTTTAGATCAAATGATTCGAAAAAGGTTGAATCGGAGAAGAATCGAATCTGCTTCTGACTGAGGTTGTAATGTAGAGCAAGGTCATTGATTAGACTTTTCATCATGTGTTGCATAGATCTAAGTTGATTTCGTTCAACCTCTAGCTTCTCTAGATCCTTCTCTAGTTTCTCCACGATTTCAGGGTTAACCTCAGGTTCAGGCTTGGAAACCGAACTGGATTTCTCCGTAGAGTGGAAAGATCTTCTAACCTCTTCTATCTCCAGAGTCTGAGCTTCTTTTATATCCTGGAGTATTTGCTCGTGCTCTAACTGAACCTTCTCCAGGACAGCTGAGTGCTCTGAATTTAATCTAACCTTGATTCTTTCAATCTCTGAGTTTTGAACCTGCTGAATCTGCTTGGAAACAGCGTCAAACTTCTTCATGTGATCAGATTCTAAATCCTTCTTCAATTTCTCCATGGTAGACTGGATCTTGATCTTGTTCTCCTCCTTTATCTTCTCCAACTCTATATTCGACCAAATTAAAAATTTCTCTAAATGAAAATGTTTAAATCCCGCTTAAATGTTAAAAGTTGATAAAATGAATTTAATTTAAAATCGAATTTCCTTTGGTGTGTTCAAGTTTCAGGTTTTCTTGCGTTTCCTTGTATCGAGCACAACTGGCACATTTCCCTTTTCCACCTTCAACACTGGAAAGGGCCTTTTCCAATAGACAAACCTTCTCTTTTAATCTAACAATCTCCTCTTGGCGTTCTACCAACTCAAGATCCTGGATCCTGGAAACAAATAAAAAGTTTAAGTTTGTATTTACATATCATCTGTTAAAAATAAAGCCACGTAGAAAAAAATTCCCAATACACAATAAGAAGAAAAAAGGTAAATGCGGCATGGGCAAGCAAGATGCATTGATCAACACGCAATAAAGGAACTATCGTTGTATATATAATTAACCCTTCATTTAAAGAGAGTCATACCGGATTCACAATGGTACCCTTGAAATATTTATCTAATCAAAAATGTGAAAAATATCATCATTTTACTAAAGTGCATTATTTCTGTATTATAAATTCAAATCAATGAAAATATTAAATTTCAAGGAGAGAAAATATGTCTGATTTAGAAGTTACGTCTATGTCTATATTTTAAATTACGCCTACAATCTTGTAGTGAAAAAGGTATTCCCTTGAAAAATATTCTTTCTCTTGGCTTCCCACAAATAGTCTATAATGAGCCTACTAAATACTATTCTATAACTTGAGAGCATGTTAAAACTTTTAGTTGTGATACCACATTTGACTGAACTGGATGTCCAACGCGTGAACTTTTAAATTGAAGGATTAAAGTTTAAAACTGGTGATTTATGAAAAATTCTCCAATAGATGATTAAAATATGTGAGGGGAACAGACTAATCGTTTTATGAACAGATTATATATCCTAAAGTTTAAAGCTGATAACTTCTCCTGTTTCCCCCTGTATATCCCTCCACCAGGGAGTAAGGTGTTTGATTAACTGAAGATAAATGAGACAAACTTTACTAATTATATAAAGCCTATCACGCAACCTCAATACTAATCAATCTAGACGCAATTTTAATCAACAATTACTTGATGTGACTAAATCCTTGTAATTTTAAGTGACCCTCCATTTAACAAGTCCTTGTTCGATTCACAACGGTACCCTTCAAACCCTGATCTGATCAATAATGGGGAGGATATCGTCGGGTTTCTAGCTTAAACATGTTTTCGAATCATTAACTTAATTTAAACTAACCAAAAGACAAGAATGTACTAGATTTTACTATATTGCTTACTCCAAATATCAATATTCTAAGAAATCAACCAATATCCATTAAATAGAACTTTGTAGAATGCATCACAACTTTGTCCAGCCGAAAATTAATACCACGTTTACAATGAATTAGATCAGATCAGATCAGATCAGATCAGATCAGATCATCAGATCAGATCAGATCAGATCAGATCAGATCAGATCAGATCAGATCAGATCAGATCAGATCAGATCAGACTGTTAGAGACGTCATATACCCACCAGCAAACTTGAGATGACAGACACTAAATCAAGAATGAGGTGAGGTTTTACGATTATTTTTACTTTAAAGTAAAGAATTTTGTTTTAGATGAATTGATGTATAATGTATATTTTGAATGAATTAAAAGATTATGTAGTTTTTATTTGATATGCAGTTACTTTATATATATATATATATGTTATTTGTACATTATAAATTGTTTAATAATTTGCGTAACTGCTTTTATTATCTCTGTTTTTGCGTAAATTGTTTCATATTTGTGGTTTTCAGCTGTATTTGGTCAAATAAAAACAAAATGTTATAAAATCTTAATTTTCAATCTTATCTAATTTTTCTTGAAACATAGGCTGAATGAGTTCAAGAAAGAATTTTAATTATACAATGTTTTTTCATTGTTTTAAAATCTAAAAAATCAAATTTAAGTTCTAATAAGTATTTTAATAACAATAAAACCTAAAATCTGAAAGGCCAACTGAATGTCTCTTGTAGGAAAGAATTGTGTTTTAATTTTACGTATGCAGTGTAATACAAAGTATAGATCTCCATGAGCTAAGTGAGTACACCAAAAATTAGAACCTACCTTCTCTGCTCCGTGAGCTGTATAATCCCACCAAGGTTCAAAGAAACGGAATGTAAGGAATCAGAATCCTTCCCAACTTCTTGATTTAAAGTTTCTCTCCGAGGAGAACCTGTCTTGGACATGCCTCCCTGTAGTTGGGTTGGAATATCACTATTATGCCGGGAGTGAAGAGAAGGATTGCTTTCACAACGGTGCCGGGACGGATATCCATCACTTTCATGTCCGCTCAGGGGGCCTTGATAACCTGAGTGAAAACAACTTATATCCATCTTCAAGAAAGGAATAATAATACATTATTAATTTTTATAATTGTAAGATGAAGGTTCTTTGATAAGGGTTTAAGTTTTTTCGGCCAATTCTTACCTAAGGAGTTAAGCTGAGAACTGTCTAAAGAACGTGGAGATATAGACTCCAGTTCGGAGAAATCTAACTGTCCTTGTGATATCTCTAAAGAAAGTGGAGCCGTCCTAGAAATTTAAATGGTGATGATAAAGGTTACATGCTTAGATTGTTTTAATAACTTAGTTTTTAGGATCTCTTACCCCTGTCGACTAGAAAGGTTTCTCTGATGGGCTAAATGCTCCTCAAACTCATTCCTGTATCTTCTTTCCATTTCTGCGCAGTAGTTTTCAAAATATCTTCTCAGTTCACTCATCTCTTTTTCGTGCTCTCCCTGTGAAGTACAATATTTTGATTTAACAATATACCAAAGGAAATAAATATAGTTCAGGTTGAAATAAGTTCATAAATATATTTTACTAAAATCATTTTAATAATAAAATTATGGTTGTTCAGTTTTAGAACTCAGGCTAAACTTATGTGTTGAGAATCTCGGGATCAAGTAGTGATCTTGATTATGGGAAACTTTCGGAATTATTCAATTAATCTCCGATATCCCGTGATGGTCATACCCTGCAGATATAACTTTAATTGGGGGATAAATCGTGTATGATCAAATTAAAAGTGCCCAAATTGTATATCGAGATCAAACCTATTAAGATTACCAACGATACCCCACACAAAAGATCCGACCTCCTCTGTATTGTTAATATATTGTTATCAAGTACAAAAATTGTAATAAATATAATTTCCTATAATATATTTATCATTTATATTTGTCTAAAGCAAAATTACATTAAACAATATAAAAAATTGTAATTGTAATTAATATAATTTCCTATAATAGGATAGGATACATGAAAACACTAGATTGGAAGCTGGAATATAATTTCCTATAACAGGATACATGAAAACACTAGATTGAAAGCTGGAATATAATTTCCTATAAAAGGATACATGAAAACACTAGATTAGAAGCTGGAATACCTTCAGAGAACGAACTAGGTCAGACTCATCTACATATCTCTGTAGAACGGGTCGGTGGACTGGAGTAGTCTCAGTATCTAGATACGAACATGTCAGTGATCAGAAATAAAGGTTTAAATATGAATTTAACATCTGAGAAATATATAAGATTTTTATCAGAAATTTTACGATTAACAAAATATTTTATCACAATATTTTTGAAGAATAAGATTTACCTGTAGATCTAAAGGAAACATCGTCTTCACTCTCGATCTGAGTGATATTAGATGAAGGAAACAGGTTCTCCTTCCAACTCTGATTATCTCCGTCTTGAGATAGACTCTCTCTGCTCCTAGAGAAGTTACAGGAGAGTCGGAGAGATTTCTCGATAGATTCCCGAACCTTCAAGGGTATAGCATTGTACTGAGTTTCATCTAGAACGGAGCTAACCTCGTTCAGGTTTTGTTCAAGGGACATTCTGATAGAAGATTCCTCTGCATATAGTTTCTCAAGTTTTAACATTTTCTCGACTAAAATAAAAATGATTTACACATTACACAAGATTAATCTTATGTTAGTTAGATTTTATTATGTTTGCTGATATAAGAATAGATTTTACCTAGAGCTTTCTGTTCATTTTCTGCTTTCTTCAAGAGTAGATTCTGCTCCTCTTGGAGTTTATTTAGTTCCAGGGCTCTAGTCCCTGATTCAATCTCATCCAACCTCTCTCGCAGATCATTCCTCTCCTCCCTAACACTGAGAAGTTCTGCGTCAAGAAGGTTGAACTCCACCACCTGCTCCTCCTCGTACCTGTCCTCCATAGCCTCAAGCTCCTTTTCATATTTCTCCTCCAGAGCAGTCACCTCCTTCTGATGATCCTCGACCTGATTCTGGAGTTTTATTTCGTACTCACCCATTAGTTTCTTAAGCTTTTCCTCACTCTCAACCTTCATCCTTTCCTCAGTCTTTTGTACGTCTAGTTTCAATTGAGCAATTTCTTGGTTAGTTTGAGATTTAATACTGGCAAGACTAGATTCTAGGAGAAGGAGTGCGGATTCTTTCTCTTGGAGGGAATCCATGTTGAGCTTGAGCTGAGCTGAGACTAGGTTTAGGTTTGAAATCAGCTCATCTCGTTCCTTCTCCAGCTGCGTATACCGGGTTCTGAATATACAAATATCAATCTACAAGCTACATCCTACATACATAGGGTGAACAACCAGACATGTTATGAACAAATTAACGAATAGTTCTTTTTAAATGAGGGGAAAACACAAAATAAATCAATAATCTTATGGCTAAACTTAACTTATCGGCGGACATCATATTAAAATACTCTAGAAAATATTTTTAGAAGATAAAAGTTCTCCTGAATTCATTCCTATTCTCTGCTCCATTAATCCCCAAGAGAAACCGCATTTAAAAACAAAAAATTTATAAATAGAAAAATGTAACTCCATAAAATTATTAATTTAAAATTATTCATAAGTGTTTTAGACAAAAGTTTAAAGGACAATGACATGCAACCAGAGGTTTATTCAAGAACAAGAATTACCCACCACCCGAAATTATTTTCGATTTCGAAAGAAATAGTTTGAAGAAAATATGTCCCTGCATGTAATTCATAAAATTACGTCGACAGACTCTTTAAGCTTTTCCATGAAAACTTATTCTAAACATGTTGTTAAGTAATCATTGATCAATATAAAATACTGTAATTATGAAAATTAAGACCTGCAGGATTTATTTTTAGCTGCCTTCTCTACTGCTAGCTTAACCTGAACCTTGAGACTGTTCATCTCCTCCTCTGATAAAACAAAACAGAATTTAATTATGTTTTTCATAATAAAAAACGTTCATTAAAAAAATAATAACTAGAAAGGAAAATGTTACAAATAATAAAATTACTAGATTCCAACTTTATGTCATGATTATTAGGAAGTATATCAATTTTTAAACTGCTTCTTTTCATTAGTGAATTAATAATTAAGTTTTGTTTGTAATATGATTCCTAGAAGTGAAGTTATCTGTGCATCTTCTCCCCTTTCCTTGAGAACATGCTGTAGGCTGGTTGATAACCTAGGAATACAGAAGAATAAATAATAAAAAAATAAACTCGTTGGAGAACTTTCTTCTACTTTAAGAAAATGCAATAATTTTCAGAAAATCTACATCTGGATCGATTCCTTTTTTTAGTTCGGACCCGGATACTTATCAAAATGAAACCATTGAACTTGTATTAATCGATCCTACCGCTTGATGAGATTATCTCTGTTTGAGATTGCAGTTCTGTAGTCCTCAACCTCTCTCGGGGAGGATAAGGACTCATCAATATCTCCGATCTCCAGCATCATCTGCTCCAGGTTGTCTCCTGATTCAATTCCATTGATACTGATCCTGATCCAATAAGGTTTGATTAGGACAGTTTAAGAAATCATTTAAAAGATTTTGCTTATTAACTAAATCTTATTTATATACAATATCTTTATACAAAAAGATTACTAATCTCTGTTTGTCTGTCTGATCCTATATCGTGAACATCTTGACCGACTTGTATCAAATGAGGAACTCATTAAAGTCACGGGAATGTTCTTAGCTTTTTTAAGTATTTGTTCAGTTTTCTAGAAAAGTTTATTTTCCAGGCAAAGATCCCAAGCTAGTTAAAATAGTTAAGACTCGAATTGCATAAAAGAAATCATCAGACTTTAAGTATAAAATTAAGTGGTTAAATCTAAAAGCCTACACCCCCCCCCCTACCCGGATGGAAGGCATAAACCTTAATAGTTTGTTTTCAATCGTCTTTTTATTAAAAATTAATAACTACCTTTTAGGGCTCTCAGTAGGTAAGAAGTCAGAAGAACGGTTTAACAGAGACATTTCATTTTTCTCCGGGCTCTCCGGAGGGAGATCATTACTTGATAATTCAAGATCGGAGGCTTCCGGAGGTAAGTCATTGGAGGATATATTATGGAGGGAGATGTCTGGGAGATCATTGGAGGATAAATCATGCTGAGAGATGTCTGGGAGATCATTGGAGGAAATATTGAGATCATTGTGTTCTTCGACAGATTCATTGAGCGGGCCCTGCTCCACTCCGTCACAGAAGTTTCCGTTAGCATCAGAGCTGGACCTAGAGTCAGACATTTTACATTTTAATCTGAAATTTTAAATAATAAATAGAAGGTTTGGATTTGAAAACCCAAATAACAAATAACACAGATAAGAAATGCAAGGTTTTTACATAAATATTCATTTAAGCTGTCTCGCTAAACTTTTCTGGAAACCAGCTCCGTCAGCCAGAGTTGCCTGAAATAATTTAAAATTAGGATTCATGAAGAAGTGTTTATACAAACAATAAATAAAATTCTGAAACTTTGAATTAAAGTATGAAATATGAAAACTGTTTATAATGTGTGTACAATGAACTTTGAAGCTACAGACAGGTGAGTTTGATGGTGTTACTAAAGATGGAGAAAATCATGGCGGTTAGGGACAAAATTATGCAATATACCCTAGGTAAACTTAAATTTTTATTTTGATAAATTAGTCAGAAAACAACTAGAGTTGTCTCCTCCAAAACGGTTATTTAAAACCTTATTGAAGGATGGCTAGACCTGTTTATTGATGGCTTGTTGGCGCTCCTTGGAGACACATTCTTCCATAATCTCTCCTGATCCTCGAACCAACCTCATCCTTCCAGTATCCTCATCAAATACCCTGGAATTCGTTTTTAGCTATTTAATCCTGTGGATAAGTACCTTTCCACTATGATAAATATTAGGATCCAGTTTATAGGGTTTCTTTCATACACTTTTACATCTTTCTTAACCCTATTCCTGCTGAGGGGGGGAGCAATTTGACTACACCCCTTGAAGTTTTTTACATAACTCAAAAAGTATTGGTCTGAGGCTGTCAAAATTTTCTAACTTTTCCTATGCCCATAGCCCTCCCTTTAGGTCTAAAACTGAGCTTTTATATACTGACAGCATGAATCCTCACGCAAACTGCCAGAATGACTAATTTATCCTGTAACAAACCAGATATTTGTTTTGATCCACTTTCAGATGTCTGATTTTGATAATATTTAGCTTTTTGGAAAGCTATGACATGTGGAAACGGTTTTCACAAGTTTAGCAAAGAAAATTTTGCAAATTATTTGCATACAACCCGTTAAAAGAAATTGGCACATTTTTTTTTTAATAGCACATCAGGTTTTTAAAATTTCGCATTTTTTTGCATATTTGAAATGATATTTCAAAAATATTGATAATATAAGGGGGGGGGGAGGCATAAAACGTATTACTCTCCGGAAAATTTAAACAGTGGTTAAACACAGCTTAGAATTGTCGTAGGAGGCTGATTTTTTGCATGCAAACTGAGAATTATGTATATTACATGCATTTTTTGGTTTTAAAGGAATCTGAGCAAAAGTGCGCGCGCGCGCTTTTTGTAAAAATTGCGACTTTTTTGACAGTAAATCAATGTTAACTTCATTAATTGCACTTGAAAATTTTTCCTGACGCTCTTGAAACAAATATGCGCTAAAAAAATTCACCTCCAAAGGCTTAAATGTCCGCGCGCGCGCGCAATAAAAGAAAATATCTTTGAATACTTTTGTGCTAAGTTTGGCCCAAGTTAGAATAACAGTTGCATGTGATACATCAAACTATAGCAAAATTGGGACAAGGAATTCATTTCCGAGGTCAAAATAGACATTGGAGCATTCTGACCGGCGCGCTAGTAGCTGGCAGTTTCATTATGGGTCATCTTCCCACATATTTACATGTTGTATGTCGATTTATAGGTAATTTGGCATGAGGAATTCATTTCTGAGGTCAAAATAAATATTCGAGCATTCTGACCGGCGCGCCAGTAGCCGGTAGTTACATTATGGGTCATCCTGTCATATGTTTTGCATGTAGTATGTCGATTCTGGGGTACTGGAAACAAGATTCTCTTTCTTAGGTAAGAAAAATTAAGTTTCAGAACTCTGATCGGCGCGCTGCTGGCCATAGGGTAATTATGGGGTCCACCTATCATAGTTTTTCTAAAGTTCCAGGACATAACGGAAAGCATCTTTAAATTGCTATAGTTTGATGTATCACATGCAACTGTTATTCTAACTTGGGCCAAACTTAGCACAAAAGTATTCAAAGATATTTTCTTTTATTGCGCGCGCGCGCGGACATTTAAGACTTTAGGGGTGAATTTTTTTAGCGCATATTTGTTTCAAGAGTGTGAGGAAAAATTTTCAAGTGCAATTAATGAAGTTAACATTGATTTACTGTAAAAAAGGTCGCATTTTTTCGCAAAAAGCGCGCGCGCGCACTTTTGCTCAGATTCCTTCAAAACCAAAAATGCATGTAATAATAATTCTGAGTTTGCATGCAAAAAATCAGCCTCCTACGACAATTCTAAGTTATGTTTAACCACTGTTTAAATTTTCCGGAGAGTAATACGTTTTATGCCCCCCTCCCTTTTATGGACATTCTTTTTTCAAACATTTAGACTTTAAATTACTGGAATTTGATAGGGTTAATTTCTAACGAATAGAAAACATACCGAGATTTGTGGTTCTTTTGATACATTTTGAATTAATATTTTGGCAATTGAATCTTGATCCGCATGCTGAATTGATAGGAGGGGGGGGCCAAAAATCGTTCTCATGGAAATTACCAACTTAACTATTAAGTTGTTACTAACCCACCTACGAATGTGATTCTGTTGTTTCTCCCATTCTTCTTTAGTCATCGGAGCACGCTTTTTATGTACTTCACTCCGTTCTTCATCACCATTCTTCTCAGGACTTCGCTCCTTCTCATGTTTATGCTTTTTTTCTTTTTTACTTTTCTTTTTCTTATCTTTCTTGGCTTTCTTTTCTTTCTTCTTCTTTTCCTTTTTAAATTTAGATTTTTTATGCTTTTTAAATGCCTGCATGTGCTCTGTGTCTGATAAATCGGACGATTCCTTTTCTCTCTTTCGTTTCATTTTAAGAAAATTCTAATTTATTTTACAGAAATGTAAATTTGTAATGTACTACCACAGTCTACTACTTCTCTATAATGTTTGATATCATGCTAACTTAACTTTATTCCGTTAATTAGTTTACAAGTTCAATTATTTTCTCGCGCGGTTTATAACAGCAGGAGAGGAGAGTTTCGTGAGTCAGATGTTTTCTGTTGGGACAAAAATAGAGACGACTTTAAACAGGGAGGACGCAACAAATATATTTTTTTCCTTCCGTTAGAATAGGAATTAAGAAATTCTTTAATTATTTTTGGAACGATTTTTTTTCATACGAAACTTTTAAAATGTCATTTCTATAAAACATAAAAATTAATTGAAATATTAAAGTTGCATTATTCAAGTTCAAGAAGACAAATGCCGCTGATCATTTTACAGCTACATTGCGGCGGGTGGAATGGTGCGCGCACTGCTCACAACTTATCATTATAATTTACATATTTTTAATAAATGTAGTGCCTTTCATTGGTTATCAATTTATAAAATTCTTGATTTATATAGCGTTTATTGTCATTTTNTCTTTTTTTCAAATGTCGTTTCTACAATCATCCTCTGTCAACAGTTTAGAAGATCTAACTATAACCAATTTTGTCAGTACCTGTTTGTCTGAAGCTCAGATCCGGAAAGCTTTTGAACCGTACGGTGAGTTGTTGGAGTGTGACGGGGCTGTTGGAGGCCCTGCTGATGGTTGGGTCATGGTTTCTGTTCATGACCAGAATGTTGCTACCACACTCATCCAGGGACTCAAGAATGAGAAACATACGATTGGTAAGATCAGTTATGAATTTTTTTTCGTACGAATATTATAAATTGAACATAAATTTAAATTAAAAAATTGCTTTGATTAAGGTGAGAGTATAAAGTTGCTTGGTTCTGCAGATGGGCCTGAGAACGGAGTTGGTCCAACTAATTCTTTCAACACAAACATTTGTCTCCGGTGTGGTCGGAGCAACCACCTTGAGTCAGATTGTAGATCTAAAGATCAATTCTGTGTTAAGTGTAAAAAAATAAATGCAGAGTATGCTCTGGGTCATCGGGACAGTATTCACGAGGTGAAAGACTCTGCAGTGAGACTCAAGGTTGTAAAATTACTCGGTCCAAGACCGTTTTTCGAGTGGGCAGAAGCTAAAATGGCTGCTTGTGACGGGGTTCAGATAATAACCAAAAGATCTGCGATCGTGTCAGATTCGGATAAGTTTGAAAGTCCAGATGCATTCGGTGGAACAAATAGTCTCCTTTCTGCCGTTGACTTTGGCGAGGTGGGCGGTTTAAAGAGCTTCAACCTGACTAACTCTAAGATCCTAGAGATTGTTTCACACAACAACCTTCTGCTCATGGAACGCTTACGGGAGACAGTTGAAGATTGTAATCGCCAGCTTAAGGAGAAGGATGATCAGATCAGGTTTGGTTTTTACGATGAATCTTACGATTATTGACCTTTTTTATGATAAAGGAGAATTTGACAAACCTAGATCATTCCTCTTGTCAATTATTGTATTCCTCATCCAGTCCGCATGGCTAATTTTACCCTTATTTGTAGCTTGAAATCCATTTTTCACTGTTTTGTAAGGTTGTTATCTGTAAGTATATTGTTTTGAGAAATATTCATGGAATAAGGATAATATGTTGTATAAGGGGTATATACTTTCCCCAATTTAACGAATAAAACACTGAAGGAAAGTTTTCCAAAGAGATGGGAGTGAAAAAAAATAAATACACCCCTGCTTTTACACTCTAAATGTTCAGACGTCTGCAGAACCTCCTGAGTAACCAGGAGGAGAACACCCGAACCCTAACTAACAGATTAAACACAAACCAGGAGTTTGAAAACAAAGTCAAGAAATTTTTCGGTGAGAACGAGGATTTTCACAAGAAAAAGGTTACCGAGCTGCAGAAGCAGAACCAGGACCTGGTCAGACGGTTGGAGGAGAGTGAGAAGTCCAGGATGGAGAAGGTTTTGGAGGAGAATGATTCCACGAAGGTAATTGTGAAATTTTTTAAAACAGACGTTTTATTTATGACCGTTCGGAACATCAGTGTACTTTTCCTCTAATTGATGTCAATACTATTTAACGTAAGCCTCCCATTTTTAAGTGTTACAAATTAATTTTAAATCGGAGCAGTATTGTTTGTAAACGTCGTTGTTTGAATTGAATGAAACTTATTCTTGCCTTTTTAGAAAGTTACTTACACACTCCGTAGTCTATTTTTTAGTTTCTTTAAAATTACATTAAGGCTAGTCCGTTTTAATAAGATTTTTTATATCGTGCTTTTACTATAAGGAAAATACCACGAAGTAGTATTATCTCTCTGTAAATAGTAAATACTGAAGTTGTGTTAAATATTGACTATCACTGAAATCCTTGAGTTTAGGTCCGTGGTGAGGTTGAGAAACTAACTGGTGTAACGGATAGTATAATGAGTAAGGTGGAGCAGGTATTTGCGGTGGTGCAAGGTCTAGATGTCGGAGGAATTATTAAAACCGATGGCAAAGGTAATATCCTTTTATTCTTCTAGGTCGGGGTGGGGGGAGGGCTCTTTGGTTCATTCATTTTTCAATTCTTTGATTACCCACAATATACAGGGTTACCCACAAAGAAAGAGATTTTAGCGACGATTGTACGGAATTTTTACGGTCTGTTGCCATATATTTCAGATTCTCGGAAAATGTGAAGTTCTTTCATCCTTTAGCAAATCCTTAAATCCTTAAAGACCACAATCAAGGGAAAGACTTAATTTTCACTTGGAATCGTCATATTTTAAGAGTTACAAATCGTCTTTACAGTCTCATCCATTGTGGGTAAACCTGTAGCTACCTCGTGGTGTAGCTAGCCTTGATATGTGTATATTAATCAAGGAGATGGTAAAGTTGACCCAATGGCTGGAAGTACTGCTGCTCTGCTCCATAACAAGGTGGATAAGGTGATTGTTTCTTCAATTTTTTGATTTGAAGGAAATTGAATCTATCTGTTAAAGTTCAATATACAGGGTTACCCACAAAGAATGAGATTTCAACGACGATTGTACGGAATTTTTACTGTCTGTTGCCTAATTGTGCATTTCTCACCTAATTTTCAATTAGGTCGGGCCAGGTCCTCACGCCAAATGCTGGACGCAGGCTCAGTCGTCATACTCATATTCGTAATCATTGAATATAATATAATCTGTATATTAATGGGATATATGCAATCATTTGAATATCATGACAACAATCGGAAATTTTCTTATATACTCCGCCAGGAGTCCTGAAAATAATCCTAACATAAACATAAACCCATTTCTCACACGCTTCTTTCTGTAAATATCCACAGTTCATTTATTGTCTAGGAACAGGGAAAGCACGTCTTGCGGTGGAAACTGAAAAAATAAATCTCAATATTTATCAGTTCCATATAATTTAACAATTTTTAAAGCAATACCATCGACTAATCATTATTTTACAATCAATCAATCACACGAATATATTAAAAAGAGTGCTTACATTTGGTGCATCGACTGAGTGGGTGGAGCACCGTCCACGTAGGTATATTTCTTGACGAGACTGTTTATTTAACCGGATCCCCTTATCTCCGAAGGTTCACTTCTTGAATAGTTTATATTAGATTTAAATTCACTTTAAATCATCGTTTTAACACACCTGTCATCGTTCTGACCAGAGCTCACGAGATCAGGAGGGTATTTGTTTCCTGGTTTGAGAATATTTGGCTCTCACCCCAGGTTCAGCATACACCTCTTCAGCTCCAAACTAACAGGTTGTCAACTCCAGGGTTGAGAACAACAATCTCCATTCAATCTTCAACTCAATATCAACACTCTCCTTCAAGTCCTGAATACGTTAGAGTAGAGAATAGTCAAGATTGCGAGTACCGTGTACAGCAACGGTACAGCAGTATAGGAGATATAAACACACCTGTGAATAACTCATGGCTGTAATAACAGGACAGCTTCATGCTCACAGGTCCAGAGAGTACAGCGTCTCCTTATCCAGGTCAAACCAGGATTATATAGTACCAGTACAATCTTCTTCCGTCGAGGTACAGGTACAGCAGTAGCTCCAGAACTACTGTTTGTAGTACAGTCTTCTTGTACAAGTGTCAGAACAACACCTGTCTTCCGTTTCTCAAACCAGTTAGATGTGGTCAGGATGCAACGATATTGTCCTCAGCTCCTGAACAGGGGTATATATTGTCGATGCACCGGCGAGGGATAAGATCAGGGTACAACAACGTGTACACTGTTCCCATGTACAAGTAATACAGTACGTTAAGGAATGTACAGTATTATAATATTTCTCAAACCTTTTGTTTATATCATAGAGAAATTATTAATTATTTGCATTCAAACAAGACCATATTGTTTGGTCTGAAAAAGGCCTCTAATTAAATATTTTAATGAATGTTTTGGGAGTAAATAGGTTTACATACATGGTTACATTTTTAAGATTGATGGTATTGCACGTACTTCCTTTTATATTTATAAGTTTAAAATCGTTTTACTTTAATTTTTTTAGATAAAACTTTCAGTTATACAATAAAATTAGGCTAAATATGCTTTCAATCAACAGGGTAAAATATTCGTTGAACAGGGCTAAATATGGGCTAAAATTAGGGTTAAATGGAAAGTACTATACATCTTCTGCAGCTTGAAGATTGATGATTAGGTGCGGATCTAGCTCTCGTTGTAGTTCAAGGTTTATGTGAGCACTGGGTTCGTCACTCCTCGTCACTTCCTAAATAGGGCTTTAGATATAGGTTTTACACTAATATTTCTGATTCTCTGAAAATGTGAAGTTCTTTCATCCTTTACCAAATCCTTAAATCCTTAAAGACCACAATCAAGGGAAAGACTTAATTTTCACAAATCGTCTTTACAGTCTCATCCTTTGTGGGTAAACCTGTAGCTACTTCGTGGTGTAGCTAACCTTGATATGTGTATATTAATCAAGGAGATGGTAAAGTTGACCCAATGGCTGGAAGTACTGCTGCTCTGCTCCATAACAAGGTGGATAAGGTGATTGTATAGCATATATCTTTTATAAATTATTTAATTATACTGACTTATTTTATTCAACCTTTTGTTAAGAATTTAGTTGACAATTTTTTTTGAATAACTCAATTCTACTTTTTTCATTTGTTAATTCTTTAAAGCTGTGAAAATATCGGTGGGGTGTTAGATCTTCTCATATCTTAATACCATTGCCGCAGTTTCAATTTTAGATAAATTCAACAATATGTTTGTTGCTCTTAGCTGGAGCTGGTATAAAAACAGCCTGACCTGATTTTTATTTATATTTTAATTTGCAGAAGTTGACGGAGAAGAAAAGAAGTCTAAGAAGAAGAAGGACAAGGATAAGGATCGTGAAGGCCGAGGAAGGAAAAGATCAAGATCTCGAAGTGTCGAGAAGAAACGAAGATCAAGATCTATGAGTGGAGAACGGTTATCCACCCTGGCGGTCCTCCCTCCTGCAGCTATTGATCATGAGTTTGAGGAGAACAAGTGGGCCTTGAACATGACCCTGATAGGAGACGCTCACTGGAAATCCTTGCATAAGGTGGAAGACACCAAGAACGTTGTTCTAAGAATGGAGAAAAAAGTAAATTTCAAGGTAAAACTCCTATTTTTTATTTATACCATGAAATATGAAGAGCGTAGTATTGGTCATTTGTTTTAAGTTTATGACTTCTCTTCTTTCATCATTCGACTAAACATAGATATTTTTGCTATATTTTTTATTAACTTGAACAAATTGTGACAATCCCCTTAGCTTGGCCCATGGCAGGTGGTGTGGTTTGTTTGTCCTTTTTACGTTTTTGTTTTTGCTCCAGACCGACGAATAAACTTGACAGATGTGTATTTATTTTAGATTCTGTGCAATGAAAATGAGACTCTATCATCACTGTATGATGATACAAGAGACATGCTCCTGGTGAACCTCTCTCAAGCATGTGTTAAAGTTGGTAAGAATTGAACTTAAGTCTTTATAGATTACTAGGCTTATCCCCCTTTCCTATTAACAATTATAGGCTTGTAGCTTTTAATTATTTCCCTAAAAATTGTCATTTTTAAACATTCTCAATTTTTCGTGGATTTTTCCTTTTAAATTGGCACATTTTCAAAAAAACTATGTCGACATTTTCCGTTTGAAATTTTCAATTTCAATGTGGATTTCTGTAAAAAATTTGGACCCGATGGGTTTAGCAGTTTTTGTTTTGTTTTATTATCTACAAACAGACAGACAAGAAAAGTTTATATATAGATGAATTTTTGAATGTAAATCATGAAATCCTAGATTAATAACATTATATCTTGTATACAGGAATATCTATTGGTACAATGGATCTGTCGGATCCGAACCTGATCACGTTAAAGGATGCTCCTATGGACGAGGTTAAGAAAAGAAATGAGCCAAAGCTGATGTCCAAAGCTCGTATTTTCAAGGATTTGGTTCTTAACCTTGTCAGACAGAATAAACAGGTAATTATCAGAAAACAATCCAACAAGAAGATTTTGTGGACTTTTTTTTCTTCAAAATAATATTACTTGTTTTTAAGAATATACACATGGCCAGTCAGCAAACATGATTAGACATGACTTAATAAAAAAAATCGGGTTAAAAACAAATTTGGCGTGGAAAATTTTATTTAAACAGCGAAACTGAGTTTCATAAAATTTCGACATTGTCTTCAATTTGTGAATGTTAATAATATTAACAATATTAGAAACATGTTTTGATATTGTCTAAAGAGACGGTATTTAATCGTAATTTTCATTGACCCCTCCATGCAAAACCCCTTGAACCAAAATCGGATAAAGAATGTGGAAGATAGCGTAATTTTTATGACTCTCTGACTTTCTCCATTGCTTCTTGGTAAGCAAGAAACGTGCATTGTGCCCGTAACTTTCGTAGAGAGACCGCAAATGAAAATAAACAGTTTGAAGATACAAAAATATAAATATCTATTTCATTTTTGATCAGACAAAGCTTTTAAGAGTACTGTTGTAAAACTGGCATAGTCATCTTTGCATGGGGATCACTTGAAATTACGCTTACAGTCCCTTTAAGTTGTCCAAACTTTATCTGATCAGGTGATAGTAATGATACCTCCTCATGGAGAGGAGAGGATTGAGGTTCATGCACACTGGGAGGAGATCCTACTCAACAAACTCAAGGATATCCGCTTCCCAAACATTAAAATTCTAAATATGGCTCAGGTAAGGAAAAAAAACTATAAATTACCTCGACTATTAACAATTTTGCTGAACAAAATTATTCTACTAACAAATTTGTAGTTAAAACAATTTGAATGAAATTACTACCTTCAATCTTGTGTTTTTCTAAAAACTTGCGGATTTGTTTTCATCATATTTCGCGGATTACTTTAAACCTTCAAATCTTATTTTTATATTTGAATGTTTAGACGATGAGAAGCTCGATGTCTGAGTTTAGGAACAACAAGGAGTATCTTGATATGTGGCTTCTTCCTCATCATAAACCAAGGTATTCATAATCATTTAGAAGAATATTGTCTAGGATAGCGAGATAGAAACTTTGGTAATTTATCAGTTTATTAATTAATTTTTTCTCAAATATTTTGCATATTTTAATAATTATACTTAAATTGCATTTAACTATTGTGCTCTAGAAAATATCTGTCTGACTATGGAACTCGACGACTATTCTACGCATTGCGTAAAACGGTGACTGCTAGAACTCCACATCAAGCAGGTTTTTGATTCTTTAAAACTTTATAGACCTTGTATAACTGTTTTCTTTTATCCGTCGGTTTACACTTTTAAATATCTGATTATAGATGTACTTATGAATGATCAAATAGTCAAAGTTAGAAAAACGGGGTGGCTAAAATAACGGGTTTAGAAATTTATAGTTGTATTTTACTGAATATATTTATTTTTACTGAATATATATAGACATGGGTAACTGGCCTACATCACAAACACACCCTCTGCCCACACCCCAGATCAGTAATCTTCCTCCGCCAGCATACAATCAAGGATTTTCATCCAAATCTATGGCGAATATGTCGGCCATTGCTCCTCCAAGACTTGAGGACTATCCTTGTCCTAGGTTAGTTCAGTTAAATCTTATTTTTGATGAGGACGCATGATTTTCATACATCTAATTTCGGGGCAAAATATTCTTTCATAATGGGGTGATTTTTAAGAAAAAAAACACCCCTGTGCGTCTATTTCAGGAGACATTAGTTCCAAAACTAACACTTGGCCCATTTCTAACACTGATTGTTAGAATTGTTAGAAATGGGCACAAATTGAAAGACTGGGTTTTTGGGATCCCAGTCCATATCCAGAGTAAAAGTCGATAATAAAAACTATAACCAACATTTTATTAAACTTGACGAGGACAATTATTCCCAATTTTAAACTTTTAAAATCAACATCATAATAGGAGTTCTTTTATATTAAAGCTCTTGACCGTTTTCAAGACGATGTTAGGTTTTCCATTTTTCGAAAATATCCTGAATTTGAAACATTGTCGCGTTTTCGAGACAAAACCCACTTTCCCGTTTTTGAGTTTAATCCAGAATTGAGAATTCAAAACAAAACTCACTTTGATAACTTACAAAATAAATCACTGAAAACAAAAATTATCTCATGAAATATGAAGAGTGAAGTGAAGACTAAATTAACTTCTGAATTATTTCTACAATCTAAGTTTCCTCATTTTATCTAACCGATACCGGTTTGTTGCACGGTACGAGGTCCTCCAGTACACCAAGCAGTGTACCTTGGGGTCCACCTCCAGGCATATGATGTATGATATGTTCCGAAAACGCGACATGAGCTGAAATCCGGTAATTGTCTCAAAACCAGGATATGTTCCTAAAACGCGACATGAGCTGAAATCCGGTGATATGTTCGAAAATGAAATCAAGAATCATCAAAAACTAATTCTAACACCTTATTATTAGTTTAAAATTGACATTAAATGTTTCAATATATAGTTTTAGCCATTTTTTTTTTATAAATATACGGTGTAATTTTATTCTACTCGACTTGGATTTAAAGATATATACTCTTGAAAAAGATAACTTTGCAGATTTTGCCAATTTCTAACACTCAGTGTTAGAAATGGGCCAAGTGTTAGTTTTGGAACTAATTTCCCCTGTATTTCTCGGCAATAGTTTTGATGAATTTAATATATATTTTCAGATGTACACGTCCAGGACACACTCCTGATACATGTAAGAGTAAGGATAAGGTCTGCAGAAACTGCAACAATGTTGGACACTTTGTAGAGGTTAGTTTTATATTCTCCCTTGACTCAGTTTCATCATCCTGGATCCATCCGGATAAAAATGTTTCCGGAAAATTTTAAATTTTTATCCTTTTCAGTTCCACATTTTAGTAAGTATTTTTGTTAACAAAAGATCTGACCGAAAAAAAGTCAGTAAGGACTTCTCCCCTTATCTGTTTAATGGATTTGGTTAGTGATTTGATTCGATTCCTTACCTTGAGGGCGAATTTAAAGAATTTGAGTCGCGGCTTAAATTTAAGCTGCGGTTCAAATATGGTTGGTTCCACTTAAAGTTTTATTCAATTTTTCAAAATTTAAGACGGCGCTCAATTGAAACCGGTTTTTGGAGGATTTGAGACGCGGTTTAAAATTCATTCAATTCGGACTCTGGATCCATACTATAAAAAATATTTCCTGTTAAAAAAATGTGGGAATATTTTACTGCATTTCTGAATTTGACGCAATACCTTTTATTTAACAATAGATCTTGACTGACAAGTTTACCAGAAACTAGACGCAAACTGTTGAATAGAGTGCGAGGCAATACTAGCTTTTATTTCTATTTTGTTAAGATTTATTATCCTGGCTCAAACTTATAGAAGGGTTAATGTAGTGTATGAAAGGTTAATACAGGAAAGGAAAAGTTTCATGATAATATTTCTTATAGGTTCATGATGTAACGGACGAAAGGTTTAGACAGTTAATCGTGAGTGTCCTAAAAATAAATCTATGGGATAATGGCAAGCTATCAGGTATTTATAGTCCCCCCCCCCTCTCCCATTTTCGCCTTCAAAACTAGACATAAGATTCAGGAAGCCTGAGTTGTATTGAGTCATTGACATCCCCTCAAATTCCAATAAAAACTAATGCTTTAAAGGGACTGTATGCGTCGTTTTAAGGGACCCTCTTTGCAAAGATGGCAGCGCCCCATTTTCAAGGACACCGTAGAGACCTGAATCTGATAAAAGATGTGTTAGATACCGTCGTTTTTCTGACCTGATAAGTATTCAATTCTAAGATAATTTCTCCAATTCTTATTATAGGCAAAAATCGCGTAAGTCACTTGCAGAAGAACTGCAAATGAAAATAAATAAAGCAACAAAAACATGGATATCTAATTCATACTTGATCAGACAAAGCTTTTGAGGGTACTGATATAAATCGTACATTGCCATCTGTGCCAGTAGGGTCACCTGGAATTACGCTTACAGTCTCTTTAAACTTATAAAAAAATTAATATTCCTTATTTGTTTTCTGTTCTAGGAGGTTTTGATGGAAACCATCACGGAGATTATGAACCTGAAATAAAACGAGGACGGAATGATCAACCTGCTCTACACAAGAGAATCCCCTTGGATCAGCTTGCTGAGATGGAGCAATCCAGGGATCAGAGAGGGGATGGATGGGGTGGACGGGGAAGAAATGATTACTATTGATAACTGGCCGATGCGGAAGTAGAATTCAGAGAAAGAGCATTTTATCATTTAAATCCAATCATTGTTGTTATACATTATCATATAAATAAAACAGTGTTCAACAGTTCAAATATAACTTTTTTTCAGAGAAAATGGCGGTTTGTGTCGCAGTCATTGGTAAAGAAAATAGTCCGCTTTATATCTGTTGTGTTAATCCAGAACAGGTTTTTATTTATAAAAATATTTATTTCTGTAATTCAGCAAGTTCATGGCCTAGTTTTCGTTTTTGTATATAGTCTGATTTTGATGAATAAAATCAAATCTGTTTTGATTAATAATTCTGGCGATTATAAGCATGTCTAGTTATGGCCATATTGTAAAGTTTAAATCTGGCTGAAAATCCAGAAATTTGGAACGAATTAAAAGTCTAACCCTAAAGAAGGATGCCTCCAGCAATCCCTGTACAATATGATTTTATTTGATTTGATTGGTCTGGATTTTATTGATGGAAGAAGTGGATGAACAGACCCCTTTATTGAAGATGTTGCAAAATAAAAACTTAAATCATTAATATTCTTTATTTGTTAAGGAGTTGGGTTTCCACTACAGCCTGCATACAAGTCTAGATGTTATTGAAGAGAAATTAAATAATTCTAACAAGAGTAACGATCAAAGGTGAAATATTTTTTTAATGTTTTTAAAAGAAATATATAGATTGATTTTACGTTTACCGAGGAGGGTTTATTGAGGTAAACCCAGGAAGACTGAATAACCGTGGTTTGTGTCTTAAATAAGCGGCGGTATGATGCATTCGGGCAAAATCGTAGCCTTTTCACGTATTTCTGAAACTTCTGAACCTCTAATGATAAACTGATAACTCGCTAGGAATTTTTAAAATTGAAAACTTAAAATTGTTAAATGCAATATTTAATTTATTAACGAAACCACCTAACCTAGTGCTGTTAATATTGTTAGAAAAAGGATTAACAATTCTTCCCCAGTGTATGTTAGGTCCAACCAGATTTAAATGTTTATAAAATTAATTTTAATATTTACTATATCTCCTAATTGTTAAGGGATCTGTACCTGGGTACTCTCTACTCTACTGAACACCAGAAAGTGTTCGGTTATGTTACCAACACTAGAGTTAAATTCATCATCATTGTAGATAATTCAAATACAAACCTCAGGTATGGTTTCTATAAGAATATGACCAGATATTTAGCCAGTTTCTTATTTTACACCCCCCCCCTTATATTCTTAATAATAGTTACACTTTTAAGTCAGAACTTTTGTATTGTGAACCTCGGGATCAAGCATTGATCTTAATCCTATGCAGACCTACGGATTCATTTAATTTCTTTTCGTTTTCCCGTTTTCGACATTCCCTGCAGGGTTAACTGAAATGAAGGGATAAAGCATTGATCTCACTCTTAAAAGTGCTGACATTGGATATCTGGATCAAGTGTTCAATATTATTGATACTTCAATGTTTGAAGGAAAATTGTAACAATGAAAGAGCATTATGTCTAAGCTTTGATAGTCCCAGAAGTATGTTAGAAAATTGTATTGTAAGCACACATAAAACAGAGTAAAATTATCTCTAAATTCTTTAATAATAATGTTAATTTTGTTTTATTTTAGGGATAATGAAATCCGTCAGATGTTCCGAAAAATCCACATAGCGTACACGAACGTGATCTCCAATCCGTTCTACACTCCGGGAACTAAAATATCTTCCAAACAGTTCAACTCAGTGATCAACAGTGTACTCGGGATCCGGGACTAATCTGTGCCAAACTTTTGGAAAAATTTAACTCGAATTTATTTAGTTAATTAATTAATTAATTCTCCTGTTTATCTGTGATACTTGGATCTATCTTTAACCTTTGTTTATGATTTCAGATGAATATTTATACAGGATCTAAACTAATGCTCCGCGGAGTAAATCAACCCATTCTAGCCCTGCAGTATAGATACCTTAGAGAAAATGAAAACTTTACGTTTGACTGGAGCAAGGTACCTGAAACACTGGAGAAAGAAAGGAAAAAATACGAAGAGTTTTCTGAGCTGATGGGAGATTCGAAATTTTCCAAACGTGATTTAAATATTCGAGAGATTGAGTATACAGCTTCTCAGAAACCCGAGGAATGGATTCATGTTCAGAGATTAGTTGAGATGTGTGCTCCCAAACAAATACCAGGTTGATAATATTATTAATTCTTTAAAATTTCTTTTAACATCCTGTTGGTCTACAGTCTGACATGGTCGCCCGACTTCTGCATTTTAGCCCTTGCCCTCTTCTCCACACGCTTCCGGCTCTAACGCGGGATACCATTTATGTAATCTGGAAGAGATAATATTCCAGCTAAGGCAGGTCTTTTACGGGTTGAAAATCTATTCAATATCCTTTGTCTCTTAGAGATGAAATTGGTTATTGAATATATCTGAAATAAAAAGATGTTTACATTATCTTACAAAGTATTACAGGATGTTTTCCTGATGGTCCTGTCCTGTTGGCTAATAACTTAATAATTGAAGTTTAGTCCCATTGTATAAAACTATCTGAAATAGTAAAACATTATCAGAATATATTGGCATGAAATATTAACACAATAAATAGACAGCAGGATTCATCAGAATCACATCTGTGGTGGCGTGGTTTCCTCTCAACGCTGTTCCATAGTCCTTAAAGAATACTTGACAATGAGCAATCATAGCTCACACATCCGTTCTAATATTTTATATCTAATAGTCTGGCTCTAATAGTCTATCGTCCTTGGAATTCCTTCCTTAAAATGCATGAGATTGCGCGTTAAACAGAAATCTACCATAACAAACCCATCAAACGGAGAATAGTTTTAATAACAAGTTTGAATTGGGAACGACTAGAAATTGTAGATTTGTCTGGCCTTCCTCCCACCGATTAAAACTTTTTGTTCCTGCTCGTACAACTTCTGATTTTTATTTTATTTTGTATATTTATAATTACCCCCAGGCATCCACTGGGAGTGGGAGAGGTTATGAAAATATAACATCAAGTTACAAGTTTTTTATTTTTGTCATTCGGGGGGGNATGTATCCAGGTAAAATCCAGTCAGAGCAAATAGTTGGATGTATCCAGGTAAAATCCAGTCAGAGCAAATAGTTGGATGTATCCAGGTAAAATCCAGTCCAGAGCAAATAGTTGGATGTATCCAGGTAATCCAGTTAGAGCAAATAGTTGGATGTATCCAGGTAAAATCCAGGCAACTCACTTAAAATAACATCTAGAAATATAAAAAAAAATTGAGCCCCAATTTTAATCCGTTGGACAAATAATCTGGGGAGAGTTCGTATCAAAATTCTCATTTTTTTTCCTACATGAAAGATTTTACAATATTTCCCCCAGGGGGGAGCCAGGGGTATTTTTTATCTAAGACGGAGAATACATTAGAAAATATCACAATATATTAAGCTAAATTGGAATGTATTTAAAACTAATATTTATTTAATTATTCTAGTTTATGTAAAGAAGGAGGGAACTAAAGTTACTTCCGAAGGTCCAACAGTAACCTGCGTCAAGAAAGTTGAGGGAAATGTTTTTAAATTGAAGAAAGATTTGGATGCTTTCCTTTTCGAAAGGTAAAATAGAAGTTTTTGAATTATAAATGAATTTCCATGAATATTTTTTTGTTAGGGGTGTATATTTTTCAGAATTCCCCCCCCCCCCATGATTTGAATGATTTTTTTTTGGGGGGGGGGGATTAGAAAATTTGACATCAGAAGGGGCAATTTTTTTTCTCTTTTTGTTACTAACTAAAATTTTCATTTCCCCAATTCTGCGAATATATAAGCATTAAGCATATATATTATTTAACTTGTGGGGAAAAAATTATTTTCAAATAGTGGGAGGGAGAGAGAAAAATGATTTTCTAGCTTTGACCTCCTAGCCCGTATTGCTCGGCCCTTATAATGCATCCTGCGGCGCCTGGGCAAACCTAACCTTTAAATTTGGAAAGTTGACACCATCTTTAACTTAAAATGTTTCAGGTATGAGCAGGAGTTTATAGGACAAGCAGATGAAATACGACAAAAAGTAGTTTTCAGAGGAAATTTCGATAAAGATTTTAAAGATTTTCTGAAAATGAAAGGTTTTTAAAAATAAAATATTTATAAGTTTCTGTGTGTATTTGCAAGGTTGAGACACTTGGACAATGGACATATGTTATTTTTTTTAAAATTTATTTTAGGAAGAATGTTACACGAGTGAACATGAATAGTTCGGAATGATCTGAATTATTTGTTCATTTTTAAGTATTCAATAATCTTGAGATTCGTCTTGTTATGAAGAGAACATGTTCCCAGCTTCTGTTGATCATACTTGGACCAACCTTACTTTTGTTGGATTCTAAAAAATAAACTTTTATATTATTCCTAGTCTGATAATGGAAACATCATGTGAATTATGCTCTTCAAAGTTTTGTGTATTAAAGTTATTAAGGGTTAATTTTAATATTGCAAATACCAAAATGTTTAAGAAGTAACATTTATTACTCCTGTTCTTTTCTCATACTCATTCAACAATTGGACCCAAATCACTTTTCTTTGACAGTCAACATTTAATAGTTAAGTCCTGATATGCGGGAATTTAGAGACTATTCCATTTTTTTTACCTATAGAGGTCTGGTTCAAGTTCTTCCAAAGACCAGTGATTACAACCCTGAAAAGAAAATCTTTAATCTAATTTATGAAACTTGAATTTAAAACTTAATGTAAATAATTTACCTTGCGTAGTCCAACCAAACCTGGTTGTAGGAGTCTCTTAAACCCGGAGGGAGGATTTCTCCTATTTTTGACAATTCATCCTAAATAAGGGGATATGTTCTGTGTTGAATTTCTTAGCCATATTTTATGTTTAATGGTATTATTCCGAGCCCTGGAGCTGGTTTAGGTAAGTATTTTACTAGCCTGGAGAACTTGAATATAAAAATCTACCAGATCATCCATCCTCTGCAGACTTTCAGGTGATAGTGTAGTTGTCAACGCATACGCTACATCCTAGATAAGACAAATAGAAAAAAAATATTAAATCAACCTACTCATAAAAAGAAAACCAGTTAACTCACTCGAAGATATTTATAATTGGATTCTTTCCTGTCCCTCTCCCTACCTGAAGAGGATGTCCTCGTCCTGTCCATTGGAGATCAATGAACAATATCTTCTCTTCAGATCCATCTTTACCAAAGAACAAGTTCCAACCTGGAGAATATCAAACCATCAAATTGGTCCAAGATTTAACCGAGATTTTAATAATCTTTCTTACTCTATAAGTGAAAGTGGTGATATCGTTTACTTTATAGATTGTAAATAATTCTATTAGAGGCAGAATTTAACGACTTAAAATTGTATTCAGTGTTTCGAGATTTGAGTCGGCGCTCAATTGGAACCGGTTTATGGCGGTTCAGAGAGGCGGTTTAAATTCTTTGAATTTGACCTCAGAAGTGGTTTTGTTTTGAACAAGTATTGAAAAATGAAAATGAAGTGCTGCATTCTACAGAGGGAGAACACTTTTAACCAATTTGGATTTTTACAGTATGAAATCGGACTGTGATGTAGGATACCCATATGTGATGTAAGATACCCGTATGTGATGTAAGATACCCGTATGAAAGGTTGTAATTGAAAAGTGAAGCAAACTTATCAACAACAGTAAACTCAAATTTGACTTTTCCCATTTTCAGATTTTTGGTCAATGTTTTTATGACCAGGAACAAAGAATGAGAAAGGTCAAGAGGATTTTTTTATTATATATCTTTGACTTCTGATACAGTGAGAACCAGAATACTCTGAAATAGTAAGACAACTTTACATCAATACTTAATTGTACTTAATGATGTCACAAAGCACATAGTTTTACTCAACACTTCTTAAATCACAAATTAAGTGAAATGGGTCTGTTTACACTGTACAGTTAATGTGTCCCATGGTCTCTACTATCTCAAGTCATAACTTGAGTCTAAAATTCGTCTTCTTATTCCATAGTTTTCTGGTTATCATTGTAACGATCTAGAATATAGACATTACCTTTAGCATCTCCATGAATTCTAGTACAGGCTCCTTGCTCCACTACATGGTCTAAACATGGCGCCATTTCCTAATAATAATTGAAAATTCTAAATATAGAATTCAGGGAACATGCTAGACATTCAGGGAGCATGCTAAACTATTCCAATGGCAGTCCTTATCATTGATTATTGATAAACCTTTAACAGGAAGTCCCAATAAACCTTTTACTAGAAGTCCCAATCAACACATCACTTGAAGTCCCAATTAACCTTTTATCTGAAGTCCCAATTAACGTTTTATCTGGAGTCCCAATTACCCTAATACAAAAAGTCCCAATTAACTTTACAGGAACTCCCAATTAATCTTTTATAGGTACTTCCATTTAACCTTTTACAGGAACTTCCAATTAACTTATTACAGGAAGGCCTAGTTAAAATTTTACAGTCCAAATTAAGCATTCACATTTACTCACATTTATCCAGATATATTAAGTCCCAATCCTCCATTTACAGGAATACACAAGTGACTCATAAAAAAACAAGTCCTGTCAATTATATATATTTAACCTCAAAATTTGCGATAAATATCTTTGAACCTTGATCAGTCTGCCGAGATCCTCTAGGTTTGATTCTTGAACCTGATCCCGCAGTTGAGGAAACCTCTCTAGGAACCGTCTCCAGGTCTCATCAGCAACCTCAACCTCTGGATATAAAGTTCATGAATGCAGCCCAGGGGAAGGGGGGGGGATATACCTTGATGTTTAAGTCTTCTCTGAAGAACCCAAAACCCTCCTCTCTCTTCGTCCTGAACCTTGTTCCAGAAATGTGCATGTAGATTAGCTAAGCTTGTCATCACTAGTTTAGCCTGCATTGTTAACAATAATAATAATAATTTTCTTCTATGAATAATAAACGTAAAATTCCCCATTCTTCCTGCTTCTTTATTGATGTCCAATACATTTTTTGCATTTTTCTAATTTCGAATAAAACTTTTTTTTACCTGGTCAAAGTTCATCATCGGGGTTTGGTAATGGTTTGGAGAAAGGTTCTCCATAATAATGATAAAAGCTGTTTCTGAACAACAAAGAACAATCATGGTTTTAATGTTTTTTTCGATATGGATAGTTTAGAATTGACGATTGAAAGAATATTACTTTAAGGACGGATATCTATAGTTATACTAGTTAACCTAACCTTAAGGATATCTAGTTTTCTAGTTAAAATCACCCTGAGGACGGATATCTAGTTCTCTAGTTGAACTAACCTTGAGGACGGTTATCTAGTTATAACTAACCTTGAGGACGGATATCTAGTTAAAACTAACCTTGAGTACGGATATCAAGTTAAAACTAACCTTGAGGACGGATATCTAGTTGAACTAACCTTGAGGACGAACATCTAGTTGAACTAACCTTGAGGACGAACATCTAGTTCCTTAGGTGTGCCAGCGGAGTAGTATACTTGTGGGAACAAGTTCCTAACAACAAATACAAATTACGAGATTAAACTTTTTAAACTGATTATGTTTAAAAAAGAAAATATTAGTAAATAGTTTCCGTTTAAGTAACAGTAGACGTAATTTCAAGTGTCCTTTCATTTATAGAGTGACCTGTCTGATTCACAACGGTACCATTCGTCTTATCAAGAAATGAGTTATCCATTTCTATCTGAAAATTGTTATTTTCAGATAGTGGTTTCTCTAGGTATGAGATAATAATGATACTAGTTGGAGAATAGAATATATATTAGATTGGAATTTACTAGAAAAAAGTGTAAAAAAAAAGCCAATTTGTTGTACTGTTTCCATATTGCAGGTATATTTGGGCCCTGGAACATCATTTTACAAAAAATCTAAAATTAATATTTTAAGAAAACCAAATTATGAAACAGGCTGGTTTCATAATTGACCATGATCATTTCACATAGACTCTATGTCTTTCACTTTACAAACGATGATTTTACGTTATAACTATAAATCAAATGATGTTTTTTATTCACCTAATTCATTATAAAGTTTATTTAACAGTTAAAAAAATTTGAAATTCAAATGGATAGTCTAGGGAACATACTGTATTAATGTACTCTACTGCATATAATTTGTGAACATTTACATGATTTGTACACTTTGAACTCCCTTTCAGGCTGAAAGGGACTGACAAAATTCATACCGAAGGATTGACTAAATTCCACCTAATACATATTCTATTCTCTTTGTTTATACTATAACTGAAACAATGAAAAAAAATACCGAATTTAACACCTCAAGATAAAAAACCAACAATATCTCATTGACACTAAAAAAATGATATAAAGGGTACCATTACGAATCGGACAGGACACCTTGAATGGAAGATCACTTATAAATAAGCGAACAGTCCCTTTAAGTATGTTTAACCTCTCTAACCTGATGGTTGCGTGTTCAGGTTCAAGAATAATTGAATAAAAATCAATCTCAGATCTTACACTCTTCACAAACTCTCTCCAAATATCCTTAACAGTTAAAACACTGAATCATGCCTGGAAAGAGAACAAGGTTCAACTGCTGCTTGGCCTGTATGTACACTGCACAGTATATAAGGTGAGATATCTACAGATAAGTAAATTAAACCAATTATTTAACAAATAAAAGTTCGTTGCATTAGATTAACTAGGAGCGATATAATCATGCTAAAAAGCAACATGAAACCCCCGAAACTAATGGTCTACAATGTTAAAGGAATTTGAAACATGTTGACAGAACATTTTCAAGAAAAGAGCAGGATTTTTACCTCTGAAGCTTTTCCTGGAAGTTCTGATGGAACTACTCGTTTGACAAGGAAGGTTCGGGTCTCCTGGTCTCCGGATACCTCCAGGAGAAACATGTTAGCTTGCATACCTCGGATTACTCCGTTCTTTGGGATGTTTGTATCCGTTGCTCCGTCCCAGATCCTTGATCGAACCCAGGCCGTATCCAGGGTTTTACCATCCGGCAACATTCTCAGGGTCTTGTACAAACCCTCGTCGAACTCTTTAGGATCAGGATATCTCTCAGGGGGTCGAGAAGTCATGTTTTCTCCTGGAACAGTTATTCTTCTCACAGGAAAATCCTGCTTCTAAACGAAACAAAACTGACTCCTAAATCAAAGGTTCATAGAATATCTTAAGTACATTCGTATTCAGATGTTTTGTATAACCTTGACAGGGACAACTATTTTTCCAAAATAATTTATCCTAGTTTAAAATATTTTATATTTCATATTTTGGATATTTTCCAAAAAAAGTTTTATGTTTAGAACCATCCCTGAATCGTAATCAGCTGTTTATTTTTCAAAGGTTTCTCTGTTACATAGTCATACAATCTACACAATCTAAAGAATAATGAATATGAGAAAGTTTGTTTATTGGTTATTAGTCATCATATACTGGGGAACTGTAGTTTACAGACATTTTAGTCATAGCTCACTCAATATGATATTTTAGTAACATATAGTTTTTTTTATAAATTTTGTTATAGTTTGCTTAGAGTAGACATTTGTGGTAGTTTGCTTGTCAAACATTTATATTGAGGTTTGCTCAGTAGACATTCTTGGTTTAGTAAACATTTTATATTATTTTACTTGCATGCAGTATACATTTTTGGTTTAGTAAACATTTTAGATTATTTTACTTGCAGTAGACATTTCCCAGTAGACATTTTTAGATTAGTCAATTTGAGAATTCCCATTTGTTTCTTAAATTTGTAGAAAGATTTGATCATATCCAGGCACTGTATTTACTTACATGAAAACGTTGACGAGGAGCGGAGAAAAAGACGACTTTTTAATTCATCTTTTTGGAAAGAAAACCCGGATTTAGACGAAGATTAAACAAAGTTTCTATTTTTCAGATAAATTTCCCCTGAGAATGGATCCTGAATGGAAAGTTACTCAGGAGGATCTTCATAAATATCTTGATGTACTCCTTGTCCTGGTGAAAGAGTGTGGAGACATAATATCTGATGCTATCACTAAACGTGTTAATGTTGAGATAGATGAGAAGGTTGAGAATGTGGGAGAAGGGAACAGCAGCGCTATTCTTACTGAAACAGATCTGAAGGTAATATTTTTTTCTCTGCCAAATATCAGAGATAAATTAAAAAAAGATTACAGAAATTCCAAAATTTCTTAATTTTTTTAGTATCTGAACGGCAATATTTAGAAGAAATGTTTTTTATGTTTCTTTGAAGAATTAAATGGATCAAAAAAAAATAAATTAAGAATCGTTTTTAAGTTTCATTGATTGATTAAAGATCAGGTTGAGAAGCATCTGATCAACGGACTTTTGTTTTATTGATTATAACAATTAGATAGGCCTATGGTTCATGTAATTGATTGATGATCAGATTGGGAAGCATCTGATCAACTGACTTAAGGTTCTATTAATTTATTAAAGATCATCTTTTATTGATTGATTAATGATCAGGTTGAGAAGCATCTGATCAATGGGCTGAAGGCAAAGTTTAGTGATCACCAGTTTATCGGAGAGGAATCCTCAGGAGATGTGAGTAAAAGATTAATAATCGGAGTTGGATATTTATGAACAAAGAGAAGTAGTTGAACTAAATAGTTAACACTAGTTCATCTCTCTTTTGCCGCCAAGATAAAAGTGAACCACCACTTCTCTGTCTCAAATTGATCTTGGTGATTAAAAAAAAGGAGTTCACACGGACATTTATAGTTCCCCTACTTGTTCTCATTCATAAAATTCGACCTCTGGATTCAGAAATAATGAAAAAATAATCCAGTAGGTGATTAAAGAAGCTTAATTGCACATCATAAATATATTCTTGGCTCAACAATGAGATGGATACATAATGTTTTAAATAATTATAGGATAAAGTTGGAAGGGAGCTGGGAAATGCTCCAACCTGGATAATTGATCCCATTGATGGAACCATGAACTTTGTCCATTCTAATCCTCTAGTTTGTACTTCCATAGGTATATATTCTTAGCCTCTAGTCCACGGATGATAGATTTGAATATTAAATACAAATGATAAAAAAAGGCAGAGTTGGATACAATTACCGTAAAGACTCAATTTTAATATTTATTTTTCAAATATAAAAGATGAGTAAATTTGATTATATATAGTTCTATTTAATTTCATAGATTATCTCTTTAGAAAAGCAGATATTAATATCCAGTTAAAAGATGAACAAAAAATAGTTTAAAGATCTAATATACATAAAAGATGAAAAGGAAACTAAGGATTTATTATATCTAGAATATCTAGTGTAAATATGTACAGGAAAATAATATTACTAATATCTAGAATATCTAGTGTAAAGATGAACAGGAAAATAAGATTTCTAATATCTAGAATATCTAGTGTAAAGATGAACAGGAAAATAAGATTTCTAATATCAAGAATATCTAGATTAAAGACGAACAGGAAAATAAGAGTTTTAATATCTATAATATCTAGTGTTAAGATGAACAGGAAACTAAGATTTATTATATCAAGAATATCTAGTGTAAAGATGAACAGGAAAATAAGAGAATATCTAGTGTAAAGATGAACAGGAAAATAAGATTTCTAATATCTAGAATATCTAGTGTAAAGATGAACAGGTAGACGAGAGTTCTAGTATCTATAATATCTAGTGAGAATACAAGCAGGAAGATAAAGGTGTAAATTTAATGACCAGGAGGAATATAGTTTTGAAGCTGAGCAGAAGGTTGTCTTACTTCCAGGTTTAACCGTGAACAAAAAGCTGATGATTGGTGTCGTGAACTGTCCCTTGATTGGGAAACTGTACTCTGCTGTACGAGGAGAAGGAGCTTACTGCAACGGGAACCGGATCCGGGTCAGGTATTCACTATTCATCTTGGTGTTGTTTTGGATTTTTCTCGTTGAAAATCCGAAAGGCCACATGGTGCAGGGGTCAGATCAATTCCAATTGATCTACAGGAACTGGAAACTTTGCAAAGAAACGATTACTCTCCTCAAACTCAATATCTTAATCCTTATACCTTAAATTCTGATAGTTCAATTGTTTACACGTTTAAGTTAAAAATATTAAAGATTTAAACTAATATATTTTAAGGATATAGGAAATTATAAATAAAAGTTTGTAGCGACTGATCATTTCTATTCAGAAAACTGTAACTAATAGGGTTAGCCAGGGTTGTCCCATACACTCATTCTGCCATCATTAACCTTCCCTTTCTAATTTCGAGGAGTTTTAAATTCATGGGAGAAGTTTACTTATCTCTAATGAGTGATTTATGCTTAGCAAAGCGTCTGATATATCTAAAGCTATGATAATCATGGAACTCCCTGCTGGAGCAAACAAGGACAAGAAATCTGTGGCTCTCAGTAACCTGGAGTATATACTGGAGAACGCTCATGCTGCCAGGGCTCCAGGTAGAACATTCAATTCTTTCTTCTTAATCTTTCTTTTCTTTCATAACTATCAACTCATCTCTCTTCTTCAATAGCTTCCTCAAACCCCTTTCTTTCTACATGGTGTCCCAAGGAACATGACAGTAGAGATAGTATTTGAAGATCGTCTTTTATCTTTAAACAAATTTGGCGGCATTCATTCGTCAACGTACTTTTACAATGAAAATTCTTGAAACGATAATCACTTAATGCCCCTAGTCCTCGCATTTCAAAAATATGGACTTTTTGTGCTTTCAAAATTTCCATTATAAGAAATGCCGAGGCCCGGGGCTAATGGTTTGTGATTGTTGTTTCAAAGAAGCAAACAAAAAAGTAGGTTGACTAATGCCGCAATAAAAAAGGATAAAAGACGATACTCACGCCGTCTCTCGACTATCATGTTTTGTGGGAAAACCTTTATATTATTCTCCGCAATTTAGTTTTCCTTTTCTGGATCTTTTGTATAATAAACTTTAAAATTCTTGCTCTGAAGTCTGAATTCAAATAAACTATATCTGTTAACCTCCGTAGGACCAGCAGCTCTGGATATAGCGTGGGTAGGATCAGGATCCGCGGACGGATTCTTTCATCAAGGAATACATTCCTGGGATATGGCAGCAGGAGCTCTCATTGTAAAGGAGGCAGGAGGAACTGTAATGTCTCCTAATGGAGGTAATCATCTAATGCATAATGGTAAATGGAGGTACAACAGTGACCCATAAAACTCCGGAATTGGAAGACGATAATTAGACAACCTTACCAATTTTTGTTCAATTCCTTAAAAATAACATCTAGCCTATTATTATCAGAAAAATATTTTCCTCAGCATATTCAAGGTTATTGTAAGGTCAATACAACTGAATCTGAGGATGCATGAATGTTGGGGTTAATGGTACATCCTTCCCATTCCCAACATCAAGAGACAGTTTTAAGTTTCCAATCTTATTTTTTCTAGGAGAGTTTGACTTGATGTCTCGTGGTATTATTGTAGCTTCTAGTAGGACCCTAGCAGAGCAGATATCAGGATTTATCAAGATCTATTCAACACCTAGAGATCAGGATACTCCCTGCTATCCTTTCTAAACCCAGATATCTGGATTTATCAAGATCTATTCAACACCTAGAGATCAGGATACAACACCTTGAGACTTAAAAGACGTTAAATACCTTTAAGTATTCGTTTTCATGCTGTCTCGACTATAATTTTTAATGTGTTTTTTTCAAGAGAGATAAGTAATTCACCAGGACTTTAGAGAATAGTTCTTTTTGGCTTTTGCGTTATTGTTATCTGAAATTCTTAATCCATGCTCTCTGCAGGGACGGAGAACTGTTTTATACGACGTAAAGATTTCTGTTTACTTAATACCAGAAACATTTTAGTTATTTTGTTAAAATACTCTGATGTTAATGTTATTTCTGTGATACTTAGATTTAAAAAAAATAATATTTTTGTTTTATTTTGTGATACCTAACCTAAAATAGTTTTATAATGTTAATATGATAGTTGTTTTAGTTCAACTTGCTGGTGTTTTTAATCTATGATTAATGATTATCCTCCTACTCTTTATGTTGCTTTTTCTCCTCTTACTTTTCCATCTCTAGTTCCTTTATCTCCTCTAAACTTTATCTCATACTCCTGGTTATCCTTCTTCTCTAGTTTCTTTATCTCCTCCTACTCCTGGTTATCCTTCTCTCCTCTAAACTTTATCTCATACTCCTGGTTATCCTTCTTCTCTAGTTTATTGATATCTCCTACTCCTTGTTATCCTTTTCCTCTAATTCCTTTACCTCCTACTCCTGGTTATCCTTCTCTAGTTCCTTTATTTCCTCTTACTCCTGGTTGTCCGCCTCTAGTTCCTTAATCTCCTCGTACTCCTGGTTGTCCTCCTCTAGTTCCTTAATATCTCCTACTTTTGTTTATCCTTCTCTGGTTTCTTTATCTCCTACTCTGGCAAACCACATTTTGGAAATGGCAAGACTAGGGGTATACTGTGATTATTAACCTTATAACTTTACTTATAAAACTGGTTATTCGAATTAATGCTGCAAATTATTTCAACCATCAAAGACGACCGTCAATTCGGCCTGTTATTACTTACTGTCATGCTTCGTGGGATGTTATATCGTACTGTGTGGCCGCAGCGCCCGGCCCCCTAGCCGCAGCGATCGGCCCAGAAATTGTTTTAACCTAACCTAACCCTCAAATAAAACGTTAGTGCGAATGTACGTTAGTCCGATCAATCATTATAGTTCAAACAAAACGACACCCTTCTGGGAAATTATCATTGATTGATTGATAAATTACAGAGCTGGGAACTTTAGAATGGTATAAACTTTAATCCTGACTTCTTGATCCGAATATCCACTGTGGAAACTTTTCATTTTTGTCCTAATCCACTCTTTTTCTCTCTCCTTGGATATCCATTAATTGTTTTCTCCAATGAGAATATTTCTGTTCTCTCATTGGTTGCCCGCTTTTCTCTGAGAGCTGAAAACTTTAGAATGGTGGATATCGGGATGCTTGATCCTCTCTTTTTGATACTTAAGATTAACATAATCTTGCAAGATTATCCTAAAAGTGTATGAAAAAGGATAAAATTCAAATTAATATTTAATCATCTGAGAAACTGTAGCATCTAATTTTTAAATGAAACAAATACCTCAACTGATAATTTATCTCGGCATTATTGTGGTGGTTGCGCTTGTAAATAAAACGGATTGAATTTGTTCCAATCCGTTCAGAATTGCAAATTTTACCAATATTGCACGTAGTGAAGAAAACCGGTTTTGAAACGTATGAATACTGTACAGTATGGTTCAGTTTTTAGAAAACCGAGCAGCGGATAAGTTATAAGATATTTGGATATTATTTTGACCGAGCAATAGCCGTAATTTCAGGATTATCCAGATATATTTAAAGTTCTACGCTGGCTTGATGAAGTAATTTGGTTTTGTGTCTACACAGGAGTTGGAGTGGAATGAATCGAGATTCGATCCGTGCCTTTAGTTTATATTTTTGGGGTCGCTCGTGGCTCTCGGGCCGGCTTAGGCTTTCTTTTCGGATTAGATCGATTTATTCCACTTAAACTCCTAGTATTCTTTAGTTGAGAAAAAGGTTCTGAACGGAGAGCAATAATATAATTTTTGACGTAGCGTCCCTCCAAATATCAATAGCGAAGTCAAAAATGTGGATTATTTGGGGGTTTTTTTTTGAGCTGGGAAAATGGAAATGATACTGAAAATTATAAAATTATATGTTTGTTTTGAGAAATTTGAAGACAAATTACATATAAAAACCTGAAATTATTATTCTGACAAATTTGATTTAATTTTTTTCCTTCGTGGGGATTTTTATAAATTTACATTTGGGGATTATTTGAGGATGGATTTTTCTTGTTTTTGGGAACTTCCAATCCAACCTATCTGGCAACTCTGAATCCGTTCAGTAATATTTAAATCTCCATCCTTCATGACTACCGAAAACCCTTTTCTTTAAATATAGTTATTACAACTGCAACTTCTGACATCATAAATCATATATAAATCGATCGAAATCTTTCAAAACTAACCATTTATTCAGAGCGAGGTGCATGGCAGCTCCGTTTGAAAATGAGACATGCAGTATCCCCAACCTCGCCACTAAGTATAAGTGATTACGATGACGAAGAAATACAACTTGACTTTGATAAGATTTACGAGGCAGAAATCTGGTGAGCCTTTTTTACTTTCTTAAAAGATCTCTTCTATTTAAAATTCAGAAATGAATTCTTTGCAAATAAAACTAATTCAATTTATATGTATATATATATATTTTAAATAGACATTCAAGAATATTTTCTAAGAAAATTTAGACATAGATATATAGTAAATAGGACGGGGTGAAATGATCAAACGTAGTGTTCTCAAATCTGTAAATGTTTTAGGAATGGAAAGCTCAAGAACCGTGACAAAAACCCTCTTCTTTCTGAGGGAAGCATGGAAACAACAAAGGTCGGAATTAATGAATAGCAAGAGTTAACTAAAGGGACTGTCGGTGTAAGTTCAAGTGACCATTCATTTAAACTAAAAAGGGATATGCTCGATTAACAATGGTACACTTACCGGTAATTTCCAAGAGAACGATTTTTGGACGTTCACTAGGACAGACCCCACTTACCTTATCAAGAACGTGGAAAATATCGTCGTTTTTCTTGCTCTAAAAGTGATTAAACACTAACAATTTCCTCCATTTCTGTAGCAAGAAATTTGGGAAATTTCCTACTGAACGATTTTTGGACCCCCCCAGGTCACCCCCCCCTCCTATCAATTTTGTACATGGAACTTATATGTTAGACATGGATGACCATGTGGCCGCAGCGCTCGGCCCAGAAAGTGTCTTAACTAACCTAANGGGTCCAAAAACCGTTCACTAGGACAGACCCGAACTCTGAAAGACACTTTTTTTGAAAATAACTAAAATAAATTCATTCTTGTACAGACAAAGCTTTTGAGGCTACCGTTGTTACTTGGACATACTGTACTATGGAGGGTCATTTAAAACTTGCTTCGGATAGTTTAAACTACTTGTGTCGTCGATAGTGCACTCTCGTGAAGGAGTTTGACTAGTCTGAAGCCATATCTAGCCAGTTCAACCACTTATCGCTATTTATTTTACACATAATTTGCAGGGCCGGGTGTTTGCCGGAATTTGTTTAGACCCCCTCCTCCCCTGGAGTAACATAAAGGTTCATCCGCGGGCGGCTTAGTACTCAAAGTCCCCCCCCCCCATCTGTATTTTTTATTATTCACTGTAATTGAGCCGGAAATAACCTGTATTTAGTTAAGGGTTAATAATATTGGTCTATTATTAATACCCGGATCCGGATAATAATAAATAATTGTTAGTCAAGTAATTTTTTAGGCTCAGCGGAAACAAGAAAATATTGCCTTACCTGGAGAGGCAACCAGTCCTGGAATTCCAGACAAAGATGATATTTTTCCTGGTACGTTAGTCAAAAGTCGACATGAAAATAAAAATAGAAAACTCCCGACATTTCTGTACTTTCCTTTTGATGGATTAGTTGATATATAGATATTATAAATATCTAAAACATACTTTTGAATAACGAAAAAAGCCTTGAAAGTATCAGATGATAAACTTTTGAATTGCTCAAAATTTTAATTTTTTTATTATTGGAGTATAAAGATAATAACAATATATTCGCAATCACATATTTTTCACGCTGAAGAGCTTTTGTGTGATGCACTTGAAATGGAGTTCAAGAGCGAGGAGACCTCTAAGGAGATTCTGAACAAGTAACAATTTTGTATTTAATACTTTGGCTAAATTTTTTATATTAAACATTTTGGCCCCCTGGATCCACCAAGATCAAAATTTGTGAAATTTGTTTTCAATAAAAGAAATCAGCAAAACATTACGAAATATTCGTGAGCTGGATCTGGAACCATTTCTTACAAGACGGAGATCCAGGATCCGGATCCGCACATATCACAATAAAATGGATCATCAGCAATGATTTTTAAAAACCTTTTTTTTAGTTTTCTTATTGACGTGGGCTCAGTATCAGGGAATATTAGGATTTATCAAGATCTATTCAACACCTAGAGATCATGATACTCCCTGCTATCCTTTCTAAACCCAGATATCTGGATTTATCAAGATCTATTCAACACCTAGAGATCAGGATACTCCCTGATATCNCCCCTCCCTCGAAAACTCATCACCGATTGCATAAAACATAACGTATACACTTTACACTATACAGTAAAAGTGTTCAGTTTATTCGATCGATTCGTTATAAAATTTTCGGAAAGATATATACATTATGAAAAATTATTCTAAGTCAATTTCCAAGTTTTGGGGGAAAATGGAAAAATTAACATTACAAGCAAGTTTTTCCACCTTTTTTGTTTGCGCTAACTCATTTATTTAACAAAACAGTTAATTTTACCCCTGAAATTTAGCTATTATATTTTTTTTTAAATTTAATTCGTATCAATTTTCAAAATACTTTTGAAGCAAATTTTGAAGAAAATTATTTTTGTTTCAAGGCTCCAATATCTCAGTATGTAGATATATCTGGTTACACCCATGCCAATCTACATGCCCAAGAAGAGATAAATGCAGGTAACTTTTTTATTAATTGATAAGAAAACTTTCAAATTTTTTAACTTTAAGGAACGGTAAGTAAACTTTTATTTATGTTATTTATAGATTATAATTATTTTATAAACAGGTTTTTTATATCTAGTAAATTGTATGAAATTATAAAACTTCTCTCTAAAGAAAACGAATGACGGCCTCGACATTCATTTTCTTAGATAGGATAAGGAACCTTTTATTAAATGTTAAAATTAAATGGTTAAACATTTTTCATTTAATCTTAGAACGCTTGATAGCTATGGATTCCAAAATAATAAGTAACCAAGAAAAAAACTTCATGGTTAATTAGAAAATACAGTTTAAACCCTAGGAACTGAAATCTAATTCATATAATACAATTGAGATTTTTAAAGCAAAGGCTGTAAATTTAATTTTAACTGCTGCATTTAGTTATATATTCTTAGAGAAGGTGACTGTGAAAGTCGTGGAGAGGGATAAAGTTTGTAAAAAATCCGAGAACACCGGATATCATGTCAAAAGAGGAAATTGGATGACTATCAAGTAAAGTATTTTTGATATAGTAATAGACTCGCTTAAAAATCCGAATTTATCGAACTTATGCACTATCAAGGGTGTATATTCTTATTTGAATTTTAAAGGTTGGAGTATGATGATAAGGATGTCAGCGGGGACATTCATTGTCTTGCACAATTGCAGAGAACAAGTCCAGACTCACAGGATCTTCCGGTAATAAACGCACAGAACCAGCGATTTAAAAAGTTGGGGGAAATGAGACTCAATACTTAGTTGTCATTGAGACTAATTGAAATCTCGCTCGTTGGGATAAGTTCCGACAATTTTTTTTAATTAAACCGGATTACTATTGTATTTGTTGGAATTCGGATTTCGGGATTTTATAAGATTAAGTTAAGTTGAAGATTGAGACTGATTCTACAATTTAACCAACAAAGCAGTTTTATTTTATTGGGCTTACTCGGTAAGTTGAGTCGGCGGGCAATTGACGATCACGTGACATGCTCTGTCGTCAGCTGATTTTTTAGTTGGGTCATAAATGAAGCCTTAATTAAACCTATGTCTAAAAAATTAAGACCCGAATCTAATCTTTTAAATCGCAGGCTTTGGAGTACTCTTGACATTAATAACATATGAACTCATCACTCATCTCTGTTAAATTTTTTAATGTGCGTGGGAGGGGAAAATTCATGGGGCCTTGAATCGCATAGTAGTTAATTTGAAAAAGATCATAGAATAATTTTTCAATATTACCATAACATGTTACCATTCATATTTTGTTGTGATTTATTAACTAGAATATTAATGACTAGGTGAACGTGGTTTGCGGTAAGCATGTCAGTAAATCCAATTCTTTACCTAACCATGTAAGTTTTAATAAAAACCATCAAAAATATTTATTTCAAAACTATTTTTAAATGTTGATAATATCAATTAATTTTCGTCGCTATCATAGCTATTTTTGGGAATGGTTATTTAAGGAGCATGTTGTTTTGTATTCTTTCGCGGATTTTCCAATCTTCTAGGTTTTGCAGACGAGGGCTGCATCGGGTAATTACTATCCTGGATCCGATAAAACAAACAGTCCAGTTGTTGAGATTGTTAACCCTGAACACAAAACTCTGGAATACAAGGTTAAATACAATTACTCTTGTAATATTTATTTTCGTAAATATCGAAAGTTTTTTTTTCTCAAATGAATCATTGTTTGGTATAGTTTTATTCATTGATTGATTAAATGAATTTGATTTTGATTAATTGAGTGTCCAATTGGTTAATTGATTTCTCATTGGTTGATTAAATGTCTATTTGATTGATTGCTCGTTGATTGATTGAATGTCTATTTGATTGATTTAATGATTGGTCGTCTAATTGTTTAATTGATTGTCTAATTGGTTGATAAAAAGATTGATTGATAATATATATATCAAAGGTTAATTGACTTAATTGATTAATTTTTTTTGTACCATTGATTGATTGACTAACTGACTGTCTAATTGATAATCTAGTCAATTATTTAGTTTGTGTGCTTCGACACCTGTCAGACGAATGCTGAGGTAGAGAAACTGAAAGAGAAAGATCGTGACATGAATCTTGTTCTCACCCTGCTCCATGAGTGGAACGGAGATGGTTATAAGATATTCGCCAGGTAGGACAAATGTTTCCGTCATCCAGTTAAGCTAATCGATCAACCATAGTAAAGTCCCCTATTTTTTTCTTTTTCTTTTACATTTAATTCATATATTTTAACTTTTTAAGTGTATAGTTAAGGAAAATTATTAACGTTTGTTTATTACAAAGGACATTGAACTGTTAATGTATGAAAAAAAATGTATTTTTTAGGAAGAGTATTAGACTAAAGAAAGAAATTAGCCTGCGTAGTTTGAACAAATTCACAAACTATTTTATGAAGTATAGCAACCTCTGTAATTTAGGAAGCAAAGACACTTCTGTATTTTAGGATGTATATTGTATATCAACGCGTGTATTTTAGTAAACATTTTAATATTTGTATTTTAGGAAGCATGTCAGTTTGTGGATCAAAGCTACGATAAATGAAAGGGATTTGGGCAAAAAAATCAGAAGAGAGGATAAGGGTGGAAGGAAGGTCTGTATGATTGCTTAGTTCAATTAACATAAAAAAAAGAAGATAAACATTGGTCCTATGATACACATTAAATATTTTTAAATATTGCAAATGCACAAACATATATATAAACTTTGTAATGTTTATATAAACTATATATAATATACTATATACCCCTCTGACACAATAAAAAAATAAAGGTTTATTACTCATAAGCTTGAAATTAAACATTTTAGATAAATCAGTCACAGTACAGTGTACAATGTGTATCGTATAGTTGTTCTATTTACCATATTTGTAGTTATTTTGATTGAATTTTTACACCAAGGATAAATGAATATTTGCACTTTTCTAGTATTTCTAATTTTATCTTGTTTAAAGGCAAATAAGCGTTCTGCCAGTCCCATTGAGGAGGAGGATGAGACGATGAAACGGAAATATCTTAAGTTCTTGCAAGAGAACAATTACACTCATGACGATATTGACAGAGTCATGAAACCTAAATCTAAGAAATCCGGAGAAAAGAAGGTTCTTAAGGATATAAAACCCGGAGAAAAGAAGGTTTCCAAGGATAAGAAACCCAAAAAAACTTTAGCTCCTGGTGCTGCTGGTTGCTTGAAGAAACCTTTAGCTCCGGTAACCGACTCTACCCTAGAGACCGAGGATTCGGTGAATACGGTACAAATAATAATAACTCAAAATTTACTAATAATACAACACATATAATTACTAAATGTTGAAACAAGATTTTACCCATTTGTCATGGGTCAAATGGTATAACCACAAATTTAGATTAATTTGGGGTGGAGTGGGTTAAAAAATTGAAATTCTGAATTATTTTTAAAGATAATCTAAAAGATTTTATCAAAAAATATAATTTCAGGATCCCATGAAGTGTTTCGAGAATGCGCTGGGCAACGCTGTTTTCCTGATTATTGATTGATTGAAAATCTAAGTTAGAAAAATGAAATTTACAAATTTATTTTTGACAAGGTTCTTCAGTCGATAAAAATTTTATTTCTAAATTTATCATTTGAAGTTGTGAACTTAAACCATTTAGTTGAATAATGAACAAAAAAAAACTTTCGAGTCTAGACGGGAATTAATTTTTACATTTTTTATGTGACACAATTTTCGATGCTTTGTTGAATAAATTAAAACAGTGCTCAAGTGTTAAAGCTTTTTTGTCCCTTTTTTATGCTATCCAAAAAAAATGAGAAAAAAATTCCCTCAAAATAATTCTTAGTTACTAAACTTGGACGATTAAAAACCTGAAATATACATTTCCGTGTACTGTAATTAAAAAATTTCCTTGGCGGATTCCTTAATTTAATATTTCCTTGTACATTTCTCAAGAAATGGAATATGTTCACACCGGTGTGATGCATGGAGCGGACTCCTGCGTGGAGAGGAGTAAACTTTTAACCATTTCAACACAATGTTAGACATTAATGACATTTTCCGATATTTATTCATGTATTTTGATTGGGAAAACACATTAATCACATAATCTATGTCTCGAGTAGATTTTAATTGTTTAATGACTTGAAAGGAAGACGACATTCAAGAGGAAATAACTTTTTTGTCAAGTTGATGGAGCTAACTAATTGACNACGGGGCATTATTTGTTTTGTTAGCTTAGCACCTTTTGCTTTTGGGTTTTGCATTATTAGTTTCTGCTTTATTATATCACAGAAGTTGCACTAATTTTGAATTTGAGTATCAAATTTCAAGTACAGAATAGGGTTACCAACTGACTGAGTCGACTGTACGGGATTTATTTTTTTAAGATAAACAGTGAAGCAACTTTTTATAGCAGCCTGAAGATCTATGCTATGTAAGAATGAGGAAACAACGTCTAACTGGTAACCCAATATTAAATAAACCTTTTAAAAGGATTTGGTTGATATGTTTAAGAACTAAATCCGTATTTAATATTTGTCAGCTAAAATTTTTTATTGTTTTAACATTGCTTTTATGTCTAACATTGTGTTGAAATGGTTAAAACTTTAGACATAGTCCTTGTCCCCATCCACTACACCGGGCTTTATTTCACTGCCGTCACTTATGAATGGGAATGCTTCTAAGAAGTTCAACATTGCTTCATTCGGTAGAATTGTAAGTTTTTCTGGCAATTCGCTAAACTGAAATATGAACTTCATTAGACTGCATTTTTAATTCATTAATACGCAAATTCTATGTATTCCTACTTGTACTTATATCTTCAAATAAATCTATTTTAAAATATGTTTATTTTTCTCTTGAGGTAGATTTAGTACACTCTATTTCTTATTAATTGTGTAACACAAACTTTTCTTGGATTATGTGACCCAATGTAGGGAGGGAATCCCAGCCGCCATGAGCACCACAGATTTGCTATGCAGCTGCGAGCCTCCGCTATGCAATACAATTTTTTTACTATAACCTTTAATATGTTTTTTGTTAATTTTTTTAAATTTCGATAATTCTTTTAAACAATTGTTATACATTACAAGATTCATCTGAACATGATTAATTTTTCAAAAAAAGGTATCGCATCAAGGATTTTAACAAATCTAATTGAATTCACTTTATAATTTGTTTTCTTAATATGTTCCTTCTCGTATAAAAAAGTGTTTAAATTTTAACATGAAATGTAGTTACATAGCGGAGGCTCGGCGCTGCACAGCAAATCGGAGACTCAAATGCCTAACAAACTCTTAATTTTGAGTCTTCTTTAGATTCTGGAAATATTGCTAATGGCGGCGTAAGGGCAATAATAAGGGTCCTAAAAGATGGAATATGTGTTTTCCGGAGTGAGAAGTTATTCTAGAAGGAAGGAGAGAGGCGAACAGGTGTCAAAGCAAAGGGTCGTGGACGAGAACCAGGGAGAGGTCGTCCTAAAGGGCCAGCTCGGGGTAAAAGAGGTTCTACTGCAGTAGATGAGCTTCCTTCCCCATAAATTGACTTTTGTTGATTGTATTTCTTGTTGAGTTCCCATTTTGAAATAGTTTACTTTGCAACGATACATTGATAATAATGTTTGAATATTTTTATGGGTAAAATTGGATATATTAAACTCTAATTATAAATCGTAAAATTTAAGTTTGAAAAAAAAAAAACATTTTTACCAATGTGTTCATTACTACTTTCTGCCAATGATTTAATTGTAAAAATTAGCTAAATTATGGTATCATGTTGGTAACAGTTTTATTTAAAATAAAAAATAAATAAGCAAAAAATTATTATAAATGCGCACTTTAACTCTACACCAATTTGGATAAATCAAAAAAAAATTAGCTCGGGGTTTTCTTTTCCACATATCGGCTTCTGATTTAGTTAGTTCAAAATAATCGCAATGGTTTTCTAGAAATATATATATTTGTTTAAGATATTATTTTGAACAGTATTATTCTATAATCTATATATACAATACACAAGGATAGTCTCTATATAATCAGCAATAAATTTGGTATTTGGAAGATATGACAAATTTGAAAGTAATTAAAAACTTTATTTAACCTCTTGGTACAAATTAGTAATGAATGATAAAAAAATATATAGTTTCTAATCCTTACTGTGTACTCATCACAATCAAGTAGTTTATGATAATGATCCAACCTCAGTCTAATTATTTGTCCAATATTCAAACTTTTAAATACAAATTTGCTCTCAGGTACCAGGTATACTAGACACCAACCAAACCTTGATCATAAACCTGGCAGGTTTGTACATCCAGAGATTCTGACAAAATATTTGGTTTGGAAACTTTTGTGAAAAAGTTTGAATATGAAAAAACTGAGTAAATTCAAACCAAGGAGATCCGAACCCCGGTGAATATGATTTATCGAAAATCGAACTCGAAATTATCCTAGAATACGAACAGTGCTTAGGATCCGGGTCAAACTTGGAATTAGCAAAACATCAATTATAATATAGATTACATGTTCTTAATAAACCAAAAATCTGAAGTGCCGTTTAACGAACGGCTTATATCTTCGTCACGTTGCAAAATTTAAAAACTACGAAATCAAACAATTTTGACAAATGTTCACTTTTCATAAGTTTGGTCCGGATCCATTTATTTACAGGACGAATACACGATCCGTGTTCGGATTAACATTGCATTAAACTAGGATAATTGTCCAGAGAAAAGAGGGTTCACATATCTCCGGAGTTTGACTTAACCAGCAATTTAACTCACAATATTAAAGAATACAAAAATAGTTTTCAAATCATGCGAGGATTCATTCACACACACTGCTCCTCTTTAGTTCAAACTCCAGTCTTGAGTTGATGTTGGATTGAGCAGTTCAGCGGGATTCAATAGTTTTTAACTTTCACATTTTCACATTTATAGAAAAATAGTGTTCACTGCTGATGCATTGAAAAAATATATGATAAACTTAACTTAAATCTGAGGAATATATGTTGATACAAGATAATTACAAAATATAAATATATCGCAAACATTCAAATTGTGATTCAAGAGCATATTAAGGGATTAAACAAAATTTATAAAAATATATCAGGGGTTGATCAAACATTAATTCTGGTGGAACAAAGACCTGTATTGAATTATTGCACCCGTTCTACCGTAGGTCTAAATATATAGATATGGACCAGACAGAAATATTAATAATACTGCTTACTTTAAACTTTCAAACTTAATATTCACAGGTTCCTTGAAGGGTGGGAATATATAATATGCAGGGTCGATTTTTAGAAAAATTTTAGATTACTTTTATGCAAATAATTGTTTAAAGTATTTTGAAAATACGAGGGGCGTTTGCCCAGAGAACTTTCGCTATCCTAGCTCCAGGTTAGGAAATAAATCGTGATCCAGGAAAGGAATTAATCCTAGTTCTATGGGTAGGATATAAATCCTGCTCCAGGGTTCGATATAGGTCCTAGCTACCAGGGTGGGATATAGATTCTCCTCCAGGGTGGGATGTAAATCCTGCTCCAGGTTGGGATATAGATTATGCTCCAGGTTAGATTATAGATCCTGCTCCAGGGTGGAGTAAATATCCTACCTACGATTGAGGTATAAATGAGTAGGATGAATATCGAGGCTCCGAGTAGGATAAAGACAATTGCTCCGGTGTAGGTTATAGAATATAAATCCTACATGGATATAAATCCTAATTCCAAGGTTGAAAATAAGCTTGATTTTCCTCATCTGTCATGAAAAGACTTCCTTTCAATTCCGTTAACTGTTGAGATTCGTCATCGTACTCCAGAGTAAACGGATCCTGAGACGAATATCGAACTTGTTTAGGTTCCGGAACCACTAGGCTTCCCTCGAAATGAATACTAGGCAAAACAGGGTTCTTCGTCCGAGTCAGGGAATCCTGGCTCTGGGTTCTTATAAATATAGGTTTTGGAACCGGTTTCGCCTCCAGATTAGAGCAGAACCCGGATAAAGGATCAACTTGGGGGAATGTCATAATGGTTGCAGGATCGGGGGAACCGGGACACGATCTCGGTTCATCTTTAATCTCGGCATACGTATTTGAAGAGATTCTGGCTGGTTTCTTCTGGAAGATATCTACTCCTATTTCATTGATGAAGGAATCAAAATCAATATTATCCTTCTCCTCCAGGAGTTCCTTCATAGCATTCTCAGCAGAGTTTGAATCCTCGGAGTAGGTTTCCAGTTTCTTTAGATGTTCGGTCTCTATTGGAATCAGGGGAGGCATATCCGTGTACTTCCTTTCAATCATACGAAGAGAGGGCTTAATATCATATCCCTGAAGTTGAGAGTGATTTATTGTTTCAAATGAATTATCTGACATTTGTGCATTGATTTTGTCAGGAAGGATAAATAATTGATCTCCGTCCGTGTTTAAACCGGGTATATTCTCCTGTCCAACTATATCAGTAGCTGAGTACAGAGAGCTAGGCTTCCGGTCCTCCTGGATATAATTCTTCTCGGAGTCCATTAAATAGGATATTGTGGAAGACGGGGCGGATTCATCTTCAGTTCCAAGTTTCTGAAAATCAACAACAACATGGGTCGGACTTGTGACGGGGGCTAGTTTCTCCGGGCTGAACCTAGAGCGCGGAGTAGGTCCAGGATCAGACACTGATCGCTCACTGCGCGAGCTCCGGGCAATCTCCAGCTTGGTTGGGGTTGGAGTCCTGAGTCTCAGCTGTTCAGGATCATAAAACTGCTGATGAGTTTTCTTAGCGTGTCTTGTCATATGATCCTTTCTTCCAAACCTTTGAGAGCAATGAGGACAACTGAACTCACGGTTCCCCGTGTGCACAACACTAAAAAAAATGAATTTTCGTTTTGTCAAAAATAATAAAATAAATAAAAATTCTGAATGACATTTACCTGTGTCTCTTCAAATCCTTTCTCGTAAAGAACTTTCTCTCACATTGATTACATGCAAACTTTTTATCCAATAATCCTTTGGTTGTTCGTGATCCGGTGTGGATCTTTAGATGGTTCATCAGTTCATCCTGAACATAAATGCATTACTCATTAGTTCATCAAACTTATATTCATTATTTATTAGTTCGTCCTAAACATATATTCATTACTAATAAATCATTAATTCATCCTGAACATAAATTTATTATTCATTAGTTTATCCATAACATATATTAATTATTAATTATTTCACCCTGAACATCCTTCATTATTAATTAGTTCGTCCTAAACATATATTCATTACTAATAAATTATTAATTCATCCTGAACATACATTCATTATTCATTAGTTCATCCGTAACATAAATTCATTATTAATTAGTTCGTCCTTAACATACGTTCATTATTAATAAATCATTAGTTCATCCTAAACATATATTCATTATTCATTAGTTCGTCCTTAACATATATTCAATTTTATTATTCATTAGTTCATACGTAACAATATTTATATATTCGTTCGTCCTTAACATATATTCATTATTCATTACTTCATTATTAACATATATTCATTATTCATTAGTTCATTCTGAACATATATTCATTATTCATTAGTTCATCCGTAACATATATTCATTATTCATTAGTTCATTCTTAACAAATATTCATTATTCATAAATCATTAGTTCATCCGTAACATTTATTCATTATTCATTAGTTTATTCTTAACATATATTCATTATTCATTAGTTCAACATAAACATTATGCATTAGTTCCTCTAACATTTTTAAATATAATCAAATGTTAGGTACTTTCTCAAAAACTTTTTTTTTTAAGTGGTAACTTTTTAAGTATGTCCTAGTCGCAGCGCTCGGCCCCCTCCCCTTTTGCAGCCTGTGGCGGCTCTGGTCTCAGAAGGCCTAACCTAACATTTGGGAAGTTGCCGCTTCGTAAACTGCACATTTGGGAAGTTGCCACTTGGGAAAGCGCCCTTTGAAAAATGCCTTTGAGAAAATACTCAACACCTATATTAAACAGTTTATCCTACATTTGATCATGGAAATTTTAAATTAATAATGTATGATAAAGAGCAAAAGCAAACCTGATTGTCCCAAATGGTTTTGCAAATTTTGCAGTCTAGCTGTCCTTCTTCTGCCGAGTGCATGGCCTGATGCTTTTTAAAGCTTGAGATTGAATTGTATGTTCTAGGACATCTGCTATAGTTACAGGAATATACAGTTTTACCGGGGTCGTGGACTTTCTCGTGATTTTTTAAATGATCTTTCCTACGAAATGCTCTGTTGCATGTATCACAAGAGAATGTTTTGTTCTGAGAATGAATAAGAATGTGCCTCTTCAGCTTAAACTTGGAAGTAAATTTTTTCTCACAACCTAAAATAGGTAATATTATATTTTGAAATAAAAAAATACATATCTTAGAACACGATTCATGGAGAAAGAATAAAAATTAAAATAACATGGCAGGGGTATATATTTTAAATTTTTAAGACTTGCGTAGTAGTTGCGGGGGGCAATGAAAAATTAAACACCAAGAGAAGTCTTCCACCCCTTTCAATACTTTTCATCCACAATTGTAGTTAATTTCCCTAGTCAAATTAAGTAATATGAACTATGCACAATATAAGACCATTAAAACTATGTACTATGCACAATATAAGACCATTAAAACTATGAACTATGCACAATATAAGACCATTAAAACTATGTACTATGCACAATTGCGCAACCATTTCTAACCAAATGATTGTGGAAGAGTAACTATATAAACCCTTGATACACGTGATACGTATACACATACTCTGATACATGTATAAATGAATAAATGGATACTCTAATACATGGATAAACGGATATCTGGATACATAGATACATGGATACATGAATACTTGGATACATAGATACATGGATACGTGGATACATGGATACATGGATAAACGGATACATGGATACATGGATAAATGGATAAATGAATAAACGGATATACGAAAACCTGGATACATGGATACATAGATACATAGATACATGGATAAAAAGAAACATGGATTCATGGATACATGGTAAATGGATACATGGATACTTGGATAAATGGATACATGGATTCATGGATAAACAGATACACTGATAATAGGATTCATAAATTTGAGAATTCAGGATATCAGGATTCACTGTTGGATATACTGCTTATTGAACATATTATTGGGTGGAAGCGGACTAAGCTGAAAATTTAAATTGATAAAGAAACAGATAAAGGAAGTTACAAGAATAACAAACACAAGACAGAATATCCTCTATAATTTACCGTACAATTAGACCAACCTGGAACTGAACACTCGAACGGAGTATCCCCTGAGTGTGTCAACTCGTGTTGTCGAAGTTTACCGGGACTTGGAAAATTCTTTAAACATTCCTCACAGTGGAATGGTCCAGTGGGTTCCTCACACGGAGAAACTGGATTCGTCTCGTCAATGAATCCAGGAGAGTCCAGGTCGACGATACTAAGATCATCTTCGTACTCGTGGCTGTGACATGGACTCTGAATAACTGTCAACCTCTGCAATAAATTATATTTTATTTCAACTCTTAGGTCGTCTTTGAATTTTTTTTATTTGGCGACTGTGTATTGAAAGTTAAGAAAAAAATGAAAAACTTGTCAAACATATAAAACTACAATATTTTTTATTTATTTTGGGTTTTCGGGCGAATTGAGACTACCATAACTTAATTTTGAATAAAAATCTGGGAATGTTAATCAGAATATTTTGTTTTTATATGAATATTTACCGAGCCGGGTCTATCTCCGTCATAAGACGAGCTTTCATCCCAGGACTGACTGTTTCTGTTTGATCTATAAGCTAAGAAATGAGAAGGATGATAAGGATGTTTTGTATCTCCCTTCCCACACTCAGCTACACTTCGTCTTCTTCCTATCATGGATACCTTTCAACTACATTACAAAAGTAGCTCTGGGCCCTGAAAATAATTTAAATTATTAATATTATTAATAAAAAGTGCTCCGGTCCTATAATTCTTTATTGATAACTTTCTTGGATGAAAAATATCGGTCTTTTGCCAACTTGCCGGAAATATAGAAATCCGTGAGTTTCTTTCTTTGACATGACCAAGAATTTACGATTTACGGTATATTCCTAGAGAACGATTTTTGGACCCCTCCCGTGCCCCCTCCCCCCTCCTCCTATCAATTTTGTACATGGTTCTGACAGGAAGTGTCTTAACTTAACCTAACCCGTGGCCGCAGCGCTCGGCCCCCTAGCCAAATCCTAGCCGCAGCGCTCGGCCCAGAAAGTGTCTTAACCTAACCTAACCCAAAATAACAAAAAAATAAATAATAATAAATTTGCTGAAAAATAAATGGTCATGTACAAAATTGATAAGAGGGGGGGGGGGTGGGGGCACGGTCGGGGGTCCAAAAATCGTTCACTAGGACAGACCCTGATTTACAATTAAGAAAAAGATCTGGAACATTCAAAGTAATCTTTTAAAGGATACCTATTAATCCCAACATGGAAATCAAGAAACTTTTTTTAGCAATAACACTTTATAGGTGCAAAATAGTTAGAAACACATCAAAAGATTTATGCAATCTATATTTTTAACACTAGCTGGATTTAAAATCCATCATGACGAAAAGTGTTAACAATCAGCTCTTAATATACAAATTGTACGCAAAATTTAACCTAACATTGAACAATTCTGTAGAGAATTGTTCATAGCACTCGTACTTAATAACGAATCACTTGTAGGTTCATAGAAACAACTTTTATACATACATGTGGTATGTATACAAGACTAGCGGTAAATCATGATTCAGTCAAAAAATAACAATAACAAGTATGGCTTTATTATCAAGGAACAGATGTAAGCTAATAGAAAATATGATGGAAACATATTAAATCTATTATTTTATCTAAGAATTCATGGGCGTCAAATGGTACAACAAAAGTTATTAGGGTTTGAAATATCAGATTGTACTATGCTGATGATTTACCTTTCGGCCATTTTCTACGCTGCGTAATATAAATACAGGAGTTTAGTTTAGCGCTACCATTCGACCGACCAGGAATACGGAATATCACAGCGGTATTAATTGGTAAATAAATAAGACTTCAGAATTTGCTAAAATATTTGATCAATAATTCGTTAAAAATGACTCATGGGCAATTAGAATTGGCTTTTGGAATGGAGAGGAGGGGGGGGGGACGTGTAACCAGACGTCCATAATTGAGGAGAGTTAAATGGCGCTGTTTTATAAATTTATTTTACTGTTTTATGAATTAATTGCATTTGTTTTTTTACGATGGGGGGGGGGGATGTAAAATGCCCTATAGTTCTTTTAAAGATAATCTGAGGTATAGTTTCTAAAAATTGGGGTTCACAGTCTTCACAGTGATCAGGTGTTAATTTTGAATTTATGAATCCGTCTAACCAAAATTTAACCTGCAACCAGCCTTAGTTAGCAAATTTTTTTAATCTGATGCATTATCAGGTTGGACCAACAAAAAAAAATATATATATTTCACCATGCAATTTTTTTTTCTTTTTTTCTCTTAGTACAATATTTAACCCAGTGTGCGCCTTGTGTTTCTTGAATTAGGTATGAGAGTACTGAACCAGCTGTAGAGTTTAAAAGTCTGGTTGAGTTCAGAAATTTTTTATTTGAATTCTGAAATTCTTCTACAAAATCATCTCATATAATCGTATTTAAAAACAAAGTGACAAAATGTGCCCAGATTTATTGAATTAAAGTAAATATTTTATACAGTTATTGCCACAATTATTCTGTCATCAGTTTAAAAGGATTAAACTTTAAAAAATGATTTAGTTGTCAATTTATTTAGCTTGCATGCACAAATTAGTGTTTGAAAGAAATCACATCCTTCGAATGGTTAAAAAGAGAGGTAAATGATAATGGTATTTAATCGGTAGTATTTTTAACTTGTCGCCATGTGCTTATATTTTATGGTAAAGTATGCAACGTGGTTTTACCCCACGTACCTTTTTAAATAATTTTTTAACTGAAATTAAGGAAATTAAACAAGAGCGTATACAGAATTAAGAATTAGTATGTATTCTTTTGTGGTGGGGTCCCCTCAAACTTATAAACAGCAAACTATTTTTGTCCTCTTCTTCAGTCTTCACTCTTCAGTTTAAGATTTGATAAGTGTGATAGCTCTTAGTTCTAGGGGAGGCAATCCCTCCTTGCCCCCCTGTATACGCCCTTGAAAATAAATTATTACGTTTATAGTCCCTTTTTATTATGTTTGGACTAAACGTATTGGTTTCAGAAGTGAATAAATGGAAGCAAGGAAGTTCCTTAAACTAGTCTCCTTGAAGTCCCAGAACTAAGTATGGATGTATGCGAGGTGGATGATGTTAGTCTCCGACTAACCGATCTTCCAGTAGAACTCCTTCTTCATATTTTACAGTATTTGGAGGTTAAATTCATATCAGAGGTTCTATCTCAGGTCTCAGATATTTTCAGGTAAAAGGTTGAACAATCTAGCTGTGTTGAGAAGAGTATAAGGCCTCCTCCTCCCTCCCCCCCCCCTGGAAAACTTGGGGGACGTTCCCCCTTAGCCAAATGGGAACATTCTAGGCCCTTCTATGGCTTGATTTTTAAGAGCAAATTTCTTCACGAAATTGTCCTGCGGGGCCACTTTATTGTTAAAAATATACCTAATACATGATTCACTTTTTTCTCCAATCAAAATTCTAAGAAGGGTCTCAACATTCGCTCCTCCCATCCCCGGCTCTGTAAGGGTTTTGGCATTAAAGTGACCAAATGCTCTTCATTCAGTACAGTACCATGTACACTGAAACGTACTAGCGAGTAGATTTGAAATTTATTCCCTGAATAGGCGTATAGCGGCGGACGATTCGACCTGGCGGATTCGAATACAGAAGAGATGGCCTGGTCAATATCCTGCCCTTCCTTCCCAACAACCTATTAGCTGGACCAGTGCTTGTATAGGTAGGTGGAGTAGGAGCATAATACAATTTAATTCTTGCGGGGGAAAAATTTGTAATAATAATAATAGCCTTATAATCTTTGTATACTATACGGTGTAGGTAAGGTTTTATTTAGTGTTCTAAAAAATAGCGGGTAAAAGATACCTTTTCTTGAAAATATTTTTATTTGGGTGTTGGTTTATTTTTTTGAATTACTTAATAGATAAAAATTGTTTGTTTTTTGAAACATTTCTTTTGTTCTCTAACAGACGTGTGTACTACTCAAAAAGGCCTTTTAAAGCATTTTTAGGTCTCTTTACTTATCTGGAATACGCACTAAATCCTAAAAAAAATTAGATATGATCAATTTTAACCCAAACATACCCTGGAGCTCAACGTAACATAGCCTACAGGACATGATACTTTGACTGTAGGCTGATTTGCCAAGATAATTATTATTTAAATAAATTAATTATGTGAATGATGATGGTTGCAAGTATTTCTATTTTTGAATTTAGATCGTGAGGAAGAGAGCAAGATTTGGAGAAAGGGTGCCGGGACTGAAGTTGATGGAAAGGGTGGAGATGAACCGGATGTAATTGGTGGATCTGGAGCTGATGGAATGAAAATGATGACGAACTCCAGGTCCCACTACGCTGGCGTGGACGCGGTCCATGTCATGAAGAACGTAGTTGTATCAGGCAAGGAATTTACCCAATGCAAATTTAGATTTTAACTTCATGTCTCAGTCTTATTTCTTTCATTGTTTAATTTTAAGAAATGTAAATAAGAAGGTTTGTAGGGATGCGGTGTAAATCATTATTAGAAGCTTAAACGAACTTCACACATAATTTCAAGTCACTTTTAAATTTTAAGTATGGCATGTCCGATTCACAACGGTATCAAAAATGTGACTGAAAAACGACGATATCCTTCACATTATTGATCAGATAAATGTTTAAAAGGTATTGTGAATCGTGGATGCAACACGTTAAATGTGATGTTACTTGAAATTACAAGGACAGTTCCTAAGTTCAAACAATTTTCTTTATTTCCAGGATCCCGGGATAGATCAATTCTCCTGTGGCCGACCAGCGCTGAGGGGATGGAGCTTAAACCTTTGGCAAAATATTTTGATGCGCATAAAGGTTGGGTTTGGAGTTTCTGCAGTCAAGATGATTTATTGATTTCTGGAGACTGGGACAGCACCATGAAGTTTTGGACGGTGGGTACAAGATTTTAAACTTTAAAATTCGACAAAAGTTGAAGTTTTCTTTTTTAGATGTCAGCAAGTGGATTGACGGAAAACAGAGCTGGAGTTAGATTAAAAACAGCAATTTTAACCACGGATATTCATGAAAACAGGTACTTGAATTTATATTCATTTAACCACGGATATTCATGAAAACAGGTACTTGAATTTATATTCATTTAACCACGGATATTCATGAAAACAGGTACTTGAATTTATATTCATGAAAACAGGTACTATGAAAACAGGTACTTGAATTTATATTCATGAAAACAGGTACTTGAATTTATATTCATGAAAACAGGTACTTGAATTTATATTCATGAAAACAGGTACTTGAATTTATATTCATTTATCACCTTTTAGATGCATTTAAGCCCAAACTCTGCACTTTCTGAAATTCCAGAACACATCATTTCAAGAAATTAATCAAAATCACAAAAATAAAAATCTTACAAAAGTTTAATTTTCTGAAAACTCAAAAACCATGAAAAGAAAATATTTAGAATTTATATTTATTCTAGAATTGTTGCTGGAACCTTTGCTAATAAAGTTGTACAACTGGATGCTAGAGAGGAAAACAAACAACTCTCAATCTACAAGAGTCACAGTAGACCTGTCCTCAAGGTTAAAATAACATCGGAACGTATCCTCAGCATCTCCGAGGACTCTACCCTGGTTGTATATGACCGGGTTGCTGGAAAGAAGATGATGAGGGTTGAGCTACCTCGTTCTCATCCGTCCTTGGAGCATCCTGGTCCATCCTTCCCTCTTAGTATGGATCTATTGGACAACATGCTTTATATCGGAGACAGGTTTTATATTATTTTTACATTATGATTATAGATCCATTTTCTCATGAAAACTTTTTATAAAACTTTCAAGATTTTAAAACTGTGAAAAGTTAAGATTTGGTTTTATAAAGCTTTACAATATTTTTATCTTTTAAAAAAATTGAACAATCGTTTTTGTTTGATTTACCTATATTTTCTGTCAGGTTTAAAATTTGGCATAATGAAAGAAAAGTGGAATGTTTAGGTTAAACAATTTTGTATATAATTGCTTTTCTTACACCAGGCAAAATTTTGACCCTAAAAGAAGATATAGGCAGAAAAGCGATCCAACGATCACTAGGCCTGACCTTAGTGTGTTGATCTTCGATGGCGGTTTGGTTTCTCCCGAAGAGATTGGGGTTAGATTCTTATCAAGCCACCATAGCCACTAGCCAGTTCATGTAAAAAGTTTTATTTAAAAAAAAATCCTCTTATAACCATGACAAGGTAGAAAAGTTGCAACAATTGTTTGCAAATTTTAAACCAATAAATAAATGTTATTTTCATTTGATGTGGACAAAGGAAATTTTCCAAAAACAAATTATTTATTTAAAGTTGAGAAATGTTAGGAGAGGGAGGTGGTCGGGATTGTCGGGTGGGTCGGGATGATCGGGAGAAAGTGAGGTTGGCTCAGGAGAGTATGGGTTGGCTCGGGAGAAGCTGGGACGGGTTGGGAGAAGCTGGGATGGGTCGGGAGAAGATAGGTTTGGTTTGGTAGAGTGTCTAGAAGCAGGGATGGGTTTCAATGTGTAACAATTTGTTTCATGTTTAGTACTGGAAATCTCCACCTAATAGATACTACTCATGATTCCTTCAGTCTGGTGGAAACATATAAAACAGGTTGGTTTTAGGTCTTATTTTAACTAAATATACTAACAACTGAGGAAGGTTGTTTTTAAATCACAAATTACAAACTGATCTTAAAGTCATGATGTCCGTTTGGTCTCAATCCAACTTTAAATTGTTTATTTTTAAAAAGGACATTCTGGTCGTGTAACCTCGGTTGTATGTGGATATGGGAGCTATATAACCTCCTCTAGTGATGGTACTGTTAGGATTCATCAACCCTCTCGAAGAATGGGGTTAATCACAGAGCTCCAGGTATACTATTAACTGGGAAAATAAATACTTAGTATTAGGATAGTCATTTGGTACCCATTGCGTTGTTTTCCTCCATCGTCTCCAGGTAGTAGGTTAGTTCGTGGTCTCCAGCTAGTTGGTTAGTTCATGGTCTCCTGGTAGTAGGTTAGTTCATGGTCTCCAGCTTGAAGGTTAGTTCATGATCTGTAGGTAGTAGGTTAGTTCATGGTCCTTTCAGTAGGTTAGTTCATGGTCTCCTGGCAGTAGGTTAGTTCATGGTCTCCAGGTAGTAGGCTAGTTCATGGTCTCCAGGTATAGGTTATTTCATGGTCTCCTGGCAGTAGGTTTGTTCATGGTCTCCAGGTAGTAGGTTAGTTCATGGTCTCCTGGTAGTAGGTAAGTTCATGGTCTCCTGGCAGTAGGTTAGTTCATGGTCTCTAGGTAGTAGGTTAGTTCATGGTCTCCAGGTGGTAGGTTAGTTCATGGTCTCCTGGCAGTAGGTTAGTTCATGGTCTCTAGGTAGTAGGTTAGTTCATGGTCTCCAGGTAGTAGGTTAGTTCATGGTCTCCTGGCAGTAGGTTAGTTCATGGTCTTCTGGTAGTAGGTTAGTTCATGGTCTCCTGGCAGTAGGTTAGTTCATGGTCTTATGGTAGTAGGTTAGTTAATGGTCTTATGGTAGTAGGTTAGTTCATGGTCTTATGGTAGTAGGTTAGTTTATGATCTCCTGGTAGTTGGTTAGTTCGTGGTAACTAGGTTAGTTCGTGGTAACTAGGTTAGTGCAAGAATTCAAGATACTTAAAATCTTTACTCTAGGTTCCAGAGTGTGGACAGGTTACCTCTATTTCATACAGAAACCAGATTCTAGCCGCCGCTGGGAGTAATAACACAGTCAGTATCTGGTCCAGGTTCTAACTGCAGCAAGAGCTATCTGATCCAGGTTCTAACTGCACCAGGAGTTATCTGGTTTAGGACCCAGCCGTACCAGGCATTATCTGGTCGTACCAAGAGTTATCTGGTCCAGGGTCACGCCGTCTCAAGGAGTTATCTGGTCCTGGTTCTAGCCGCCGCACAAGGAGCTATCTGGTCAAGGTTCTAGCCGCACCAGGAGTTATCTGGTCAAGGTTCTAGCCTCACCAGGAGCTATCTGGTTTAGGTTCAAACCGCACCAGGAGTAAAAATTCTCTTGATTTCGGACTTGGATTTAAGAATACAATCATACAAATCTAAAAGATCTAATTATTTTGATATTAACAAAAATAGTATTGTAGATGCTGTGACATGATCTCCCCCCCCCCCCCCACACTTCAGATTTCATAATTAAATATGAAGTAACACCTTGTGAATCGAATATTCCATTAAAAAAGCAAATAACTCGTGTGATACCTTCATTTTTATGATTTTTTTTATTTGCCTCGTAACCTTGATTTGATGTATAAACTTAAATTATATTAAATATCTTAGTTTGTTTAAAATCTCGTTCTAGTCCTAGTTAGTCATAAAGCACAATGTATTGTTTCATTGCTCAAGCATCACGTTGTGTATGTATTTACAATTGTCATAACACAATTAAACCATGGTAAGATGGCAATGCCCGATTCACAACAAAAGGTTTGTCTGATCAAGTATTAATAATATATCAATCTTTATAATTTTTAAATCTGATTATTTACAATTGTGGTTTCTCTACACAAAGTGCATTTCTCTTGCATAAAAACATATGGGAATTATCAGAATTAAGCGTTTTTAAACCTAGAAAAACGACGAAATCTTTCCCATTATTGATCAGATAACGGTTTCAAGAGTATCATTGTGAATCGGGCATTGTCATCTTTGCATGGAGGGTCACTTAAATATTTATGTATCACTGTATTAACTAATCAAATATTCTTCGTTAGATTTCATCTCCAGGAGAAAACAAATAGTTTACATTAATTTACTAATTGCAAAAAAAAATTACTTATTCGTGTTTGGTTTAAAAACGTAAATATGTAATCGAACCACAATTTTGTGTTTTGTTTTTCAAGAATTTGTTTAAATACGCCTCTAGTTATTTTTTATGTATTATTTAGTGTAAAGTGTTGAATATTTCAGATATAAAGGTATGCAGGATGGACGGACTCCCTTTACTGGATGAATTCTACCAGGTTCAAGTTGATCTCCAGGATGTAGTTCACCAGATCTATCAGCTCACTAACTCCAATATCAGGGAGAGAGCTCTGCTGGAGAAGGATTTTGTAAACCTGGTGGAGTTGATGCGCGAAACACTCGCTACTGCTCGTGTTACTGTTGGATTTATTAGATTAATATTCAACATGGATTCATTGGAGGAGAAGGATTCATCAGGGATTCATCAATCCAGGAGCAGCAAAGAGATTGAGACCTCAGGTGAACAATATTTAGATTATATTCAAACCAAAAACTATTATAATTTTTTTACCTCTGTTAGGTCCCCTACCTATTATTAGTTTGTGACCCACCTGCAAGTAGTTTCCTTTGTTTTTATAGATATTACACCCCCCCCCCCCTACTAGGTTTTAAGATGAAGGGGATTTATTCCGCTGATTTATATTTTTCTAAAATTTCAGAGAACGGTCGTTTCTTGGGTAAAGTGTACGAGGTTAGTCCGAAAAATATTCTGGACTTTGCGTCTGATCGAGCTTTTCACGAACTTCCGGAGGAATCCTGTGAGACTAGTTACCAAAGACCAGAATCAGTGTATCAATCCTTAGAGCGGGAGCCAAGTTCTCCTAGCCCCGGGATACAGATAGAACACAATCCTAACAAGGATTCAGAATTAACCTCGAGCGCTCCAGGTTCTGGTTTAACGGACCCTTGTTTTAAAATTACGGAGCTGAACTGCCAAGTACCTGAACCATGTTTTAAGACTGAAGACGACCACTGTTCTGGGTCTTTGACCCATAGATTAAAACCCTTAACTCCTGAACAAATCATAGAATCTAGTCTTCATTCGAAGCTAACCACATTTATCTCGTATGAATCCACAATCCATTCTCAAGATTCTAAATCCGTGGAATCTATCCTGAATATCAAGGAACCTGTTAGGGATGAGTTACGATCGTTGGAACCTGACCAGAAATCTTCAGATAGTGTGAACTCCCTCCAAGACAATTTCCAATCCAAGGAACATACTTCTCAATCTTTGGAACTCAAGACACTATTGGTGGAACCAAATATTCAATTTAAGGAACCAAGTTATCAATCCGTGGAACCCGTGAATCGATCTACAGAAACAGCTGAAGTTGAAATCAGAGAAGGCGATAAAGAGCTAAGTGTTAGCTCTAGGGAACCTAGTTTTATAGAATCCAGTCTTCTTGATCATAGCTCTGGTGCTAACGTTTCCATTAGAAGAAAAAAGAAGAGAAACTTCTTAGGAATTTATACCAATCTTTAATTGATTTTACTTAACAATAATATGTTTTTCGTGATAAAGGGGGAGAGTTATAGCCTTATGGAAGTTATAAATTATTAGTAAGAAGACTAACTGGCATCAAAACTTTAAATGTATAATTTCTGGTAGCAAAAAATTATAACGATTTATACTTATATTACATCATTAAGAAGAACGATTAAGTACAGAAAAATAACGTCTTGGATTTTTCATTTACTTCTATCCAATTTTTTCGTATAATTTTTAGCAAAGAACAAATTTACAATACATTAAAGTTTTAACCCATAAATGATTGGATCAATTTTAGGGAATTCAATAGAAGATAGTTTAGAAGATATAGATCGAGAAACTAGTGAACTCCTGGAATCTGGGAAGATTGAACTGTCCCAGATCTGCTCGCTCCAAGAGGTAGATTATCAATTATCCATTTATTTTATCAAGCTGGACTAGGAGAGTGGGGGCATTTTTTTTCTTTACAGATCAGGGAAGGATCATTATTATTTTCAACATTTAAGTCGTAAAACGGCAGTATGAAAATTGTTATATATATTTACATATATTATACCATTTTATTTTAAATGAGTTAAATCACTGAACTCCTCGAGTTATGTATGTAGGTAGGTTGTAGATTCTGAATACAAGAAAAAATGAATATTGATATAAAAATTAAAATACTGAGACATTTGTTCAATAATTTGAAACTTAAGGATAAACTATAAAAATTTTAGTTCAAAATGAAAGTATTTTTCTTAAAACTTTCATTTTAATTTAAACAAACTAGAAAAAGCAAAAATCCCGTCAACAACTTTTTTGCACTTAATAATATCCAATACAATGACATAAATAGATACACCCACCCCACACCCCTTTCATAAATGACATTAATAAATCTTTCTATCTTGTAATAGTTCGGATATTCGATCAGTCTAAGGTCTATAAAATTCTATTATTAGCCAATGAGAAGTCCGGATTTATAATTAATTTTTTACACATCTAACATTTTAAACGAGTTAATTTCTGGATTCAATATTTACATGATATTGCTCAGAAGATTTTTTTGACATTATTTTATTTAGGAGAACCTGTCTTTCGGTGATGTTAGTCGTCTTAACCCGCCTATATTTGAACCTGTAAGGACGGGAGCGGAGAGGAGAAGTTGGAGTGGTTGGAGATACTTTGAAGACTGTTTGCTAAGCAATCCTGTGATAACCCCTGTTCCTGTTCTTGTTGAACCTGAATCCGAACCTGAACCTGAACCCGAATCTAGTTTCCTTATTAAATCTCTAGTTCTCCGTGAGTCTGTGATAAGTCCGCGTTGGAAGCCCGAAGATTTGCCGTCCTCCTCAACTCCTTTAAAGTACGGTCAAGGAACTAAGGAAATCGATCAGTTTGAGTCCCCGAAGCTCCTGGTCTTGATAGATACTAGGTTAAACGATCCTTCGCAGAACTCTGAAGAGGATGACGGGGAGAAGAAGGAAGATGTGGAAAGTGAGCAGGTGGAGGACGAAAATGAGAACACAGTTGAGAAGAAACCTGAAAACAAAACTGCAGTTGATGGATTAAAGAATTATGAAGAATATAGTCCAGTGATACAAGAAAGTCCTGGATGGACTGGAAAGAATGATGTAGGAATTTCTCCAATAATCTCAGTGGAACGAAAAGGAGAAGCTCTTACACTACTTAGAAACAGTTCTCCTGAAATCAATCCTAGAATCCCTGTTCTTCTAGAATCTAGTCTTTTGTATGATAAACAGAAACCACAATCCACAGATAACGATTATAAGGAAACCATTGCAATACTAAAAGATACCGGAGAAACCAACTCTCCTCCTGTTTTCCAGGATTTGGAGTTCAAATCCGAGGAAAAATCTATTCTGAAAAAATCCTACAATCTAATCCAATCTTCCAGTTTGGATGAGCCGGGTGTAGAAATCACAGGATCTAGAAGTTTAAAGGTTAAGCCTGGAGAAACGTTAAGGAAAGTTCGGTTTGGAGATGTAGGTGTATACTACTTCTCCCGGATTCAGGGCTGGCTCGGAGTTCCAAAAGAAGGAGGAAACACACTCGGTAAGTTAAACTCATCACAACTCTTGCAATTTGTCTTTTCATTGTTCTTTTGCTTGGTTGGTAATTAAATTTTCTGTAGGTTTATTGGTCTGTAAAGTTAATTTAATTGATTTTGTTAATTGATTTCTTTAATTGACTTTATTAATTGATTTCGTTAACTGATTTCATTGATTGATTTCATAATTGATTCCATTAACTGATTTCATTAACTGATTTCATTAATTGACTTCATTAATTGATTTCATTAATTGATTCCATAAATTGATTCCATTAATTGATTACATTAATTAATTCCATTAAATGATTCCATTAACTGATTTCATTAATTGATTTCATTAATTGATTCCATTATTTGATTCCATTAACTGATTCTATTAACTGCTTTAATAAATTGATTTCATTAATTGATTCCGTTAATTGATTCCAATAACTTATTTCATTAAGTGATTTCATTAACTGATTCCATTAATTAATTTGATTACTTTATTCCATTAATTTATACCATTAATTGATTCCATTAATTGATTTCATTGACTGATTCCATTAATTGATTCCATTAATTTATTCCGTTAACTGATTTCATTATTTGATTCCATTAATTGATTCCAGTAATTGATCATTAACTGATATCATAAATTGATTCCATTTATTGATTCGGTTAACTGATTCCATTAATTAATTCCATTTTTTGAGTCCTTTAACTGATTTCATTAACTGATTTTATTAACTGATTTCATAAATTGATTCCATTAACTGCGCTTATTTTATTGATTTCATTAATTGATTCCGTTAATTGATTCCAATAACTGATTCCATTAATTGATTTCATTGACTGATTTCATTAATTGATTCGGTTAGTTGATCTATTAATTGGATAATTAATTTCTTCTGGAATGTGTATTTAATGATTATGATTGTTGATTGATTAGTAGTAAATTGAATATTTGATTGTAGGAATGGAGTATTCTCATCACACATTCGAGACTGTTTATCTACCGGAGGAGGAGCTAGAGGAGAAGGAGATCATTAATCTAAAGTGTTCAGAGAAACCTAAACCAGAAATGCAAGATTTTTCTTGTAGTAAATCCTACCTGGAGAACCTTAAACTTGATGTAAAGGATCGGCTCTGTGTCAAACCAGACACGGAGATACCTAGCACATTTCAGACGTTGCACAATTCTAAACCCAGTCAAGATCTTCCCTGCTTTAAACCTGACCTTGAGGAGACCAAACCTGAGCTTCAAGATTTAAACTTTTTGAAGTCTGATTCAGAGATACTATTTTCTAAACCAAAGTTTCCGGAGAAATCTTGTTACGCACCCGACCCGAAGATTGTTTACTGTACATCTAACCTTGAAGAGAATAATTGCATTGATAGGTTCGTATACTTCGGAGAAACATACCTAGTCACTTGGTTAACAAAATCAAATATTGTTTATCTGATAAGTGGTCAACGTTATGGGGGTGGCGATCAATTTAAACTCATGCACGACAATTTTAGATAATAAAATGCAAGAAATTTAAATTAAGAAATACATCCTCTTTAATTCTTGGACATCTTAGTGTTTTTGCAAGGAATATAGAGAAATTTAGTCTTAGTTGTCATTTTTCATTGGGGGGGAGAAATTAAAACAAGACCGAACATAAAAATCTTTGCATTATTATTTTTTGGAGAAAATATATCTTCGACTCCCGCCCCCTTCAACAAAAATTAGTTATACAAAATTTTATCGTTTTGTAAGATAAAAATGCATGTATTTTCCTTAAACTTCGCAGAGTGGGTGGTTAATTTAGATAATGTCCCTAGGGACGTTAAGTAATTCAACTCCCCGCTGTCGGTGAATCATAGGTCGTTAATTTTGGTCAAAAGGCGGTTAGTTGAACATGAGGTAGTGGATCTAAACTGTGAACCATGTTGTTTAGGCCGAGTAAAATTGCAAGATTATCTCCGTCCGTGGAAACTGATGTTGTATGGAGGAGTATTGTTAAGAAGCCTGGTTTACTCACACTCAAGAGATTACCTGAGGACGGATCAGAACTTGAATCTTCTAAACCTAAACCCAGAGCAGAACTTAAACCTTATAAACCTAAACTAGGAGTAGAACTTGAACCTTCTAAACCTAAACCCGGAGCAGAACTTGAACCTTCTAAACCTAAACCTGGAGCCAAGAAGAAGAATTTGAGCAACTGGAAAAGTTGCACGGATATATCGGTAAGTTTTGTGGTGGGTAAAAATAAAAATCTTTTTTTTTGTTTTTTCAAGAAGGCTTGATAAATTTTTATTCTAAATCATCATGTAAAGAATTGCCGACTCTAAAGTGAAAATAGATTTAAAATTGCCAACTCTCCTCCCTCTCTATATATTTAAATTCTGCATTTTGCTTTTATATCATTATTAAATTGACAGCTGTGGAAGTCATTTGGTATATTTTTGTAAAAACTGTGTTCGGATAAGAATTTGCTATGCTTAGGCTCGGACCCGGAAGGTTCGGAGTGGTCTACGGAACACCCTGAGTAAATCTCTTGAACCTGAACCTGCAGATGTTCCTCCTCAACCGTCTCCTAGTAAAGGAAAATGTGGAACTAGGGGACTGTTCCCTCTTTCCTCCAGAGCCAGGTTTATTCATATTTTCTGTATATAAAGTAGTAATCTTTGTCTGTTTATTTGTATATCCGACGGAACCGCTTGACCGATTTGCCTTAAATTTTGATGATTAACTCGATTGTTCAAATCTCCAGAAAAAGCTCCCAAGCTAGTGTTTATTAAAAGAAACTTTGCGATGCTAAGCATAGGATTTAAAGGTTTTGCGTTCGTCTCTACTTCAAGACAAATTCTTGTCAAATAATTAAATCCTAAAAATCGGCAACCTTAAAAAGGTTTTACTTCAATTGGTTCTTCTGAATTTGTTTTTAAGTGGTTACGAATTTAAACGGTTCATGAAATAACGTCAGCTTGTAATAAATATAGATTGAGCTATATTTTAAACGTTATTGTCGTTACGGGGAAACCTATTGTCAAAGATTATTACGCAATTTTTTACGTTTCAAACGTTAATGTTAATAAAAAGCTTGAAGAACACATTCGTAAAAACAAAACCATCATGACACATTAAAAGGTAAACAAGTCCTCGAATACCTTTCAGTTTCTCTTTGTGTCTTCAAAAGTTGAGAATTTAGCAGCCATAAAGATATCATAACTTAATCTTTTGAAGATTTTAATGATTTTTTACAAGTTTGATTTTATTATTCTCAATTCTTGAAAAAATTTTAATTTCGGGAATGCAATACAACAACATTTTCCTATCATTTAATCAAGACACTATAGTAAGAAATGTAGTACGCATAAAAGAATGTTGGACTCACATTTTGCACTGTTCTTTACATATTTTCACGACATTTTATGAAATAGAGAATTGGCCCTGTTTTTGGTTTAGAATTTTCCAGTTTAGAATTAGAGCTTTGCATAAATTGTTGATGTTTTGTTTTTCTAGCTGAAGCAAGCAAATATCTAGCTTCCCGCTGTAAACATTAAAATAATTGATATCTCTCACCTTATTCAGGGGGAGGGGGGGGATTATTCAAATAATTGATATCTCTCACCTTATTCAGGGGGAGGGAGGGGGGGGGATTATTCAAATAATTTTCCTTGCCCTACTACAATCCTTATTTATTAAAGATTGAACGTATACTTACTGAATTCTAATCTTCAATTTATTCAATTTGGAATTCCAGAATATTCAACTTTTCAGTGTAATGCTACTTTAATATGTGAACCGTGGGGGATGGGACTTCTCAGTATGAAATGGGACACGAATATGCTGTTTAGCGTCAAATAAGGGACACTACTATAGTTAGAGGACACCAAAATATGTTGTTGTTTTTCAATCACTTTTTTCACCGAGAAAAATTATCTCTCTGGCCCTTTTTTCAAAAAGGGTATTATTAAATCTCTATTAAAAGTTTATTTTTAGGAAAAGTCTGCTGAAAGAGAGTGGTGTAAAGGAGTTGGATCCTGTGGAAGCGATGGAAACTAAACATATTCGACTCAGCAGAAAACTTTGTGGATGCACCTGTATCTCAGGATGCTTTCCAGGTTAATACTTCTGCATATTTTACTCAACAGACTTTCTTCTATAAGTATGTCCAACATGACTGTTTCATAAATATAATTTTTTTTGTTGAAAAAATCAATGTAATTAAATATAAGAATACAAGTTAAGTTACTATTATCGGGGGGTTTTTTAATTCTTGAAGCTATTAAGTTTGGAAATTAAACAATTAAAAAATCAATTTTGAAAAGTATTTTTGTCTCTTTTCAGGTTTTTTTTTTCAAAATCTTGACAAACTTTTTGGAAAATATGTAAATATATAAAGTTAAGGGAATAGTTTTCTTATTATTTGTTTTCTGCAGGTTCTTGTGAATGTATTGACTCCGGTATCCAGTGTCAGGAGGAGAGGTTGGGTTCTCCCTGCTCCTGCTCCACCTCCTGCTCCAACCCCCTGGGAATTAGGAGATTTGATCCAACCGAGATCAAAATGCATTTTATACAAACTATGCTTACAGTGCAGGGGGCCATGGATATCAAATAAGATAAATTATTAGATAAAATCAGATCTCACGAAACCGCTGATAGTCTTGTGTACTCATTTTTGGGAATCAGTGACTAACTTTTATTAGTTTGTTCTAACTGATTTCAAGGTTTTCAAATCTCACGATAACGGAAATTTAACTTCTAAATTTTCTTCTTTTTTGTAAAAACCTGATTCTAAAAATTATCTAAGTTTCGTCTCTGCACCGCTTACCCCCCTTTACAAGTATTTAGATAATTTAATTTTGTTTACATTTTAAACACAACAATACTTCATACTTTTTTTTTAACCTGGAATATTTCTCATAATTGGAATGCACAATATATTAAAGATAGCGTTTACCTGCTTTATATTTGATATCCACAATTATCATTTTTAGAGAATGGACAGATATCCATATTTTTAAAATAAGATATGTAAAGAAAAGTGTCTAAAAATTGATTGATTTAATAAAAATTAAAAATTAAAATATAGTTTTTATTACTAAATTAGTTGTCAATCTCGAAAGATTTATCCTGAAAACTTAAGCTTGCCTTGTTTTAGTAGATAATTTAAGACGATAAACATATTTGTTTTCATCCTTATATAAGTCTGATTTGATTTGATTTGATTTGATTTGATTTGATTTGATTTGATTTGATTTGATTTGATATTGACTGACTTCAAATAAGGAAACAGGACAGATCGTGATCTTTTTGTTAATGGATTATACACTTCCTAGGAGGTCAAAACTTGAGTTTGAAATAGCGCTAATCTCGACATCCCAATAGCATTATTCGGGGCATAAGTGTTGATATTTGATTTTATTTCTATCCCTGCAGATATCCAAAAGTAAGCGATTTGATCCGTAGGACTGCGAAGTGCAGAGGATGTTAGCGTTTTCTTTCTATATTTCAGTTTACGCCATACGATCCCTTACATGACATCAAGGTTGTAATGCAATGAAAGTTAATTGCTGTCGCGTATACTCTGCGTACATATTGAAACCAGTTCTCGTTGTAAACAAGAATAGATGCATCAGTGTTCGTTTAGTATCCGAGGAGGTTAAAAGCATTTAATTTTGATAATTTTGAAAATTCACATAATAGTTTCCTTCAACCAGAATATTTCATAGATTATTATTGTGAAAATGGATTCCATGTCAGGCTGTGACATCTGTCTTGTGTTTACTTTTCCGCCTAAAGACAGTACACTGCTGTACAAAAAATGTGAACACCTATGAAATAACTTTTCTTGCATTAGTACCTTGCATGACATCATGTTTTCAAATTAACAGATAAAATATACATAAATCGGGATTACTTGTTATTAATTATTATTTTATATATGGTAAATTTTTAGAATTCAACCCATTCCCCTGTTTTGTTTCCATATCTTTATAAAAACAGACAGACAAGACAAAATATATCCGTCCTTAAAGCAAAACATGGTTTGAATTTAGTAAGACTGACGTTGATATTTAAATTTGTTTTTATTTCAAGCTGTTTCAACTTGACAGATCGACGAGAGACGTTCAGATTTAATAAAATTGTTTCTTTCTCTTGGATGGGTGTACAAAGGATTTCTGCTACAGTGGTCGACGTTTCTATCAATACAATGAAGAAAACTTTTTATGTAAGTTTCAATTTCTGACATGCTTTTTTCAAATTAAAAGTTTACAAGAAAATATTAAGAGAAGCTGTTTATTGGGAGCTTCTCTTTGTTTCCATGTTTATTTTTATCCACGCCGCTTTAAAGCTTGGTAGATATAAAAAATTGAAATCAAAAGTTGTCTGTATTGTATTTATTTATACGTCGACAACTGTACATATACAGGATTACTCACAAAAGATGAGACTGCAGGAGACGACTGTACGGAATTTACATCGTATATTTCCTGATATTGATGACTTCTTACTTGCTGCTTTCTTTGTCCAATCAATGCGTAAGACATGAAAAAGACTTCGTTTAAGACAGAAGACTGAATTTAACCTTAGAATCGTCATATCTCAAGAGTTTTAAATCGTCTTTACTGTCTCATCCTTTGTGGGTAACCCTGTATATTAGTATATACTAAACAAATTCTGCAGAAGCGTCTTTAAAGTTTCATCCTTAATGGGTAACCGTGTAGTTTGGACCTTATGGGTGTACAATGTACATATATTATTGAACAATTACGAAAATGAGATATTATTGAAGTTTGATCTTTTTTTACCGTCTATTCAGTCTCTTTCTGAACTATGAAAATTACGCACTGTTTAATGAAAAAGTCGTTTTTTTGTTGCTGAAAAATCTACAGAAAAAAACGCAATAATGTCGAAACCAGTACAAAATGCTCATGAGTTTTGGATCACTGTACATCAACTAAGAGGTCTGAATTATGTATCCTAAGATTATAATAATCACAGGGTTAAAACTTCCTTAGTAACAAAATAATACAGGGTGTCCTAATAAACATGGGAATTGAGCAACAAATTCGAAATCGTCGTTAAGAGTTAGTGTTGTATTACCTAGTTTGAATGGTCAAAATAAAGTTACGTCTGCTTGAGTATATTAAATGTAAACGGTTAAAGATTGTTTTCTTATTCTGCAAAACGTTGTATAATGTTGTGTAACATTTCTGCAAGATAAACCACTGTACTGTCTTTGTATACAGGAATGCAATTAAACCATAAACAAGGAAATTATTATCTCTGGCAGACGAAATATCTACGCATTACAGCTTTCCTAGTAGAAAGACGAAATCAAAATCGTCACTGTATTCCGATGTTTATTGGAACACCTTGTACAACTGTATTTTTTATCTAATGGAAGAAAATATGATTTAAAACATTTTTCTTTCTTCTCTTTATACATTATATCTCATTGCTTAGGGCTCCCTTGCAATGCAACTGGGTACAAAATTACATTTATCTAGAAACTGCTAAATTCAAAAGTTACAAATTATAAAACGAGAGTTGTATAAAAGTCCTACCCGGCACTATATGCCCTCCTGGGGGAGGGGTAATTATTTTTTAGCTACAGGGCTGTTTGATATACCAAATGCAATCCAATGCTGCTTTTTGCTTTGTCATATTTTGACACAGGGTGTCTAAATAAATAAAACTGGAGGAAAAAATCGGTTTTTTGAAGACCTCAGCTAGTCATTCATATTACTTAGCAACCTGGTCAAATATTTAAAAAAAAAAACATCCAGATTTTGCCATTGTTTAAGTGTATGCAAAATTCTCCTTGCTTTATTTATTTTGGCACTTACAGCGTGGACCGTTTTCACGCATTTTTGGGGAAAATAGTTTTTTTCATTATACTCTTTTAAACTTTATGTTTTTGTAAATTTTAGAGAAGGGAAAATATGTAAGTTTTATATCCTAATAATTTAGGTCAATTTTCAATTGCACAGGGTGTCTTAGAAAAGACAAACTTTTGGGGCGAAATTTTTTTCCAATATATCAAAAATGAATAAATTGTCTCCAGATAATCCAAGAAAACGTTATTCTTACTAAAGTATAGGTAAAAGAGTTTATTTGGTTCAATTTTGGAATTTTGTATAATTTTTCGCGGATTTAGTTAAGTTTTTCCCTAACATAATTGTTGGAGGTATTTAAGCTGTTTGTTTTTCCCGGACCCCTCCGTCTGAGTTGAGGTTAATGAATCCTGTGCCATAGCTTAGGTGTATGCAAAAGTGTTGCCTCATACGCCTATAAACCTTTTAGTTTGGCTTCCACAGTGTGCACACTTTGCATTTAACTCTTAGTATTTTTCATTGTTTGAAAAGTTTGAAAAAAATGCTTTGATTTTTTGCCATATTGGTTTAGGTTAGTTTTTATTTTTTTCATTTTCACAGGGTGTCACAGAAAAAATGTCAAATGTCTCTTCACCCATCATCATTCACGAGTATGCAGGATCAGAATCCTCCGACTCTCCGAGTGAATTTGTCTCCGTTGGTTTCTGGGGCCTGTCCTTTATTGACCGTACCAGCCAGTCCAACTTCAGATCAAAATATATCAGATTCCACTCTGTCCTCTCTGGAGGTTTCCGGATAGTGAGATACCAAAGGTATGCTCAGCAGCATGGAAGGAGAGTCTTAGTCCTGCTAGTAGAGCAGCTCTTCACAGACCCTATATGCCAGCTTCAGATCCTGAGATTGAGCCCCTTCTAGTGGATTCTGAGCAGGAGGATGATCCTCCTGAGCCTTGAACCACTTCTGTTAGTCCTCTAGCTCGAGAGAGATCATTGACTCCGGAAACATCTAAGATAGCAGAGGAAGCAGCTAGGATTGCATAGAAAGCAGCTAAGATTGTAGAGGAAGCAGCAGACAAACCAACAGTAAACGTAGAAGCTGTTGCTGGTGAGCTGATGCCAGAATTAAAAGATGATTTATCAGCCTCTGAGAAATCTGTCCCCAGATCTCCCAGTCCAGAAATAGAACTAGAAGAGACAGTAGAACCAGATTAAGCTGTAGATATAAATCCTGAACAGAAGCACCTGGTTCATGATGTGGGGGATACAGAGCATCCACCAATCCTTCTCTTAGATATAGAAGATGATCAAAGATGTGTATTGCTTATTGGAATTACCAGGCTACAGGGCTGAGAATCTCTGTTATTGAAAGACAGTTAGAAGCTTATAATGATCCTGATCTTCCTCCTGCTCCAGATGCATTTGACCCTCATCATGGCCCTGTACGAGCACAGGCTGAACTACGGATGCTGCCAGAGTATATTTTTTGTAAACTGTGAAAGATTGTTTTATTATTCTGCAAACCATTGCATGATATATTGTAACATTTCAACAAAATAAACAGTGAAAAAAGCCATTGTACTGTGAATTTCTCATTTTACTAAGTAAGTATGCAATCAAAGCATAATAAAAAACAAGTATTATCTCTAGCAGACGAAATATAATATTACAGCTTTCCTAGAAGGTATCACGATAAACTGGATTGAAATTAAACCTCAACTGTAACGAATTGAACCGCATATTGCACTCAAAACATATATTTACACGTAAAACATAATGAAACGGTACGAATTTGTAAAAATCTGAACTCAGGCCCTAACTTTCCTAAGATTTTAAGAAACGAAAAGAATGTTTTAATTTTAAGTGATATTGGTATAAAGTTTGGTGATTTTTTACGTAAACAATTTTGAAATAAAGTAATTCCATTATTGTTATTTACAGTTGCCTTGAAAAATGCACTTTTTAGAAAACTATACTGTATAGTAACAGATTCAATTGGCACCATTCACAGGTTTTGTAGCGTTTTCATGTTGGCAAAATTAAATGAATTTCTAAATTTCTTTTCTTTGAAATTCGAACAATTTATGTGATTTCATTTAAACATAAAGAGAGACAAAATTTTCAACCCTGAACGAATTTAAGGTATGGTTTTACCCCCCCCCCCCCCCTCCTAAAGTTTTCACCCTTTTAACACTGCACGTTAGACATAAAAAGCAATGCTAAAACATTAAAAATTTTCGAATTTGCATTGTATTCTAAAATGTATTGTGTAAGTGGGGAAATACAAAAAAACTCCTTTAAAATATCGTAATCCTTGTAACTTGTCAATTAATCTTTATTTGAGACATTTATTATTTTTGATACTTGTTTTCCGATCAAAATACCTCAGCAAATATCGTGTTGGAAGTTTTTGAATGGTTAAAAGACCTGACCAATTTTGTTCCCATATAGTATTCGAAGATCAAAGACGTCTCTTCATTTTCGTTTTTAGTAGTCTATTCAAATATTAGGTTTATTAATTAAATATTAGATTTATAAAATTGTACAAAATATTTGATCACAGCAACTCAACCAATTATCAGTAATTTCATATTGAGAATTAAATCAAACGTGTTCATCTAAGAAAAATAAATGCAAAAGAAAAATTGGCTGGGTTTGTAGGTTATATACACAGCTCTGTCCAGTGTCCGCCAAAGACAAGTATTTGCAAAGAGCACATTTTAGTTTCTCCCATGGTCATATTTAGAGATAAAGCTTTCAAAACATCAATGAACCTTCTTACAAACATTAAACCCGTGTTTATATCAACGATTTAACAATTTTGATAGAAAGCGAGAGATGCGGTGGGAAAGTTATATTTTCTGATCTCTTTCAGAAAGCAATTTAATTTTATTCAATTTATTTCCGCATAATTTAATAAATTATGCGGATACGACATTCACAGGCATTTCCACACAATCCTTCATTGAAGGTTGGAGCCGAGGGCCGGGAAGGAAAATTTATATTGGAAAAGTGAATTCTATTCAATCATTCATTCATCCTTAAACTCCATTCATTCCCGTCAGAACTTTTATCTTTTTAATCCTTTTTACGTTCTGTAATATAATCCATATACAGTGGTCCCCAGAAATGAGTAGAATCATTTTCATCTTCCTCTGGGTGTTCCAATAAACATGGGAATTGACTATTTTCGTATTGTCTTTGTTCCACGCAGCATTATATCGTTAATACAATTTCAGTTGTACCTAAGTGAAAAAAGTCAAGATAAAAAAATTCTGATATTCCAAAATACAATCTCAACATTTTTGCACCTTGGACGGAGATATTGAGAAATTTGTTCAGATATTAAGAAATACTGAAGTTTTTTTTAATATTTTATATTTCCGTCAATTTTAAGCATAAAAAGAATTAAGAAGGAAGACCTTTTGAAAAGGACGTACACTCTTTTTTGATACACTCTTTGCCATTTGTTACTACTCAAAAATCAATGACGTTACTCAAATTGGGCCGGGGCGGCTAAAGATTTAGTAATCTGCAAAAAATTTGTCCTGCACAATTTTTAAATCAGCTACAAATCAATCTCTTATCCAATTTACTATGTAATCTCAGCCCCTCAGCCCCTTTGCTTGTTTGTCTGTATCCAATAAACGTCCAAACGGCTGAACCGTTTGGGCCCAAATTTTGTGTGGGACCTCACACCCCCAGAAATGTTTATGGATGATCAAAATTTTAAAAATTCAATTTTTTTAAATATATTTAAAATCCACAATTTTTTATAAAGTCCGCAAACTTTTTGTTTTTACAATGTACATACAAAAATAATTGAAATAAAAAGGACACGAAGCGCCCTGAAAGCCTAGTTTCTTGGATTCCGGAAGCTACGAAACTATGGTTTACCTACAATATACATTGTGTTGTGTGTGCACACAGTTTTCCACCTGACGCGCGTTTCTCTAATCTTCAAGATGTTGCGTGCGTAGCGTAAGTTCGTAACGCTTAGTGATTTAGTGTTAATCCGACTAACTAGACAGATTCAGTGTGAGAGGTCATTCAATAAACATGGAACCTGTGTATACCATTCAATAAACATGGAACCTGTGTATACCATCAAACTAAACCACATGTTTGTATTCCTAGTTATATAAAGGTTTGTGTCCAGAGTAACACAACCTAGATCAAGGTCGGATCTTTTATCAACGTGATAATGTTAAAAAAGAAAATTACTGTGAGAAGAGGCATTTTTGAATAAACCTTGACTCAGGGAGTTCAGATTTGTGTTGATAAAAATACAGAGGGAAGGGTCGGAGAAGCTGGATCCATGATTATTCTCCACATATTCATCCTGGTTGTATTATCAGGGTTAAGTGTTGAGCACGGGAGAATGCTTGAACCTCCCTCTAGAGCTTCTGCCTGGAGAGTTGGCTTTCCTACACCAAAGGTACAGTGCAATTTAAAAAACATGATATAATGTTTAAAGGGACTGTGAGCGTAGTTTCTAATTTGAAGAGGAGTATCCCCGAGTCACAACGGTTCTCTTTAAACCTTAAAATGCTGAAGGATGTCGGATATGTCTATTAATCTACTGAAATGCTTTTAAAGAATAAACACTTTGTTTGGAAGTTGTTACATTTATGAAATATCAAATGTTACTATCAAAAAGCGACAGAAATTAAAAATTTACAGTCGCGTTTTAGAGAAATTCAAGTGGGTTTCAATATGTATAAACAGAAAGATCTCCCTACTCGATGAATAGTTAAATGTGTCAAGGTACAGTTGTGAATCAGGCATTGTCATATTTGCATGGAAGGACACTTGAATACGCTTACAGTCCCTTTAATAACGATAGAACAGGTATTGATCTCCACTGGAAGGAAATAGATGATTTGGTGTACTTTGCCGATTTTCCATATAAAGTCTATCATGTTTATTGTTTACTGTACAATGCTTGCTCTAGCTGCCTAGAAATAAGTCTCATGCTATATATGTGTATTTTTCAAATTCAATTTCTTTCGATTTAGTGCAAAATTTCATTCACATTTTTAGGCGGTTTTTGTTGTTGTTGTTGTTGTTGTTAATAGATTTTTAAAAATTCTGGAACATAATTGCATAGATATTTTCGCTGATTTTTTGTGTGGGATTTCTTTTGCATTTGATCAGTAAATGTGATAAATGTTTATATAACTATATAATGTTACTTAAATCTAGTCAGCTTCTTGCCTTTTAAATTCAAAATTCTATCTAAGTTGCAAATCTTGAAAAAAGCGGATTAATTTCCGCAATATTCAAATACTACACAAAAACTCAGTTCCAAGCATTCTAGACAACTTTAATGTTCACCAATAAAGAAAATGAAGTGCTACACTGCACTGCTAGTCTGCTACAATGTATGCATACAAAGATACAGACGGCGTCGCATTATCAGATTGAAACCTTAAAATTTCGGAGTTTTCTAATATTTTTATCAGTTTGCCCCTGTTTTGACCTGTCAATTTTTTGGGTTTTTTTTTAATCTCTCTATCTCTGTTTCTTACTAACATTGTTTACAAATAATCATCTTATGTTCTGTCTTAATACGCCACAACAAGAAGTAAGCAATCCTATTTCTCATCCTTAGTTCTATTCTTATTAGATCAAACATTTTAAACTACAGTGATAGTATTGATGATTATATTAAGTGTTATGTTATTTTTTGCAATTTTTAGAGAATTATCACAACCAGCTTTAACCCTTTAGCATGAAACTTATCCGTACTTTTAGATTAGAAATATATTCAGGGGAAACCTATTATGTTTTATCCTCTTTTTTAAAGTGACTGCTATTGCAATTTCAAAGTTGTATTTAAAAAGAACCACTCCTGATTCCCAACGGTACCCTTTAAGCCTTTATTCCAACAATAATGGAGAAGCGTGAAAGTTTTTAGTTCTTGGTCAGACAACACTTTTGTGGGTGCTGTTGTGAATTAGAAAACTGACATGAAATTATTTCTACAGAGGCCGAATTTAAAGAATTTAAGTCGCGGCTTAAATCCGCCAAAACCCGGTTTAAATTGAGCACCGGCTTAAATCTAGAAACATTTGATACATTTTAAGTGAAACCAAATATAATTAAGCCGCGGCTTAAATTTAAACCGCGACTCAAATTCTTTAAATTCAACCTTGGTCCCTTTAATACTAATGAGAATGCATGCCAATCAAGCAAGAATATTGGCCCTCATATTGAAATTCCCAACTCTAATAATGTTAGGTTTAGTCCTAGCTGTAGGTTGCAACAAGGATAGTATAAACCAAGGATAGAAGGTTAAAAGTTCATTTCACCAAAATCAAATCAAAGCAGTAAAGACAATTATTATTGGCTAGGGTCGGATATTTTTTATAGTTTCTGACTTCTTGACCCCTTCGCATTAAAAATGTTTGTATACAGTTGAACTCCTACTGCTGTTCTATTTTATTATTATAAATTTTTGTATTAGAAATTTATATATTACATGAACATCAAAAAACAAACCTGTGTTTCACGAAGTAAATGAAATATTACTCTTTATTATTAGTGTTCTTGTGTTTTTACTACATTTTTGCTATCTTTTTCTACCCGGCGGAATTGGCATCAGGATGTGAATAATAATATCTGTAAATATGTTTTATACAAAGCAAATAGGTTTACAAATAACTTTTCAAATCATTAACTAAGTGGTCTGTTTGCAACTGCACAGTTAATGTCTCTCATGTTCATTTGACTAATTAAAATCATAGCTTGTGTCTAAAAGTCGGCAACTATTCCAGAGCTTTTTATGGACAGCATACTACATGGACATGCACTGTCTATTCTGTGTTTTAACATACATACTTGGTATATACAATCCTTGGTTGAAACATATATCCTTTATATATACAATCCTTGGTTTTGCAACCCTATACATCTAAATTGCATTAACTTATGTAAGTATAGTATACATTTGAAGCACGGAGGGCTTTTAAAGGATAATATTCTTCAGAATAATTGGTGGATATTTAATACTTATGTGATGAATCTTATAGTTTACCAAAAATAGGTAGAAATTTATACTAAATTAGTTTCTATTCCAACTTGTATCTTTATCTCCTTGCTCTGACAGAAATTCATTTATTCCATTGTTTGTTTTTCGTGTTTGTTTGTTTGTCGATATTTCCCAATTTTGATTTGTTTGGTATTTAGAGAGGCTAATCCCCTCCTGACCCTATACTCTAACTCTAACATTTCATTCTTTAAAGTTTTTTTTTCGACATTTAATTACATTTAATTTCATTTAATTACATTTCATTACCTTTAATTTCATTTAATTACATTTAATTACATTTAATTACATTTAATTACATTTAATTACATTTTATTACATTTAATTACATTTTAATTTTACAAAACCAGAACAAAATATCCCAGTTGACCCTTCAGGTAGGTATCTAAAGGGTCAAGATGAACCTTGAGGACTAAAGAGTGACGTCAAAAATCTTCTATATCTTATGTTCGAAAGGAATTGAGTTATTGCCACAAACTCAAAGTTTCTTATACCGATATATTTGTAAATGGATGGATGTAAACCTTAGATATTTTTTCAAACAGAATTCATAGTTTAAAATATCCAAGGCCTACAACATTTGGTTGCAAAGATATACGGAGTGGAAAATTAGAGTTTGTGGCATCAACGACTGAATTCCTTTCTCATAAAAAAAAATTATTACAAAGCCCTACATGAATTCTAACATTAGTTTTTTAGAATGAAGACGACAATGCCCTGTATTGTGGTGGATTTGGAGTTCAGTACGATCATAATCAAGGGAAATGTGGAATTTGTGGAGATCCGTGGGATCAATTTCCCAGGTAGGATTACGTAGGATATACCTTAGATAGGATCAGGTTGGATTAAATATAGGATCCGATTGGATTATATATATAGAGTCAGGTTGGGTTGGGTTGGATTTAAGATCAGGTTGGATTGGATTGGATATAGGATCAGGCTGGATTGGATATAGGATCAGAGCTGAGAACTTAATCCTGATCGGTTAATTAATAAAAAGAGGAGAACAAGCCTTATTTAATCTGGAGATTAAGAAAAGGAGGAGATCAAGCATAGGATAGGATCAGGTTGAATTGGATATAGGATCAAGTTAGATTGTATATAGGTTCAGGTTGGATAAAATATATGATCAGCTTGGATTGGATATAGAATCAGGTTGGATTGGATATAGGATCAGGTTGGATTGAATATAGGGTCAGGTTGGATTAGATATAGGATCAGGTTGGATTGGATATAGGATCAGGTTGGATTTAGGGTCAGGTTAGATTGGATATAAATTAGGTTGGATTAGATATAGGATCAGGTTAGATTGAATACAGGATCAGGTTGGATTGGATAAAGGATTAGGATTGGATTTAGGGCCAGTTTGGATTGGATATAGGATCAGGATTGGATTTAGGGTCAGGTTGGATTGGATATAAATCACGTTGGATTAGAAATAGGATAAGGTTGGATTGGATACAGGATCAGGTTGGTTTGGATATAGAGTCAGGTTGGATTGAATATATAATCAGAGCTGAAAACTTTAGAATGGTGGATATCGAGATTAATGCTTTATCTCCTCTTTTTCTTAATCTCCAGATTATATAATGCTTGTTCTCCTCTTGTTATTAATCTCCAGATTAATTAACCGATCGGGATTAAGGATATCCCATTCTAAAGTTTTCAGCTCAGGTAGGATGAAACATGATTAGGATTTAGGACTAGGACCAGATAGGAACACTTCAGATAATTAAGATCAGGTAGGATTAGAAAGGATAAGGTAGAGTTTTATAGGATCAGGTAGGATTATAGATGTCTATAGGATCAGGTAGGATTATAGAGTTTTATAAGATCAGGTAGGATTATAGAGGTTTATAGGATCAGGTAGGATTATTGAGTTCTATAGGATCAGGTAGGATTATAGAGTTTTATAAGATCAGGTAGGATTATAGAGTTCTATAGGATCAGGTAGGATTATTGAGTTCTATAGGATCAGGTAGGATTATAGAGTTATATAAGATTAGGTAGGATTATAGAGTTCTATAGGATCAGGTAGGATTATAGAGTTTTATAAGATCAGGTAGGATTATAGAGTTCTATAGGATCAGGTAGGATTATAGAATTTTATAAGATCAGGTAGGATTATAGAGTTCTATAGGATTAGGTAGGATTATATAGTTTTATAAGATCAGGTAGGATTATAGAGTTATATGGGATCAGGTAGGATTATAGAGTTATATAAGATCAGGTAGGATTATAGAGTTATATAAGATCAGGTAGGATTAGATAGGAGAGGTAAGATACAATCCGGTAGGATTAGATATTATCTGGTAGGGTTATATATAGGATTAGGTAGGATTAGATATTATCTGGTAGGGTTATATATAGGATTAGGTAGGATTAGATAGGATGTGTAGAGGTAGGATAGAATCCGGTAGGATTAGATTTTATCTGGCAGGGTTATATACAGGATCAGGTAGGTACAGGTAGAATGGAAAAGGATCAGTATAGCAGGATAATATATGAGAGTAGTAACTGTTTTTATGGTAGGATTAAATTGGATTCTTTAAAATTAGACAAGGTTACTTAATAATATTTGTTATTTTATACAATATTTAAGATTAAATATTATTTGATCTCACAAAGTCATTCTGGAAAAAATTGTTAAAATTTGATGCAGCTCAGGAGAGTCTTTCGGCATATATATCGGATTCATCAGATTTATCAGATTACACAAACAAGAATTAAAAGAAATGTCGTCTTTTATTAATGCTAAAGCGCACTTTTGACCAAGAGTCTCCTGCACTGCGCGGTTTGCCGCGCACGAAACTAGGAATGAGATTACTTGCCCTGAGTTTAGCAAACTACAGCAATCTCTGGTCATATCTGTGTAATCTGTAAACAGTCTCTTTGTCATAATTTGATTTCGTGCTTCTTGGGACTCACTGTGGTATAAAGTTAAGATTATATAACTGAAGAATGTCTTAAAATATCTGCAGAGAAAATAGAATTCCTTCGTCCAGGAATTCTGTATTGTAGATTGAAGATTGTATTCAGTTTTTACTCCGGGTTTGATTCACATCGTGAAAACTAAAAATATCAATTTAAAGATTAAAAAATTATCCCTACTTGTTGAAATGTTCTTCTACGCGAAGCGCCCTGGAATTCTCGTCTATCATATATATATATATATATATATATATATATATATATATATATATATATATAAATATACTTTTAATATCCTGGCAAACTTTTTAAATGCAATAACTAAGCCGGATACTTTCTCCACTTAATCTTCCAGCAATGAATACAAAAGAAAAATATTTAGTTTAATGACGACATTAAACTATTCTTCCTCCAACACTGTAATATATTATCAACATCACAGAGCTCAATGTCGTCACTGATTCGACATAGAGACAACTTCATTTAAAATATATTATCTTTTCTTTCTATGGAAAGATTTAAAGCGTTGTCATTAGGTGTGAATTAGATATAATTTTTAAAACTGATATTTTCAACTGAAATTTCATGGTTTAGAAAAAACAAGATTCCTTACTATTTTGATTTGCTGTAGTTTTGAAATGTGAAGGTAAATAATTCACAGAAACCCAGCTATGAAAATTGTAAAGACAGGGTCGACTAAACGCCTTAGCCTTTAGTTTACTTTATAACTCCATTGCACCAATTATTAGCCCTAGAAAAGTAGATTTTAAATCAACATCAATCTTCTTTCTAGCTTCACTTTAAACGAAGTAATTGGCAAAATACTGAGAGCATGCACGATGCACATTTTGGATCACAGTGAATAATTCAAGGGCGTATGCAGGGGGGGGGCAGGGAACTGTGCACTCCCCCCCCCAGATTTCAGAGCTATCACACATGTAAATGAACGTAGAGCTTAATCATAAATATTTAAAATTATTTTCTGGACCTTGTCCTTTTTTTAATCTCATAGAATTTAAGTTTAAATTGAGTTTTTCATTTTCAAAAATGTGTTTTACTATCTCTAGTTTAAATACTAGCATAACAATATAATAAAATGTAGAAACATGTTTTTTCTGCTAGTTTTGCTTGATTGAGATATAAAAAAGTACTTGCAAGGTATTTGGACTGAATGTGTACCTTTAAAGTATCTTATACTATGCCTGATATCCAAGAAGCCAAATGTTTTGAATTTACAGTTCAAATTTTGCCCCCCCCCCCCCCAAATAACTAAAATAACTAAAGAAATAAAAACTATTTAAAAATAAGAGGTTGCGTGATATATATATTCCCCTGTAGTTAGAGGGAGGGTATAGTTTAAGGTCAATTATAGATTTGAATGTTTGGAAAATATCCCAGGATTGACAGGGAATGGATAAAAAGTTATTGGACGGATCAGGCCGAGGCATGAAAGCGGCAGTTTTCAGGCATTGTTTTGCATTGGGCCGTCACAACTTGCTCAGGAAATTCTTTACACGTTAAACAAATATTAGCGTTCACGATTTTTATGCAAAAATATGCAGAATATCAAACAATGTTGAATTCAGCCTGTTTTAAACAATTTAAAAATGTTATTTTAGCGTGACATATTTGGATTAAAATTTTTTGGAATAATGAAATATTTAAAATGAGGAAAGGTTCTAGCTTTATTTAAAATTTCAAACCTGCATTCTTGTTTCCGGAGGTGAGTTTTCGGGAGCGAAATTACTTTCATCACGCTCGGATTCATGTAATTTTAATACTACAGAGAGTTTACAGGTTTTGATTTAGGTCGGTATTCATAAATCATTCTATAGTTCAAGTTGGTTTTACGTACAGTCGTCTTAAAGGGACTGCTGGCGACATTTCATGTGATCCTCTCGCACAAATTTCACTCGAAGGGATCTAATCGTAGGACTGTCCCGCTTTGCCTGATATTATAGTATTTGTACTGTACAGCTTTCGCTAGCTGATATAAAGTGGGCCCGGTACTTTAAATGAACCGGAATTAAATTTCTCTTAAAAACAAGTGGCATGTCCGATTCACAATGGTACCATTGCAGATCAAGGATGAAAGAGATGTTCCTATTTTCCTTACTAAAATTTGATTAATTCCGATTAAGGCTGGTTTCTAACTAAGTTAATTGCGGATCAGTAAGCTGCAAAGACAAATAATGAAATTTTTCCAATTTAACACTTTTCAAGATCTTTCTTTCTTTCTTATTGATCTCCATAGAAGTTGCAAGGTTACCGTTGTGAAAGGTCCGAAACAAAATGACCTGTCTAGGCAGTGGCTAGAGGTATTAAACTTCATAACATGAAAAATTGAATTAGTTTTACAGGTTCAAGGAAAAATTAGATAAAAGAATTACAGTTTGTTGCAAAAGAATATTTTTTCCATAAAACTAACAATTTGCCTGTCTGAGCACTTTAAATCAACCTTCTTCTTACTTTTAAAATTTATTATTTGAATATCTTTATATTTTTAAAAAGGCTTGATATTCTGTGCATTACTTTTATAAGTTTAGACCAATTTTAAGAATTATAAATTTGGAAAAATATGTTGAAATTTTCAAATCTATTGTTTAACTTTAATATAATTTAGTTGCAATTAAATTTAGTAATTTTTCGAAAAAGACATTTTGGTTTCCGACTTTTGGACCCTCTTATCCCCGCATAAAAAATGNTGCTGACCAAACATAAAATATATTTAAAATAAAGGTTTAAAGTTTTTAACAGGGTGGAGGGGGGGGGGGGAATTCTCGTACTACGTCCCCCCTTTTTGTAGCTTGATAAATAAAAAAATTGGAGGAGTGATGAAAAAGATGTGATAACTCGACTAAAGTGTAAAAGTGGTTTGGATTAAGAATTCTTATAAAGATATGAAGTTTTCTCGTTTACATCATTATTATGTACCTCAACACCTTTCTATCTATACTCAATACATCGTTTACCAAAACTTTGCAAAACTTTTAACGATGCAATTTTTACAATTTAAAATTATTTGTAGTTTTGAATGGGTTTAGAACGAGATAATGCCGCGGTGGAATCTTTAATATAACGCGAGCTGATGAATATACAGGGTTTTAATGTTTTAATCCTTAAAATAGCCTCGAAAATATGCTCCAAGGTGTATACGTATTACGTACACCCAAACCAAGAATTTTGTGAGTAGAAACCTTAAAAAGAGAAGTTACAACAGTCCCGGCCCTAAGAATTCGAACCGCCATCAAATTTAATGCTTTAGAAAATAGTCAATACTTTCTTACACTTTAATTTCAAATTTGATAATGAACGCCGGAGAGCCCGGCGGGATGTAAATATTTAGCCAAATGAAAATATTTTAAATTTAAGAAAATATTTCTTCTCTCCCTCTATCAAATTATAGCAGCAGTTTCGCTATAATCTCATAAAAAAGCAGTAAAATGTATTTTGAAGCATATTCATTAAACTTCACAGGGTTTTAAGGATTATGGGAAGAAGAGATAAATGAGAGGGAAGGTAGAGATATGGGAGGGATTCAGGAGTTGCAACAAGTTTCCAGCTCATGGGTAAGCTGAGCCAATTCTGATTCAACTCCTTCTATTAATCCTATCCAATAAACCGTCGACGCAAATTCTGCTTAGTTCGTGTTGGGTTTGTATATACAGAGAATTTAAACTATTTAAACCGCATCGCTGAACCGCCAAAAACCGGTTCCAACTGAGCGCCAGCTCAAATCTCGAAACACTGAATACAATTTCAAGTTGAACCAACCATGTCAAATTTGAGAGGCGGCTCAAATTCTTTAGTATCTAGGCGGCCTCTTTAGTATCTAGGCTGAATCCTAACCTCAGCTCTAATTCTATAACTTGTGGTAGAGAGAAAGGGGTTGAGACAGAATAAAAAAGAATAAAGATGGTCGGATGGATGTTTATTTATTCTGTTTATTCGGATGGAAAACTTGAATATTCAGAGCAGATTCGCATGATAAATTATTTTACTATTCATAACTCAGAAAATAAGGAAACATTGAGAAAAGAATTCATGTTTAGAATATAATCCGAATATACTGACTCCAGAAGCATGTAATAATAATACGCTGTGTGCTGGGGGGTTATCTGATAAACTTAATTATTTGACTCATCGAACTATTAACTTACACTTTAAGGTTTTCAAGTATTTACCAAATAAAACATTAATGCACGTCGTCTTGTAGTAAACACCTACTCCATAACAAGTTCTCGAAACGTATCTATCCAGGTACAATCTATCCGCTATCAAACTTAACTAGGACTGAGTCCCAGGCTCTAAATGCCACAAAGGGACACAAGCGTAGCTATCAAAATCCGTCTACTAATACAGTGTTCTACCAGGACAGAATCCCAGGCTCTAAATGTCACAAAGGGACACAAGGATAGCTATTAACAAGCTATATATATATATATATTGACATATATTGATCCCAAATGATGGTGACGATCCAACCTGGTTATATATCAACACAGGGTTTCAGTGATTCAATGTCACACAAGGACACAAGCCTAGCTATCGGTGTCAATACAGACAATTGATCAATGTCCACACGGCTACAATCCCGTGACTTATCAACGCCACTGCACAGGGCGCGATTTCACTAGCTATCGATGTCAATATAGGCGCTAACAATCAATTGATCAAAGATTCAATTCCTTTTATTTTAACCAAAATATTTTTTTCGTAACGAATGTTAAAATCGTTCAATTAAATCGTTTCCAAAATAGTCTTGGTCGATATCTTTATTTCGAGAATTATTTTGCTAAAACCTAGCTATACAGAGTATAATTTTACTTTATGATATATTATATATCTCAAATTCTGGGGGGGGGAGTATTTTTTGAATTATTTTAATAAAAATATAAATCGATTAAAGCCTTGAAAGGGGGGAAAGTACGAGTTTAAATTAGTTGGTTCTCTAAGTTTAATTATTAATTATTAATTTGACCAAAGCAATTTAAGTAAACAAAGTTTTCCAAGCTTCCATCATTTACATACATAACTAGAAATTCAAGGCGCTTCGCGCCCTTCTTTCTAGGCTTTTAGGGCGCTTCGCGCCCATCTTCTATTTAAATTGTGAACATGTTCTTTTTGTTTTAAAACAAAGAAGAAAAAAATTTTGCGGATTTAAAAAAAAATTCGCGGATTTTTAAGAATTTAATTTTTTTTTACAAAATCAAAAACCTTTAAAATACATTTTTTTTTAAATTTTTATCATTCATAAACCTTCTCTGTGGTCACGTGATGTCCCAAAAAAAATTTGGGCCCAATCGGTTCAGCCGTTTTGACGTTTATTGAATACAAACAAACAGACAAGCTAAATTTATTTATAGAAGTAGTGATCTATGTTTGCTTGAGTAGGAGTACGTATTTGATGAACTGCTAAACATATGCGGCACTTTCTTCAATAAAATGCTCAAATCCATCTGTTACTAGTCGCGAAAGTTTTCTTTGATAAAATTTTTTAAAATGACAGAATTTAAAAAAATTACAATTTTTTTAAAATGGCAGAACCCAAAATAACAATTTTTGAAAAATTTAAAAATTAACTTCACTATAAGCTATGAAATTTTAACTCGTTAATTACTGAATGAGTTTTATTTTTTTCAATTTTTTTTATGAAAGATGATTTAATTAATGTTTTTACAAGAAACAGTTCTAATTGACGACATGTACCAGAACAAAGAACGATTTTAACTCAATGAAATTCAAAATACATTTATCCGTGGGGTAAAAACTTTTTCTGAACCCCCCTGCAATGTATATTTCTATTAGGAAGAGTATACACAAAGAACTTTATTCTATTGTTTTATAACATAAATTAAGTTTGCTTTGAAAGATATTGGACTGTCATTTCAATTCCCTTTCATACAACTAACTCATTCAATATATTTTCTTATTATTAGAATCTATTGCATTTTTCCTCCAATTCTATACTCATTTTTACAATACATTTTATACAAATTAATAGTACATGTCTACCACAGAGGGGTACATAGAGTGAAAAAAGTTCATAAATCGATTAAATAGAGCACTGCACTTTTTTTGAAGAGAACATAGAGTAAGACTGCATACAGTGGTCGGCATTTCTATCAATACAATGAAGCAGGCCCGTAGCCAGGGGGGTGCAGGTGCACCCCTCTTTCTTCTGAAAGAGGGGTGCAATGACGAATTTCCCCCCCCCCCCCTAGTCCCATATAAAAGAAATTGTTTTCATAAGTTTCTAAAATCTAGTTATAAATTATATAGCCCGAGTAACAATTGATTTCCAAACCAAATTATAATCTATTTGTGCGTTACTCATTAAAAGTGTGACGGAGTTTTTGTGTACTCTCTCAACTCATCCCCTCCCCCCCCCCTGGTCAAATCCTGGCTACGGGCCTGCAATGAAGACAACTTCTTTATTCAAGTTTAGATTGTTTACAAGCTTTTTTCGAATTACAAGTTTAAGCTGTTAATTGATAGATTTCGAATTACAAGTTTACGAGCAAGCAAGGAGAGAAGCTGTTAATTGATAGATTCACTTTGTTTCGATGATTATGTGAATCCATATCTATAGTAAATTTTATAAATATAATATATTTAGGGAAAATGAAGCTCCAGGCGGTTTATTTGCTACTGGAATTATTACTAAAACATATAGACAGGTCACTACATATAAGTATAACCTTAAATATTGTTTTTAAAGGAATATTTAGAGTTAAAAATAAAACAACAAAAATAATAGAGATTTACATATGCAAACCAATGCTTTATGTTAGTCAAATTTCCTTAAATATGTACACTTTAGTGTACAATGTACAGACACAACGGCAACTGTAAAAAAAGTGCCCACACCGTACGGTGTAAATGTACGTATACACAATGCTTATACTACAGATTAATTTCTATTATTTCAGGGTTCTATAATTCCCGTCGTCATCGATATAACTGCTAACCATCAAGGGTAAAAATATAAAATATGTAAAATGTTTTTTAGATTTTTTCTTATTTTGTTTTTTGAAGAAATGATAAACATTTAGCACTAGCTATAGTTTTCCCACTAATACGACAACAAAGGACTTTGGGAATGAATGCTTTCACAAGTTTTTTGAAGAAAATTGCAGTTATTAAAGGGACTGTAAGCGTAATTTCAAGTGACCCTTCATGCAAAGATGACAGTGCACGATTCACAATAGTACCATTGAAACATTTATATGGTCAATAATGTGGAAGATATTGTCGTTTTTTAAAGTTTAAATGGTTTATTTCTAAAAAGTCCTATATGTTTTTTTGCAATAGAAATACGCAAGACACAATTTGGCAAGGAGAAACCTCAACTGAAAATAATCTGTTTTCAAAATAATGAACATTGAAATCTAATCTAACAATCCCTTTAATCCTTGAAGTTACGATTAAAGTCCCTTTAATCCTTGACTGGTTTAGATATTTTGAGTTTAAACTGTGTCCTAACAATGATATTTGGGAGGATCCAGAACAATCTTGCTTTGACAGGTAAAAACAAAAATATAAACAAGAATACAAAAAAAACTTGATTTAATACGTACTGCAGCTTTTGGAGAGAATAATAAACTTCGAGCTCTTCAGATTGAATCTAATCCTTTACTTGTTTGGGTTTTGTTTGTTTGGTTGTTTGTTTGTTTGTTTGTTTGTTTGTTTTTATCCAATAAACTTTTTAAAAGAAATTTTGATCAAGTTAATAATAAAGGAAACTTTTAAAATACGAAAGAAGCAAAAAAAACAACTTTGTAAAAATAATAAAATTTATTTCTTCTCTAGGATGAAGCTTCCCTCTGGGAAGAAGGGCGGGTAAGGACATTTTATACATTTTTCAGCTGATTTAAAGGGACAGACCGGCTATGTAAAGTAGTTAAGCTGAGTATGCAATGTTGTGGACAAATTCTTTAGGATTCATTTGAGACCTATTAAACTTTTAAAAGATCTGTAAATTCTGAGTTTGAGCGCAAAGTCGACGTTAAAAATCGTACGTTTGGGTTTTCAGAATTTTTTTTTTTTAATTATTAAATAACGACTCCAAAGAATGTAAATAAAATTCTACAGTAAACTAATTATAGTTGTTTAGGAACAGGTTGAGAAAATAAAAATTAATCTTATCATCGAAAATAAGTAATCTTGTTTAATTATTAGTTTCTATTTTCTCATTATTCTAGTTTCTCATTATTCACAAAGATTTTCTGCAGATTTTCTGGAATTATTATTGAAAAGACGACATTTGAAGAATTTGTAGAAATCTGCGAATAAATTCATAGAAAATAAGAAATTCAATATAATGATAAAAACGAAATAATTGATTCTATAGCCTTGATTTATTGACAAAGTTCTTTGGAGAAATATGTTCCTAACCATCTAATTAGTTTACTGTATAATTTTTACTTTATGTTTCGTCGTCGTTATTTCATAATTTAAAAAAAACCGATTCTGAAAACGTATCCGCCCAAATTCATGATTTTGAACTTCGACTATGCACTCAAACTCAGTAATTATACATCGTAAAGTTTTATATGTCTCAAATGAATCCTAAAGAATTTGTCTACAACACTGCGTACTCAGTTCAACTACGTTACATAGCCCTTTTACTTTTTAGACAAATTCTCGACATTATAGTTTTTAGTTGATCTTAAAAAATTTAATATCTTGAGTCGATGGGTATTATTTTCTTGGTGATCTTTTTAAACTAGCCTTAGAACAACAGCTGAATTTCTCCTTGTTTATCACGTCGGCCATATTGTACTAGCAGCAACCAGTTTATATTATTTTTAGTTATTAAATAATAAATAATAATACAAACTGACACAGAATTTTAATTTAACACTCTTAAAACACCAGCGATTTCTTACATTTAACAAACTCCTAAATGTTTCCAATTTTACAAAAAAAATATTATTTTTTCTAATGTTTCAGGTTAAAGTACCCCATCTATGATTACTCTACTGGACTACGGATTGTTTATGTCCGGTTACCGGAAAAGTAAGTTCTCCTAAAGTTTTAATTTCTTAAATTTTGTACCGTCTCTTCACTAACATTGCCAACCCGTGGGCGTATAGTTACTTTACTGTCCCTTGGGACAATTAAGTAAGATATTTGGGATTGTAAAAACATTTGCTTATTTTCATCTAAAAAGACGATAAAGTTGTTTGAAACTAAAAAATTCAATTCAACCACATTAACTTCCCTGTAAAGTAGTTGTAAATATTTAAATTTTAATCCTGCATGTTTTCAAACCAAATCCTAACTAGAGTAGTTAACTAGTTACGAAGTTGACTTAAATATTCCCACTGATTACACAAATAGGATAAGAGAGGGGTTTGTTACATTTCATGTCTTATCTGTGTAATCTTTGAATAAATCCCAAAATTACAACCCCTGAATCCCTACGCTTCAATCCTTTGCTGATCCGTTTCATAAAGTTAACCTTATCCTTAGTTTGAATCTCTTTTCACATTCAGACCCTATCTTGTAATCCTTATTTTGCATCCTGCAATGGTTTGTTTGACCCCCTAATTTTGATTCCCTTTTCTCTCATCCTTATCTTTGATCCTTATTTTCAAATCTTTAGTTTGAATCCCTATTTAAAATCCCAATTTTGTAATTCTTATTCTGAATCAATATTCTGTAACTTTATTTTGAATTCCTGTTCTCCACTCCTTTTTTATATTTCTTTCCTGCAATCCTTATTTTGAATCCCTATATTGTATTCCTAACTTAGATCCCTATGCTCTTATTACTTTGAAATCTCTACTGTCTAGTGTCTAGCCCTACTGTCTAGTGTCTAGCCCTACTTTCTAGTGTCTAGCCCTACTGTCTAGTGTCTAGCTCTACTGTCTAGTGTCTAGCCCTACTGTCTAGTGTCTAGCCCTACGTCTACTTTCTAGCTCTACTGTCTAGTGTCTAGACCTACTGTCTAGTGTCTAGCCCTACTGTCTAGTGTCTAGCTCTTCTGTCGAGTGTCTAGCCCTACTGTTTAGTGTCTAGCCCTACTGTCTAGTGTCTAGCCCTACTGTCTAGTGTCTAGCCCTACTGTCTAGTGTCTAGCCCTACTGTCTAGTCTCTAGCTCTACTTTCTAGTGTCTAGCCCTACTGTTTAGTGTCTAGCTCTACTGTCTAGTGTCTAGCCCTACTGTCTAATGTCTAGCTCTACTGTCTAGTGTCATGTCCTACTGTCTAGTGTCTAGCCCTACGTCTACTTTCTAGCTCTAGTGTCTAGTGTCTAGACCTACTGTCTAGTGTCTAGCCAAACTGTCTAGTGTCTAGCTCTACTGTCTAGTGTCTAGCCCTACTGTCTTGTGTCTAGTCTTACTATCATGATATATCTATGTAGTATGTGGTATGTACAATCTACATTCTTCAAATATGGCAGAGAGAAGAGTTTAATATAAAATATTACCCCTCCCCCCTTCCCCACTTAAACCGAAGCCTTTAATCTGGGATAAACTAATTTAACGCGGTTTTTAACAATTTAAGGATTAAAACATTAAACGCCAAATAACGCAAATAACGTTTTAAGTCAGACAGTACATTTTTGTTGAAATGGTTTGAAACACCAAGAATAATAGATCAGACACGATTAAAAACCTGAATGTTTAGGAAACTTTATTTTTTAAGATAGATGGGACCGTTAACTTTTGAATTAACGGACTGAACCTGAAGTCCCCCCCTCACTCTTTTTAACTTCTATTAGTTTCTAACATGTCGATGGTCTGAGAAATGAAATATCTGTAAGTTTCCCATTTCGACAGATCAGAAAGTGACTATTAGAATGTTCACTTAACTGACGAGTTCAGCTCTTGAATTTTTGAGATTTTTAAGCATAGCACCATTTCAAGACCTGGTTTTTCTTTTAATAATCTAAGTTTAAAATAACAAAGGTTTACACCATCAGGTTACAAAGATATAGGGATTAGAAAATTTGAGTTTGTGGCTAAGACTCAATTTCGTTCTATAAATTGTTGTCCTCGCTGTAAACTAGAGAGAGGGAGAAGGTACGACTTTGTGACCTCCTAATACTTCTAGTTTTGATTTTAAGCACAAATATGAGACATACAAATTTATCCGGTTACATATCAGAAATCCTTCTCAATAGCTCTTCAATAAGAGGAGTGATGAAATCATATGAGATTACAATCTTACGTGAAATGTACTTTAGTTTGACGTGTCCAGGGAAAATTGCGGGAAAATTGGAGTACTTTGAAAAGTACATTTCACATTTTATTCAAGTAGAATATATAATTCCGATCATTCAGCAAAATATATTGAACAAAAATAGCTTTTAAATAATATCTTTTTTCTTATAATTTCCACAAGTTCTAGCAAGTTTCAGTTACAGGGTTTCCTACCAGCTTAAAAACATTGTTTATATCATTTAATATATCAGGGTATCCTGTAATCAATATATCATATATACTAATATATCAGGGTATCCTGTAATCAATATATCCAATAAACTAATATATCAGGGTATCCTGTAATCAATATATCCTGTATACTAATATATCAGGTTATCCTGTAATCAATATATCCTATATACTAATATATCAGGGTATCCTGTAATCAATATATCCTATATACTAATATATCAGGGTATCCTTTTATCAATATATCCTTTATACTAATATATCAGGCTATCCTGTAATCAATATATCCTATATACTAATATATCAGGGTATCCTGTAATCAATATATCCTATATACTAATATATCAGGGTATCCTTTTATCAATATATCCTATATACTAATATATCAGGGTATCCTGCAATCAATATATCCTATGTACTAATATATCAGGGCATCCTGTAATCAATATATCCTATATACTAATATATCAGGGCATCCTGTAATCAATATATCCTATATATTAATATATCAGGGTATCCTTTTATCAATATATCCTATATACTAATATATCAGGGTATCCTGTAATCAATATATCCTATGTACTAATATATCAGGGTATCCTGTAATCAATATATCCTATATACTAATATATCAGGCTATCCTGTAATCAATATATCCTATATACTAATATATCATGGTATCCTATTATCAATATATCCTACTAATATATCATAGTATCCTATTATCAATATATCCTACTAATATATCATGGTATCCTATTATTAATATATCCTACTAATATATCATTGTATCCTATCATTAATATATCCTACTAATATATCATGGTATCCTATTATTAATATATCCTACTAATATATTATGGTATCCTATTATCAATATATCCTACTAATATATCATGGTATCCTATTATCAATATATCCTACTAATATATCAGGGTATCCTGTGACCAATGTATCCTACAATGGACCTATACAGCTGGGAATAACTGGGGAGTGTGCAGGAACGGAACAGGAGCTCTGGGATGCGGAAACCAGGTGAGAATATCTAAGTCTATCTAAACACTGAAGAGTAAATAAGTTATGCATCACTGAAATAAAAAAAAATATGCAAATATGTATATGTACATTTAATATTTGGAATGGTTTTTTAATATTTTAATTCTTTGAATGTGTTCTTTTTTTTTAAAAAAAGAACAAACCTTTTAAGGAATTGAGTCGTTGCCGCAAACTCTGCTTTTGTAATTCTTATATCTTTGCAGCCCAATGCTCTAGACCTTAGATAATTTAAACTATGAATTCTGTTAGATTAAATAATCTAAATTTGAAATAGCAAAGGTTTATACAGTCAGGTTGCAAAGAAATAGGGATTAAAAATTAGAGTTTGTGGCAAAATCTCTATTGCAGGAGATGTTCCGAGCGTGCAGTGATATAAGAATCCTTCCAACCCGGGGATCCAGACCTTCTCAACAAGAACAAGGTTCCGGACAGAAACTCTCCGGGTTCACCAGCAAGCAGGAGTTCGACCTCGAGGAGTTTGAGGACTACTACGACGAGCTATTCGATGAGAACACGGAGAACAACATCGATTCTTTTAAACTAGAGAACTCTGTCAGGAGAGAATTGAGAGTTGAAGCACAATAAAGTTATCTTGTTAAAACTAAACGTTTATACAACTTGAAATTGGCATCTGCTTCAAAAAGTTTCATCTGGTTAAAAAGTTTTGAATAGAAACTTTTAATGAGGTCGTTAAAACTATAATGCATACAATCATCTACAGAGTAAAACTAATAATTTTACATTTACATTTTTCTTCAACTCTTAATTATTAAACCAGGGATGATGAAAGAAGGATTGAGTTGAGTGGGATAGGGAGCAGAAAACTCTCCTTGATAAAACGCAAGCTTGAGCTGGCTCAGGCATTGAAATCTCTCCACACCCTGATAGTTCTCTCCAAGCAGAAAACTGAGATTGAAAAACATGGATTTAAGGATCAGAAACATGAACAGGGTTGGAAGGAAGAGGATCAGGGTTGGAGAGGAGACGACCAGAGAAGAGATACAGGGGAGAGAGATGAGGAATTTCTTGAATCTTTTGCTTCGGGGACGACTGTTGTCCCTTGGTGGGCTCGGACGAATAGTCACGGACGACGGCGAAGACGACGGAAAGCCCCGGGATATTCTGTTAACTCATTTTTCAATTAAATTAAATCTTTACATTAATAACAACAAAATATTTTTATATCAAAAATACATGCCTCAAGCTTGTAAGTAATAATGTATATATTTTGTTGAATGCAGCAGCTGAGTATATCTTATGAGCTGCATATTATGCATATTGCATTTTATTTTATATTCAAGTCTTTTGTCCTCCTTTTGTATTCACTCTATTTCTAAAGAAATTTAGATAATTAAAACAACACTTAAAGGGGGTTCGCCGAAGATTGTTACGGATTGGCTATAACAAAATTGTGGATCAACCGGCACTACTAGTCGATGTAAAGAGAATTTAAAAACTGTCTTCTAACTGGCTTAAACAAATTTTGTTGTGTTCCTCAGTTTTGGATCTTGAGGGACGGTTTCTATTAAAGTTGAAGTTTTTACTTTTTATGCAAATTTTTACATTCATACAGTTCAAGGTTATAATGCAAGGAAAGTTAATTGCGGTTGCGTAAACTCTGCATACATATTGAAACCAGTTCTCTCTGGGCGNGGGAAACACCCCCTTTACCCCCCCTCAAACCCTAACAAAATAATATATTGCCCTCACCTAGCAAAAGTCCTAGTTGCGCCTCTGGTCTTGTGTTTACATTACCGCTTAGAGACACTATATATATACTGCAGAACAAAAGATGCGTACACCACTGAAATAACTTTCCTTGCGTTATAACCTTGATACAGTCGATCTATATAGTGGGACACAAATAACTGTGGAATAAGAAGACGAGATCTTATGACGTGCATTTTATGATATAAAGGAAATAATTTTACCAGATACTTGAAAATCAGCTTATCAAGTAAAATGAGGGTATTTAAACTGCACAATTCCTCTACGCTTTTAATGGGATTAGATTTTTTTCATTCGGCTCATTTTAGTCCTGAAATCTTATCATAAATGCAATTTTTTAACAAATTTTGTTTAATCCAATTGAACGAGTTTTATAATGGATAAGTTTAAATTTTGTATTGCAATTATTTTATTAAAAGTTTATAAACACGAAAGAAAAAGAGATAATTTAATAAAAAAGTTTTTAGCTGTGAACTGTGACAGGGTACTTTAATATTTTAGTTTCTTCTCTTGGAAGAATTTGAAACTAATGGCTTCTTAAAGAAATAAACACGACAGAGTTCTCTTACAAAGAAATTAGGGAATACATTAATATGTTAACTGTTATATGTTGTGCATATTATATAGTGTCAAAATTCCTATATATTCCTACTAGCTTGGGAACCCAGAACTGCACAGTGTACAGTGCACAGTGCACAGGTTACTTTAAGTTACTCCGCCGTTTACCCGCACTTGAACGATTTTACCGGGAAACTAAGTTTTCGCTATTAAAGCCGACCTACTCAACTTAGAATATCAAAACTAAGAACATTCCCGTGGGTCTCCCGAGTTCAACAATCAAAATTTGAGGCAAATCGGTCCAGGGGTTCCTGAGTTATGATCAGACAAACAGAGATTACAACTTTTTACATATATAGATGCCAAGGATAGTATAGAATAGTTTAATTCATTCCTTCTCCTGAAGGCTGAAATCTGAGGGTAGGGAGGGTAGGGATAATAATTGAAAATTGCGCAAAATTCGTATTCACACTGGAATTTGGTAAAGTAAAGTTATAATAATAACCACTTTTTATTTTGATCACTGGGAGAAAATATTAAATAATTATAGAGTAAAACTGATAAAGTAGCGCCACAGGGAAACATTTTTAAAATCCAGCCTGTAAAATAGATTTAAAGGAGCCACTGGCTCAGAAGATCCTTTGTGTTGCCTCTGCACTGTATTTTAAATACTGCTTCAATTTACCGAATTGATAAAAATAGTGCAGAATAATACAAATTACTCTGCCCCCCCCCTCCCTCTCATTCCCCCTCTATTGCGAAGAAAAATGAAAAAGCCATATATTGCGAAAAAGAAATGTTAAATCCAACCTATAAAAGTAGAAATAGATATCTTTGCATATACACTATTTGCAGATGCTTTTTTTTAAAATTTCAAACATTAAATGAAATTGTAGTACTAGTATATCTAATAGTTATTAGTGGATATCTATAATCTTTTAGAGATTCATTTTTAAATTGTTTTTTTTTCTTCAAAATTTAACTTATTTTGAACTTTTTTGACGGTTTGATACATTTTCCCGTCTTCCCCAGGAATCCCCGTAATTTATTGAAGAGTTGGAATCTAGGAACCGGTTTGTCTGATTGAGAAAGGTTTCCGAAGATAACAAATAAAAAATAATGTGGTCTCCAGCAAAAAAGTGGTAAAGATGCAGCAGTCTCTGAAAAATATTTCTTTGAAACCTGATGGTGTTTAATATCTGGGAGGAGATTAATTATTTTTGAAGGGAGGAAAGATTTTTCAAGAAAGGAACTAAATTTTTGCCACAAACTCATATTTCCTAATCCCTACATATTTGAAACCTGATGGCGTAAACCTTATTTCAAACTTAGGCTTTATTATAATTCATAGATTTCATAGTTTAAGAATATTAAAGATCTACGATATAGGGATTTTAATTTTTGAGTTTTTAACAAAATCTCATTTCCTTTGCTCTACTGATATATATTCAACAAGCATATGTTCTGTTCTAAGCCAAGCAAAGCCAAAGAATGAAAGATATACGGTTCTTTAATATAGATAAAAAATTTATCAGTAATTTTGTAAGAATATGGGTTTTTACGAGGGCCTGGCACAAAATCATCTAGGGGTGTGCACACAACAAAATAAGGTGTCCCCTCTACACTAAAGCTCTCGTACGCCCCTGCTAGTACAAAAGAAAGAGGAAACACCTCAACTAAATTAACTCTTGAAAGGTTTTTTGGTAAACGGAAACGGCTAAAAGAAAAAGGAAACACTCAACTAAATTAACTTTTAAAAGTTTTTTTGGTAAAGTGGAAACGGCTAAAAAGAAAGAGGAAACGCCTGAACTAAATTAACTTTTAAAAGTTTTTTTGGTAAACGGAAACGGCTAAAAAGAAAGAGGAAACGCCTGAACTAAATTAACTTTCAAAAGTTTTTTTGGTAAACGGAAACGGCTAAAAAGAAAGAGGAAACGCCTGAACTAAATTAACTTTCAAAAGTTTTTTTTGGTAAACGGAAACGGCTAAAAAGAAAGAGGAAAAACCTCAACTAAATTAAGTTTTTATTGAAAAACGAAAACGCCTCAAAAATATGTGGAAACGTCTAAAAAAGAGGAAACAACTCAACTAAATAAAGTTGTAAAGTTTTTTTTAAAAAAACAGAAACGCCTTAAAAAAAGAGGAAACACCTCAACTATAAATATTGAAAAACAACTCAAAAACATTCGGAAATCTCTCACCCTTTTCCAGTTTTGAGGGATATCCCAAAATAAAGCGGAAATTCCTAAAAAGTGGATTTTAGTGGTTTTTGAGGCATTTCCGTGGTAAGGCGTTAATACCATAGCATCGTCAACACTCAATAAGTCAGTAGCTAATTCTGATTATTCGTGAAAATTATAAAACTTGTTATTACTTAAATTACTTAAATTTATCAAAATCGATGTGAGATGAAATTTTAATATGTTATGTTTAAAAATTCTTAAAAATTTGATGCATTGACGTCAGTTAATTCTATCACTTATTTTGACAATTTAAAACCCAGATTAAATATTTAGATAATTCTAATTTGGTCAGCCAGCTAGTGATTGGCAATAACTTTAAGATTAAAATATTTTTGTTAACTTGGATTAAGATAAAAACTTATGGATTTGAATCTGGAGTTCAAGCATTATTCTCCTTTTTTGTACTCTCAAAAGTTATCAGATATATGATGGCTTAAGAGTTTCGTTTAGATTTCAATTTATTAAATAAATTTATTCAAATTTTCTAATCCCTATATCTTAAACTGAAATTATTTGATCTTATAGAATTTATAGTTTGAAATTTCTCAGGTCTATGACATTGGCGTTTGTGGCAAATACTCATTCCGTTGGTTTTATTCTGAACGAAATCGTTCATATCTCCGGTAATGTATAATGAATATATGTACAAAATGTCAGACAGCATTTTGGAAATGGCAGGACCAGGGCTTTTCTCTTTATCTCTCTGTATCCTATTAATATATCTGTATTTAAAGAATAGGACAAATCTCTGTTTTCTCTGTATCCTGGTTCAATATCTGTATCCTGGTACAATATCTGTATGATGGTACAATATCTGTATTCTGGTACAATATCTGTATCCTGGTACAATATCTGTATTCTGGTACAATATCTGTATCCTGGTACAATATCTGTACCCTGGTACAATATCTCTGTATGATGGTACAATATCTGTATCCTGGTACAATATCTGTATCCTGGTACAATATCTGTATCCTGGTACAATATCTGTATCCTGTTGCTAGAAAGTATGGATGGATAATGAAAACCTGAGTTCTTTAAGCTTCAAGATTACATTATCTTTGTTCCCCTAATAATCCCGAATGGTAAACCTGAACAGAATTATATATTTGACGTAAACTAACCCAACAGTTTATATCTAATATAATACAAAGGGGGAAAAACTTAACTAAGATAATAATTTTTTATGCATATAAAAAGCAATATGTTTGGTATGTTTGTGGGTCCGATCATATCTTATAAAAACCCAATTTTCCTTACTTCAGATTGGGTAAATTCTTAGAAATCCAGGCACAGCTGGACTCTCAAGGTAGGTATAAAACAAAATGAATATAATTAATTAATTTTTTAATGAAAATGTTTTGTACTTTATCATTCTTACTGATTTCATGGTGAATTTTATTATAAACGTGCTGTAAAGTAATCATCGTGCTATAAAGTTAAATTAGCTATACATTTTAGCACGTGTACTATAAAGTTTTAATTGATTTCCGGTTTCTCCAACAAATTTAGGATATTTCCATAATATTTTTTCAATATAAACAAAAATGAAATTGAAATTTTATTTTTATTTCTGGTTTCTTATAAAGCTTATTCAATCTAGAAATAGCCATTCTTCTATTTCAATTATGAACATTTTCTCGTTGTTATACA